GAGGTGACTCATAAGTCACCCCAAGAGCCCCGACTGCCAGAACCTGCTGTCCATCTACGAGATCGTCACCGGGAAAACCCAGGAGGTGAGACTAGTGGGCAGAGACAAAAAGACTTTTGAGGTGACTCATAAGTCACCCCAAGAGCCCCGACTGCCAGAACCTGCTGTCCATCTACCAGATCGTCACCGGGAAAACCCAGGAGGTGAGACTAGTGGGCAGAGAGGGGGGTTGGGAATTAATGGGGGGGAGGGTGGAAACGAGAGAGGAAACGGAGGTGGGAGAGGGTGACTGGAAGCTAGCAAGTGGAGGACATTTGGCATTGCACACTCCCTTCAATGCCCCCCAACTCCCTCTTTCCTGACCCCTCTCTCCTTGCCCCTCCCCCTCATTTTGGCCCTTTTCTCACAACCCAACCCCTCTGTGCAAGCCAGGAGGTGGAGCAGGAGGTGGCGGCGCTGAGCTGGGGGCAGTTCAAGCCGCTGCTTGCAGATGCCCTTGTCGCTCACCTAGAGCCAATCCAGGTAAGCCATATGGATCCACCTCTTTTAGTGCGCATCGTCTTGCATCGTTGCCTCCTGAGTCTCTTCGTACTTATGAAAGAATCATCCGGCCTTACCCCTTCCCCCAAACCCTCCCCTCTTCAAGCCCTTCCCCTTTTTCCTTTTCTCCCTTTTTTTCCTTTGTTGGCATTTCCATTTGCCAGAAACGGTACGAGGAGGTGACAGCAGATCCATCATACCTGGATGAGGTACTGGCAGGGGGAGCAGCACGAGCCAATGAGATTGCTGACCGCACACTAAGGGACACATATGATGCCTTGGGATTTATGGCTCCACCACGTAGATAACACAACTAGATTAGATTATAAGGTCTGTGGCATGTTAGTGTTGTGTTTTTTTTTTTTCTCTGGTATGAATGATGTGCTATTCATTAGGCTTATTATACAGACACCTACCAAGTTGAGTGTTTTTTGGATGGCGTGGTAATTAACACTCTCATGGTGCAGGTGATCAGGTAACAGACGAACAATGCGAAGAACACAGATCCACGTGCTGACGGATATTCGCTCCAACGAGCTGGGCGCTTTTCGCTGATCACTGTAGATGTCAAGGCCCTCGGGCAGGTCGAAACTATATCGACGGCCGAGGATCCATCTCCAACGTCTCAGCCGAGCCTTGGGAATGGATCGAGGCGGTAAAACCCTCAAGGTGGGCAGCAGGTTGGGTTGTCAGGTAAAAAGAGGCAGTCATCTTTTAGAGGGTTCCGCTGCTGCTCGTGCAGCTGTTCTCAGCTATAGCCTCTTGCTCCTGCCTGCCGCTCCCTCCGCTCCATCATCACTCGCAGTCGCACTCGCACGCCCACGGCTGTGCTCCACCCTCCATGTCCGACGTGGCTCGAACCGCCCAACCCACCAGGTTCAGTCAACAACACCGAGCACCTCTCCCCACTCGCCTGTTCGCTTCCCTGCGTTTATAACTCGCCGCCGCAATTCCCTATGCACTTGGTGTTTAGACCTAATCGATCGCTTGCATAGTTGCTTAGCTTGGTTTGCGCCGTCTCGTCTCTCGTGTCGTTTTAGTTGTCAATCGTTACAAACCAACATGATCCGTGACTTAGGCTGCTTCCCCTCTTATTCCTCGAATTCCCCCCGTTCACCGTCGCTGCTCCTAAAGTTTGCTTATCGTCTCTGCAGCTGCCTTGCTCGTTAGGATTAAACTGGTCACTATCAACACTGGCCCCTAGCGTCTAGTTAACTTGCATATTTACGTCAAGTTCATCGTCAAATTTTGCTTCAGCCATGTTGTTTCGTGTGTTTCTCAACCATGACGTGAAGCTTATTTCCATTCTGTTTCTCCTCTTATTTGTTGCGTCTTCCCTTGTCCCTGCGCAGGTGTTCCTTTTAGATCGGCGTCGTCGCCACGTGGATCGTCGTCCGTTATTTGCGGCGAGGTTGGAGACCAAGACTGCGTAGCTTAAAGCGGTAGTTCTTCTTCGACGTTCTTTCGCAGATTATAGTCGTCGCGCATTAGGGTAGCACCATCCGTGGTTTCAGTCAACTAGCCCCGCGGAGTCCCCTTACCTCTACCGTCAGCATTCCCTTTGCGTTCACGATAGCCGGTAGTTTCGGTCTACGCCCCTGGAGCAGCACACGTTATTTGGATCGCATTAGTCTCCGCGTCCGTCGCCGTCGCTAGATTACGGCCGCGTCCGAAGGATCGATATATTTTCACAAGCGAGCAGTAGCAGTTCGAGTAACGGCATTCGACGACAGATCGACGAAATCGGCAAGCGGGTCAGCCGTCGTTACAGCAGAAGTCGCGTTTTTACCAGCACCGGGTATCTTTTATCCCCTCCCATTGGATCTGGTTACTTTCATGGACGGACACTCGAATCCCTCCCTACCAGGAAATTCCCTTCTCGCCTCCACACTTCCCTCTCAACCACCCTTATCCTCGCCCCTCCCCGCCCCGTCCTCCGTTCTCCCCCCGACTATCCCCCAAGCGGGACTCATTTCCGCAAATCATCAGGCAGCGCAATTCAGTTCCGCCGTCGCATCTGGCGCAAGCGGGAACCCCTCGATTTCGCGGCCTGTTGCGCTTGCGCCCGGTAGAGTTCCGCGGATTGCGCAGGTAATGTCCGCGCGGGTGACGCCCCAGCCGCCGCTACAATCTGCCCCTTCCCCTCAACAGACGCCTGGTCAAGTGTCCGCTTCGCCGCAGCCTTCGCCGCAGCAGATGCAGCAGGCGCTGCAAACTCAAAGGCAGCAGCAGCAATTGGTGCAATCGCAGCAGCAGTCGCAACAGATCTCACAACCCCAGGCGCAGCAGCAGCAGCAGCAGCAGCCGCAGAAGCCGTCGCTGCTTCACCCCCTGCCTCCGCGCGTGCACCAGCAACCGAGGCCCATAGCCATTCGGCCAGTGCAGGGAACGGCGCAACAGCAGGCGCAACAGCAGCCGCAGCAGCTGCAGCACCAAACGTCACCACTGACTTCGAGAGTACCGCCGCAGCAGCCGCCGCAATCAACGCAGCAGATGCAAGCTCTGCAGCAGCAGGGGGTGCAAGCTCCAGGAAGTTTCCTCTCACAGGCGCAGCATCCCACGCAAGCGACTCAGCAGCAGCTGCAGCAACGGCGGCAACAGCAGCTTCAGCAGCAACAGCAGCTGCAACAACAGCAACAGCAGCAACAGCAACAGCAGCAGCAGCAACAACAGCAGCAGCAGCAGCAGCAAGGGCAACACGGACAGCAGGGGAATTCGCAGGTGCAAACACAGCAGCAGCTGATGAAGCAACTGCAACCGTTGTTGTTGCAGCAGCAACAGCAGCGCCAAGCGCAACAGTACGCCCAACAGCAGCAATTGCAGGCAGAAATGCTGCAGCAAAGGCGTTCAAACCTCGCAACAAGGCTCACTACAGCAGCAGCAGAACCACTCTCAATTGGCACCGTTACCGCAGCAACAGCACCAGCAACAGCAGCTTGGAGTGCAACAGCAACAGCACCAGCAACAGCAGCTTGGAGTGCAACAGCAACAGCAAAAGCCGCAACAGCAGCAACCAGTGCCGCTGCAGCAGCAGCAGCTAAGACAGGCGCCACAGGCAGCGCCGGCTCAACAGCTAAGTGTGGCGCAACAGAGAGCGTTGCAACAGGATCAGCTGCTGCAGAAACTCACGCCCCAGCAGAGGCAGCTTCTCTCGCAGACATTTCAGCAGCAGCAGCAGATGCAGATGCAGCAGCAACAACAGCAGCAACAGCAACAGCAAGGCGGTGCCATGCATGCACAGAACCACTCCCTGCACAAGCCCCTGGTGCCCAAGCCCCAGGTGCTGCCGCCTGCGTTGCTGCCGCTGTATCAGCTGCACCCTCCGCAGCACCTCAACTCGTCAACCCAGCATGCCAACTCGCCACAGGTGGCCAACTCGTCCCGCCCTGCACAGGCGCAAGTGCAGAACCAGAGCGCTTTGCAGGCGCAGCAGGCGCAGGCTAGAGGACAGGCGCAGGTACAGGCGCAGGCGCAGGCGCAGGCGCAGGCTCAAGCACGGGGGCAGGTCCAGGCGCAGGGTCAGGGGGCTGCAGAGGCGCCAGCAGCGGTGGCTCACGCGCAAGGGGGTGGGCAGTTGCGGCTGCCTGGCGTGGCAGGGGAAGCGGGGTTGGCAGGGGGAGCGGGGCAGCAGGTGAAACCCCCGTTGAGCGTAGCAGCTAAGCAAGTACAGGCGAGGATGGCGCAGGCTCAGCACCAGGCGCAGACGCAAGCACAGGTACAGGCACAGCAGCAGGTGCAGCAGCAGGCACAAGCGCAGGCACAGGCGCAAGTACAGGCACAGCAGGGGCAGCAGGGGCAGCAGGGGCAGCAGCAGATTAATGCGCAGAGACAGCGGTTGCAACAGCAGGTGGAGGGGTTTCTGCAGCAGAAACAGGGGCAGGTGCAGGGGCAGGTGCAGGCGGTGCAGGCCCCACAGCAGGGGAAGGTGCAGCAGCAGCAGCCGGCACTGAAGCAGCAACAGCAGCTAGTGCCAACGCCACAGCAACAGCAGAAAGCGCAGCAGCAGGTGCAAGCACAGGCACAGGCACAAGCACGTGGGAATGCACCAGCACAGGGACAGGCACAGGCACAGGCACAGCAGCGGGCGCAGCAACCTCAAGCAAGGCGAGCACAGGCTGGGTCCCAAAACCCCCTCGAGCTCCCCACCCTCTCCTCGTCCCGCCTGCCCCGACTCACTTCACCGCCCCCTCTACCCAAACGGCCAGCGGCACAAGCAGCGCCCACAGCAGCAGCAAAGGCTGAGAACCGAACCAGCAATGCTTCCACTGGGCTCTCTGGGGCAGCGCCTGGGACAGCAGCGCCTGGGTCAGCAGGGCAGGGTGCTGGGTCTCAGGGGATCAAAAGAAGTCTTGGTGTGCCAGGTAGCGCCATCGCAGAGGTGAAGGCAGCTGCAGTGGGCCCACAGCAAGTGGTGCCGGGGAGAAGCACTGCTGATTCCAAGGCTGCAGCGGCTGCAGCAGCGGCGGCAGCAGAGAGGGAGAAGCTGCGGCGGCGCAAGCTGCAGATGAAGGCGCTGCAGGCCGTGCTGTCCCAGTGCTGTGCGGTGCGTGCTGAACCACTCCACTCCCTGCATGGGCTCGCTTGTAACTTCTTGCTGTTGTGGTTTGTCTGCTGTTGTGTTTGTGATCTCAATCAACTGCTATTTCCTCTCACTTGGTGATGCACGTGCTACTTTGATCACGTTCGTTCTAGGGACAGTTTGCCCTTAGCCCCATGCTGCCTTGACTCACGTGCTCCCCCGCATCCCTATTTCCCGCTTCTCACCAGGAGTCTTCAAGGGCACACAAGCTCCGCCTGGAGAGACTCCGCGATGCCGACGAAGCTGCAGCTCAGGCTCGGGCCGAAGCTCTGGCTCGGTACACTAGCAATGCAGAGCTGCTGCAGGAGATTTTCACCTGTGATGCCACGCAGCTCTCCAGTCTGGCCTCCTGTGCCGCCTTGTGTGGGCATTGGTGTCCCGCTGATGCTAGTGGGGAGCGGGATGCAAGAGAGGACTGTGAGGGGGGTGAAGGCGAGGAGGAGGTGAATCCGCGAGCTGCAGAGGCGGGGTTTGAGATGCTCGCTGCTGTGGCAGCTGATGGCTCTGGAAGGAGGAACGAGGAAGAAAGTAGCCGACTTGGTGCACCCGGTGTTTCAGCTGCCGATGGTCTCACAGGGTCGTTTCTTACAGCGTCACACTCTAAAGCCCTACCGCGTGATTCCACTTTTCCTTCAACTAGACCCTTTGCTGGGCGTCCAGCAGGGGAGGAGCGATCCGGAGCAGCCAAAGGGGCGGAGCGGTGGGTGCAGGAGGTGGCTGTAATGGCTGCTGAGTTTGATCCTGTAATGATGGGATTCACAAATCAGCTGTCAGGCAGGGAGCGGAGTGGAGGGATGCGTGAGATTGGTGAGAAGAGGCCCAGGGAAGTGGGGGTGGAGTCTGGAGAGGGAGAGGTTGAGGAGGTTTGGCGTGGCAGGAGGAGGATCATGCGCGGTGGGGCGTGGGATGATGTGGCACCAACAGCATCGGTGCCAACTGTTGGCGCTTCACGTCGCAGATTGGGCCAATGGGGAGGCTCGCTTGTGAACGCTTCTGAACCAGTTGTTATTGACGATGCGGAGGACGAGGCAGAGGAGGACGACGATGAAGATAAGAGGTTTAATGAGCTGCTGGAGGAGAGGAACAAGAAGATGGATGAGTTTGGGCGGATTATGGCATTAGCAGCTGTAGCGTCGACTGCAATTGACATAGGAAAATGTGAAGCGCTGTTCGCTTCATGTTTCCCCCAAACACATGGGAATGGGGCCAATGATTGATGTTGTAGGAAGCATAGTACTGGTAGTTGTCTAACGTCTAATCATAGGAGTATTGGAATCTTCTACAAAGATTGACTAATTTTCTACACATATTTTTGCTGTCACTCTCTATTGTGGTGAAAATCAATTGGTCAAGCTAGTTATGGGCTGTTTATGTTTGAATATTGCTCCAGACCACTGCGGAGTCGCTTTTTTTCCCGCGCTTCTCTGAACCGTTCTTCCCTGGCCTGGCGGGGAATCGTGTATTTCCACCAGGCGCAGCCAATGAGGCGGTTTTGCAAACTTCCCCACCGACCGCCGAACCAAAGCAAACGCCATTGCCGAGCCAAAACACGGATGGTTGACGCACACCCAAACTGGATTCTTCATTTTTGCGCGGCGAGGCGACCAGGTAATGTCCATTCCATGTCATTCCTTCTGCTGCTGCGACGCATTCCCCGCGTCCACCAAAACAAACATCCAGAAGAGTTTTCAAAATAAATTGTTTCCTTAGCTCAGAGCTTGCAAGATTCTTTCGGTATATTGGCGTGGTGTTGTATGGGGTCATAGCTCTCTCAAGCATTTCTAGTTGCACGCGCATTTTGTCGCGATCGTATCGGGCCGCACAACGCGTTGCGTTCAGTAGTAACTGCATCTCGCCTTTTGAGGATTTCTAACAGGCCGTGGTCAGATCCTCGAGTAAGCTGAGGCTTGCTCTCTATTTCCGGATCCAGGGCAACATCTAAGTTATGCGAAGTAGACATAGTCAATAGTCGATCATAGACTGATACAATGGGACTTGAAGACTATCATGTAATAGAACTAGTAGGGGAGGGGTCGTTTGGCAAGGTCTACAAGGGACGACGAAAGTTCACAGGCCAGGTGAGGAGACGCGAAAGCACAATTCTGGGCGATGTAGATGTCACGACGCTATGTGGATCTTGACTCATCCCGCTGGCCTGCTTTCGCTGCAGATGACGGCAATGAAATTCATTCTGAAGCACGGGAAAAGCGAGCGGGACATAAAGAACCTACGGCAGGAGATTGAGGTACGGAAGTTTCCGCTTCAACTCCGCTCTTTTGCATTCCGCTCGTTTGATCACTCGAGGATTCTGCCGCTTTGCCTGAACCAGGACTCTTGAACATTAAGCCCTTAACAATATCATGAAATTTCTTCACGTTTTCCTCACGTTCTGTGTCATCAGATTCTCCGGAAGCTGAAGCACGAGAACATAATCGAGATGCTCGACGCCTTCGAGACCCCGCAGGAATTCTGCGTCGTCACCGAGTTCGCGCAGGTGAGATAGCCTTCCCCCCAGCCTCTCTCCCAGCCTTCTCTCCAGCCTCCCTCCAGCCTCCCTCCCAGCCTCCCTTTTCGCCTCCTATCAGCTCCCCCACTCCCAGCCTCCCCACCAGCCTCCCTTCCAGCCTCACCCACACCCTCTTCGTTCCCTCGCAACACGCGCCCCATGTTCATCCCCATCCTCCTTCTTAACCCCGCTCTTGTCTTCCCCATTTCCTCTCCCTGGCCGTCCCTGCCATTCTCCGTCCGCGGCAGGGCGAGCTGTTCGAGATCCTGCAGAACGACCAGGCGCTTCCCGAGGCCGAAGTGCAAGTCATCGCCAAGCAACTGGTACGAGAAACTCATGAAGAGCTAGTCGAGTCATAATGCTAGTCCAAGTTGCCAGTCCATGTCCCACAGCCCAGGAGCTTATCCCTCCCTGCTTCGTCTACATGCTCCCCCTCTCCCCGGCCCCCCACCAATCTGCCTCACCTCCTCCCTTCCCCCCTCCCCACACACTCACCTCCCTCTCACACACAACCTCCCCCGCTACTAAATACATTTTTCTTGCTCCCTTCCCCCTCCACCTCCCCATTCAACCATCCTCGCGCGAGGCAGGTGCGCGCGCTGTACTACCTGCACTCGAACCGCATCATCCACCGCGACATGAAGCCGCAGAACATCCTGGTCTCCTTTCTCCCTCTCCCCTTCCCCCTTCCCCCATCCGCGCGTGGGTTCAGGTGCGCGCGCTGTACTACCTGCACTCGAACCGCATCATCCACCGCGACATGAAGCCGCAGAACATCCTGGTCTCCTTTCTCCCTCTCCCCTTCCCCCTTCCCCCATCCGCGCGTGGGTTCAGGTGCGCGCGCTGTACTACCTGCACTCGAACCGCATCATCCACCGCGACATGAAGCCGCAGAACATCCTGGTGGGGGCGGGCGGCATCATCAAGCTCTGCGACTTTGGCTTCGCGCGCGCCATGTCGTGCAACACCATGGTGCTCACATCCATCAAAGGTGCGCCATGTCGTGCAACACCATGGTGCTCACATCCATCAAAGGTGCGCCATGTCGTGCAACACCATGGTGCTCACATCCATCAAAGGTGCGCCATGTGCATGTTTGGGGTTGAATTGCACATATACCCAGTCACCCATCCCTTCCTTTCCCTGTCGGTCTGTCATGTTCGTCTCCATTCAGGATTCTCCATCGCACCCTCCTCCTCACCCTCTATCAATCCGAGCAGGCACGCGGCTATACATGGCGCCAGAGATGGTGCAGGAGCTTGTACGGTCGTCCTCCTTCAAGTGTCCATCCTCTCCCTTCTTCTCCCCTCCTCTACTCCCGTGCAGGCACGCCGCTGTACATGGCGCCGGAGCTAGTGCAGGAGCAGCCGTACAACCACACGGTGGACCTGTGGTCGCTGGGCGTCATCCTGTACGAGCTCTACGTGGGGCAGCCGCCCTTCTACACCAACTCCATCTACACGCTCATCAACCACATCATCAAGGCAAGCGGTGGAATTGAAGATTCAGGCAAGCAGCGTTGACAGGTGCTGGAGAAAAAAAGTGCATCTCTAGTAAAAAACGAGTATAATTTAGCAGGAATATCTGGACATCACCCCATTTTCCACCCACGCGCCTCTCCTCCCCAATAGACCAGTCCAGCACCCTGATGCTAGAACCCTCTGCTGCAATCACTTCCTGTGTCGCCTACAACAATCCAAACGTTCCACTTTGCCTCGCTCAACCTCTCACCTCCTCTTGCCGATCTGCATTCGCTGCCGCATCTGGCACAGGACCCGGTGAAGTACCCCGACGCCATGAGCGCGAGCTTCAAGCACTTCCTGCACGGGCTGCTCAACAAGACGCCGCAGAACCGCCTCACGTGGCCCGCGCTGCTGGAACACCCCTTCGTCAAGGAGACCGCCGAGGAGATCCAAGCTCGGGTGAGGGATTGGCCTCGTGGGTACAGGTGCTGCGTGGAAGGGCGTGCCGGGAAGGAGGGTGCTGGGTGGAGGGTCGCCAGGTGACTATGGGGGAGTGGCATGCTCGTTCTGCTGTCCGTGCTGGTCAGATTCTTGCACGGCCTGTCAGGAGTTGCGTTGACACTCATGGATGTTTGTGTGCTGCATGGGCCTGTGCATGTCAACTGCATTGGCATTTCTATGGCACTGACATGGTAATGAAAAACGAACTGGCAATGGCAGGAGGAGCGAGCACAGAAGGCGATGGAGCGAGCATGCAGGGCAGCATGGCATGCACGTGCCAGCACGTTCCTCCCGCACCCGCTCATGCCCTCCGCCGCCAAGGAGAACGCCAACGCTGCACCAGGTCAGACCTCAGGACTAGAGCCCTCTGCCTGCCCAGTGACGGGTTTTGAGACGTCTCAAAGCCCTCTGTCCAGTCACCTTGCCCATGCATGCCAATCTTTTCTCTCATTCTCATCGGAGAGTCGTTGCTGTGAGTGTGCACTGAACCATTTCCACTGCGTGGGAAGGGCAAGGTTGTAACCGGCACTCAGCTCACTTCTCTCCCCTCCCGTCTCTCCTCCCCTCCCCCTGTACCTCTACCAGACGCCAAGGGGGCGCCAGCAGCAGGGGGCACGACGCCTGTACCGTGTCCGCCAGGCAAGAAGGCGCGCGAGCTGCCTCTGCGCACCATAGAGGCGCGCGCCACCCCCCAGAACCTCCTGCCCGCCGCCAAGGCCGCCCAGACACCTGCGCAGCCCGCCCAGACGCCCGCGCAGCCGCAGCAGCAGCGGCAGCAGCAGCAGCAGCAGAGGCAGCAGGGGGAGGAGGGGCCGAGAGGGGCGCGAGCAGCGCGAGCAGCAGAGGAGATGCCGCCTCCCGCTCAGCCTGCAGCCACAGGTGATTCACTCGCTCGTGGCTGCAACTTCCGTAGCACGAATGCATTGCCCTTGCTGTTCTGAAATCGGCCTTCCCACGAGTGCTTGTTGCTATCCTCTGCATGCGCCACTGGTTGTGGCATCCATGCCCCCATGACAACGAAAGCATGCTTTGACTGCAACCATTGTATCCAATGCACGTCCCCGTGGTATCTTAACAGGGAGGAGCCGCCTGCTGAGGCGTTTGGAAGTCATCCGCTCCTTCCTCCCAAAGGCTGCCTCTGCGTCTCCGTGAGTGCCCCACCCGCGCTAATCACACTGGTGTCATGCCCCATTTCTCCAGCATTCTTACCCACACGCCTGCTGCACCACATGCCACTCTTCCTTCAACTCCCCTCTATTCCCCTTCCCTTCACTCCCTTCACCTCCCCTTTACTTTCCCCCTCTCCCTTCCGCTTTCACCCCACCAGCGACGCCATAGCAGCAGCAGCGAGCGCACTGCACTCCCTGGCATCCCTCGTCACCGACCGCCACCCCTCCGACCCTCCTCTGGACGTGCGCTGCCTGCACTACGACGTGCTCCCCGCCGTCCTATCCCTGCTCGACACGTGTCTCGCGGACAGATCCTCCCGCCTGCAGCCTCTGCTGTGCCCCGCGCTGGCCCTGCTCCGCTGCGCCTTCGCCCTCAGAGCGTCCCTTGCTGGCAGCCAGGCAGGGAAGGACAAGGAGAAGGAGAGGCAGGGGAAGGGGAAGAAGGGCGAGGAGGGGGAGTGGGATCGGGAGACGGAGGGAGCGTTTTTGGAGAATGCTCTGGCGTTTATCAAGAAATACCCCAAGGTGCGCCATGCACCTGTCGCCATGCCTCGGTCGTCGTGTGACTGTTTCTCATAACCTCTTCCCTCTCGTGTGATCAGCCCCTGGTCACCTCTGAAAGCCTATCACCTCTGAAAGCCTCTCACCCCATGTACATTCCTACTCTTTCCATGCAATTCATCTCCCCCTCCCTCCCCTCTCCCGCCCTCAATATCCCCCCCTTCCTTACCTGCGCTCAGGTGGTGGAAGGGCCAGCGCAGCAGTCAGGAGAGGCATGCCACCTCGCCACGGCCTCCCTCACCCTCCTCCTCGCCGCCTCCTCTGCCGCCGTCCGCGCAGCCTGCCTCCCCGGCGCCTCTCCCCCCGCCCCTTCCGCCACTGCGCCCCCGTCGACTGGCTCACAGCGGCAGCAGAAGGCAGGGGGAAGCACTCGGGACAGGAGCACAAGGGGCACACAGGGAGCAGCAGCAGGGGGAGGGGGTACAGGGGGACGGGGAGGTGCAGCAGCAGGGGCGGGCAGTGTGAGCTACGTGGATACAGAGATACTGTCGTGCGCACAGGCAGTGGCAGTGACGGAACATATGGCCCGCTGCATCGCTCTTGCAGGGAAGGGGCTTGCCCTCGCTGCGCAAGAGCAGGAGAGGAAGGGTGGAAGAGGAGGCACTGCTGCCCGGGGTGCCGGCCGGGCAGCTGAAAAGATTGATGCAGAGGAGGCAGGGGAGTGGCAGCAGGCGAGTCTGCAGGCGCTGCTGGGAATCTGGGCAGCAGTGGAAGGAATGGAGGCAGCGAGTGGGGAGTGGAGCAGCGGGGACAGGAAAGGCTTCCCGTTAGCAGTTATGCTGGGGGCTGCACCAGGGTGGGAGGGCGTGGAAGGTATAGGGAAGAAGGGAGGGAAGCTGCGGAGGACTCTTGGGGAGAAGCTTGAGAAGGGGAGGTTTGTGGGCGAGAGGTTGTTGCGGCGAGTCGTGGAGGTGATTATAGGGAATGGAGCGAGTGCGAGTGGGGCTATAGCTGCTGCACTGGAGATGGTGGGAGGGAACAATGTGCTGCTGCCGAGGCTGCTGCAGCTGCTGCTGCGCTGCTGCCTCTTCTCCCCGTCCTTCTGCTGCCTCATGGCCCGTGCTCCCATCCCAAACGCCCCCTTCCCCGGGCACGATGGGAGCATTGTGTCAGGAGGGGGTCCTGACTCCCTGCTTGCCACTATCTTTTCGCTCCTCCAGTCCTCTCACTCTCCGTCTCCCGCTGCTCCCGAGGACGCCTTGCAATGCAGCGTCCGGGCGGCGTTGGCTTGTCTGGTAGTGGCGGCTGTGGCGGAGGGGTTGGGGTTGAGGGGCCTGCAGGGCGGCAAGTGGGTGCTGACGTCAGACTCTCAAGTGCAGGAGGTCAGGCTGGCTGTCCTAGGGCGGCTGGCAGGGGACGGCGGATTAGGGGAAGGTGCATCTGCAGGTGAGGGCAGGGATGGGCGAGAGGGAGGAAGAGCTGCAGCAGCAGGTGGTAGCAGAACGAGAGGAGGAAGAAGCGAAACGCAACAGCAGCAGCAGGGTATGGGGTTGGGCCCGGGGCGGCCGTCGGCAGCAGCAGCAGCGCTGGCCATGGCAGTGATCATGGAGCTGGAGCTCGCACAGTCAGGCGAGCGCCGAGGCTCCTTCGGAGGCGGGTCTTGGGGCGGCGGCAGAGCCTCGTTTGGCGGCACCCCTGGCAGCAGCAGCAGCCCAGCAGATGCACCTGACTCGTCTAATATCTCCGACCTTGTGCTGAAATACCTCCCGCCCCTCGCTCTGCTGTCCGCTAAGCTGCGCGTTGCTCACGCGCCGGGGTATTCCAAGGCGATGGAGGGGTTCGGGGCGTGTAATGGCGGGTGGGGGGAGCTGTGGGGGGGCGCGGGAAGGGTGCTGGGGCGGTGGCACGGGGTGCGGGACGGGTATGTGGGCATGCTCACTGTCTCCCTGCGCCTGGGGGGCCCTCAGGCCGTAGAGAAAGCTCTGGGAGATGGATTGCTGATATCTATGATGAGTGTGCTGGGAGGGGGTGTGGGTGCGGGGAAAGGAGGGAGCGGAGGGGGGAGGGGCGGAGCTGGAGAGGCGGTTGAGGGGGAGAGGGCGGCGTGGGCGGCGGGGGAGAGGGGGTGTGCGCCCCCGGACCATGTGGGGCTGTCCCCCACGGGCGTCATGTGGCTGCTGGCGGGGCTCTACATGTGCCTGCCTGGTACGTATCCGCCCCTCCGCAGCACAACTCTCTCCTCTTGACCCGTATTGAAAGTGCCTTGCACTGCAGCGTCTCTCTGCTTTGTGTCCTGCCTCTCTTTGAACACATTTCCCATTGTTCGCCAGCCTCTCATCCCACTTCCTGTTTCCTGCTCGTCCTAACGCTCCCCTTCCTCCCTTACGCGCTCATCTGTCCCGCACTCTCCTCCCTCCCCTCGCAGCCGGTGGTTACCGCGACGCCCTCATCGGTCCCGACCCCATCGACATCCTCCTGAAGCTTTTTGGAACCTTCCACCTGGCGCACCTGCAGGCGTGGGACAACTGCCAGGGGGGGCCGTGGGGGGAGATGCAGCTCGCGCTGGGGGGGGGAGGCGCGGAGGGGTCTGGGGGAGGCGGGGGAGGTGGGAGAGGGGGAGGGGGGGCGGAAGCTGGGCAGATGTGGGGGGAAACAGGGTGGGTGATGGAGGGGAGCTTGGAGGGAGTAGCGCAGCCAGTATCACTGGATATGGTGGTGGAGCTAGTGTGTGGCGTGGTAGACGTGCTCCTCTTCCCCTTCCACGCAGTTGTTGCAGGGGATGCCATTGGGGGGACGACCAGTGCAGGCGGCACCACCAGTGCTGCCCCCGCTGCTTCGGCAGTTAGCGGCGCGGCGGGTGGCAGCAGCGGCAGGTCGGGCGGCAGTGGGGGGGAGATGGATGAGCTGTCACGGGCGCTGCTGGCGCTGCAGCCGCAGTACCTGCAGATGCTGCAGGAGGTGCGTGTATGGGACTTGAAGCATCATGGGTTCTCCGTTGCAACAACTCACGACACGACCTACACCCATAACATCACTCGACTTCTGCTCATTTCTCCTGTTTCCCACTCTCCCCTCCGTTTTTCTCCCGCTCTCTCCCATCATCCAGTCGTCAGCCATCCCAGTGCTGCTGGCATCACTGGCAGTGCTACAGGGTCCAGCGCTAATCGGCCCCATCAACCTGCTCTCACGCATCGCACACCACTCGCCAGCAGCAGCGGCGCTGCTGGTGAGGCACGGAGGGCTGGACCCGGCGCTCATGGGGAAGCTGTTCGGCATGGAGGAGCCGGAGGAGGGTGAAGGAGAGGGGGGAGATGGTGAGGAGGGGCAGGGGTACGTGATGGAGGTGGTCATGGACGTACTGCTCATCGTCTCCCACCTCTCAAGGCTCTCTGAGGTGAGCTGTCACTGCTGTTCACTATCTGCTCCTGCTGTGATCGGTTGTCATGTTTGCTTCGTCAGCTTGCATGTGTGTCTCCCTTCCTTGGTTCTGCTCCATTGTCTGTGCTGCCTAATGCCGTGCCAATCACCTGATTCTGTCATACGTGTGCTATCCCCCAACCCCCTATCCGTGCTCTTTTTAGACTCCTGTTCCACATCTCATGATCTCCACCTCTCACTTTCTTCACCTTGTTCGCCCCCATGCCCTCCCTCTCTTACAGGACTACTACGAGCCCATAGCCACGGCGGACATCTACGGTGCACTGGAGGTGTTCCTTGCGCACCCCGATGCTGGAGTGCGCTCCAAGGCGTGCAACGCCGTGGGCAACATGTGCCGCCACTCCGCCTACTTCTACCCCATCATGGTATGCCCACTTTCCCCATGTGCTGTGCTGAGGGTTTCATTGGTTTCATCATGGCATATGCTGTGATCCAGGGCATGCGTCTTTGTGCGTGTGGGCAATGTACGCCTCCCTTTGATCTCATGGCGTTTACTCGTGTGCTGATCCCGTTCTTGACCTGTGTGTGTCAATGGCAGGTGGACTCGGGGATTCTCTCGCGCCTCATAGAGTGCTGTGCAGACCACGACCGGAACACACGCAAGTTCGCCTGCTTTGCGGTGAGTGCATGAAGCAAGGCCTGATTTTCTATGACAGTGGCAGCTGATCTGCGTGTCAGAATCGTGCTCTGCTCTGTGCCTTCCCTGCTGCCAGTGCACTGCCGTTTTTTTTCCTGCCCCACCAATTTCTCTTCTTCTCAATGCTCCATCATTATTCTCCCCCTCCCAACAGATTGGCAATGCAGCATACCACAACAGTTCGTTGTACGCCGCCCTGAGACCAGTCATCCCGCACCTAGCAGTCCTGCTAGCAGCCGAGAGTGGGCAGCCCAGCATCAGCGACGACAAGATCAAGGCCAACGCTGCAGGCGCGCTGGGCAACATGGTGCGCAACTCAGGGGAGCTGTGCCACGACCTCATCTCCCAGGGGGCGCTGCAGGTGAGGGCGTGGTGGTGCAAGGAGAAGATGGGCACAAATTATCAAGGTGCTGGTGGAGACAGCATGGCGCCCATGGGTGCTCTGCAAACGCCAGGGGGAATCTTCAAGGGTTGAACTCGGAGTGTATGTTGCACACAGTAAATAAACACCTTTCTCTCATGTCCTTGACCTTTTTGTGTGTGTTCCAGGCCTTGGTGGACTTGGTTGTGACTGGAACAAGTCAACAACCAACTCCGCGTAGAGAGGGGGGAGGGGAGTCGCAGTCACCAGTTAAGATTGCGTTGTTCTCCCTTGGCAACATGTGCTCTCATTCGGCGTGCCGGGAGTATCTCCGGTCGATAGATATCTTCCGCATTCTACATCGGCTAAAGCGATCAGGAGACATGACCATAGTGAAGTACGCCACCCGCATTCTCAGCAAGTTCCCTGAAATGCGAGCACACTAATGTATGTTCAGCAGTCAATGGGTTGGGTATGTCCCTGTTCTTGTTAGGGTCAAGCAATGAAATGAGGGCCATCATTTAGTTGGCTTTATCTTAGGGCGCGTGTGATCCGTGAAATTCGTGAAAGTTTACATTTTTTGGGCGAGTTGTGCGAAGTGAACATAAGTCGAATCAACACACACACATACAAGGTCGAGTGCGCGTTTTCAAACTTGTAAAATCGCACCGAGCCGCATTTCTACAACGTAGGTTACCCGGTTCAGACGTCTTGACAGTGCGCCACGCGGCCGACGTGCGCCTCGGTTTCGGATAGCCTAGACCTCCAGCTCACCTTCAACACTGGGGTACAAATATCAGAGGTTGCCCACCTGGAGCTCTCGTCATTCCCCAAACATGACGATTCTCGCCACGTGGCCTCTATTCAGTACACGAAGGCTGTGGTGAGTTCGTTGTGCCACTGTTGCTACTCGTGAGTCGCTCGCACATTTCGCCCGATGACTGAACGTGCGGGAAATCACACACGTGAATGTGAACATGCCGAAGCACGTTCACAACTAAAACTCGAGTCTTGTTCAAGTTTGCAGTTCGCATGTTGCCAAACCCAAAGTTGACGAATTTTCGCTAATAGCTCCATGCGATATTGGCGAAACGGGTAACCACCCAAAGTTCGCACTTTATTTTGAACTTCAAAACCGACCTCACACGCCCTTACAAGCTGTTTGATGTACATTCCATAACGCAAGCTTTGTCGCAGTTCAGCTGGACAGTTGAGAATGCGGGTAAGAACACTTCTGTACTGGCGCTGGCGACACCTGGACGCCGTAACCAATCCGAGGGCCTCGTGAAGTCGATCGCACGATTCGAATTCTTGTCCACGACGTCAAAAGTTCCAATTGACCGACATTTTGCTTTGTGCGCCACGACGTGGAAACGCCAATACGACGCGATGCGACGTCCAGGACAGTCGTTCACGTCGCACGAGTTCCTCAATTAGGTTCACTTCTTCGCCTTTCCCACCAATCCCAACCGCACAACTGTTCCGCTGCCGAACCCGTCGTCACTCTATGAACAGATTTTCAATTAGCCCCTCGTCGTTACCCGTACTTATTAGTCGCATCTTACGTCAGCTTTCACACGTAAGCGCACGAGCATGGCCCTTTATAAACTGTCAGAATGTCCGACCGTACTCTCACCCGAATCGTCCCGCCTTGACTGGGACATAGGCTGTGACGTGAACCTTGACCATCAGCCGCGGCTCGTTCTCTTCGTCCGTGGACAAATCTTACGTGAGAGGAAAAACCGAACATTCCGTTCCGTTCCGACTCGAGGCGGTGACATCCTCATAAAGGGAAGGTAATCTCTTCAAATAGGCCGGAACCATTTCCACGTCCCATCATGGCGAGCTCCGCTGACGATCGCCTGCAGCTGGCACCCCTCCGAGGGACTCCGGGAGTCCCGCGCTCCTCCGTTGCCTCATCTCGTGCGCTCCTCCTGCTCATCGCAGCCGCCCATCTCCTGCCCTGGGGCTGCCGCGCTGCCGGCCACTCAGATTCGGCCTTAGATTCCGCTCTGCCCGCGCGACACGGCTTCAGAGGACGCGGCCTAGCCGACGCGGACTCAAACAGTGATCCTCCTTCCAGCGCCGATAACGCCATTCCCGCCGCGATTAGCGGCACGCGGAGCGCGCTTTTCACCGATGAGCTCCGCAGAGAGGCATCGATTACCGGCCTGTCCACTAATCGCGTGGACGCCAAATGCGCCCTTGCACGTCTCAAATTCGGCGCAATTTACACGTTTGGCGACTCGCTCTCGGACGTTGGCAACAACAACTACAGCACCTTGGATAGTTTCTATCGCGCGGACTTCCCTCCTTATGGAATGAACTATATCCCCGCTAGTGGGAGGTTCTGCGATGGCAAACTCGTTATTGACTATCTCTGTAAGTGACAGATATGATATCCACGCAAAGGTTCAGGTCTGCGTGAATTTCAAGACCCTCACTCTGATCCTCGTGTTTTTCTTCTCTGACTTAACAGCAGAATATTTTGAGCTGCCCGCCGCCCCAGCGGCCTTCCAGCCTGGCATCAACGGCAGTGCCGCCCAAAGCGGGCTCAACTTCGCCAGCTCAGGGGCGGGTGTGCTGGACACCTCCACTCCTGACAAGGTGAGTTTCGGAGATTCAGAGGTTTGGAGAGTGGTACCACTGGGAGAAGGGCGATTTGAAGGCTGCGCTTTCCATTTCCAGTGAAACACTCACCCACCCATGCATGGCTGTGCGTGCAGGGATTCCCCCTCTCCGTGCAGCTCTCACGATTCTCGGAACTGGGCGGGCTGCAATCAGCAGGCCAAGTGAGTGGCTCGTCTCTCGAGGGTGAAGTTTTCGAGCTTTAGTCTGTCTGTTGTTATTCATATGCCCTGTTTTGTCTGCCTCATCATTCTTTTCCCAGTCACCTTTTCCATTCCTGTCTCATGCAGTGGTCCCATTCACTTTTTGGCCTATCCGTTATCCCCTCTGCTCCTTCCCGGCCCAGTCCTCTTCTCCCCCTCTCGCCATTGTATCGATGGGCACCAATGATTATATTGCGTTTCTGGAAAAGGGGATAAACTTGGGCCGTCAGATCGACCCCTCTCAGCTGCTACGACTGGCTGAGATTCTTCCGCAGTCGCAGAGCCTGGTCACTGATGTGGTCAGGGGGATCACCGACGCTGTGCGGGTAAGTAATGGATTGGGATGGGTTTCATGGGATGGGGTGTTGCTGTTGGAAAAACATAATCCTAAACACATCAATTCGCTGTCTAGAGCTCACCCCCAACCCTGCTACCCAGTGCTACAGCCGTCTCCTTCCCTGTCCACACCACACACTCCTGCTCTGACCATTTCTCCTCTCCCCCCACTTTGTCTCCACTTTTCACTCCAACCACCATTCAGACTCTGTACGCCTCTGGGTTCCGCCATTTCCTTCTCTTCGACACGCTCCCAATCGGCTGCATCCCCATCACCCTCGCAACCATTGCTGAAGCCCGCGGCCAGCTGTTAGACGAGCCAGCTCCCTCGTTTTGCAGCCCTGCAGTGAATCTCATTACAACGGAGCACAGTGCAGTGCTCGCGCTTGCATTAGATGGTTTAAGAGACGAATTGAATGGTTCTACAGTAGTGTATGCACGGATGCACCGGCTTCTACAAGCGATGACAGAGAGACCTCGGGCTTATGGGTTGAATGTGGGGACATGTGCATGTTGCGGTGCCCCTCAGCCTATCAACGGCCTCGTGCAATGTGGGACGTCGATTTTCATATCCAACGGCACAGAATCCTCCACGTCTGCAACGCTATGCGATGATAGCCAATCACGGACTTTCTGGGATTTGGTGCATCCTTCTCAGGCAGCAAATCAAGTAGTGGCCCGAGCTCTGGAGTGTGGATTGCAGGCAGGGATATGTGATGTTGATCTGTTTAGGTTTGCCAGGAATGATAACTGTAGCAATTGATACATCATATACCTTAGGGATAAGTAGCTTTGCTTAGCCACACACAATCCAAAGCTTGCTAGGTCTCCTGTGCGTAGAGTAATCGGGCAATGAAAGAATTACGGTAATCATGCACTAATACAACTCTCATACAATACTCAACCCATTCACCCATCAACCATGCTTCCCTATCACCTCTCCTCCACTCCACCTCTCTACTCTACACCTTTGCTGCTGCATCTTTCACCAGGTACCATATGTGCAACCCGAAGCACATGTTTCACGCCGCGCACATCACATCACATCACATCGCTGTCACTCGCGCTTGGCCATCATCTTCCTCCGGGACCTTGGTCGGGACACCATGTGAGGGCCCTCCCCGCCCTCCTGCACCCATGTACTGCCCGATGTGCACCCCGTGTGAGTGTACGTGTGAGTGTACGCACTCCCCACTGTATCTCCACCCACCGTTCCCATTGCCAATGCCCCTGTCCCTGTCACAGCACCTGCTACAGCTGCTTCACGCCCTGATCCCATCGGTTCCGTTCCCACAGGGTGCTGATTCTGACCTTTCAGTTCCCGCCCTTGCTGCTCAATCTCCTGCGGCTGTTCTCTCTGCTCCTTCTGCTCCTCCTCCTGCTGCAGCTGTTGCTCCTCCTCTTCCTCCTCCTGCCTGCGCTCATCTATCCGCCCTAGCGGAGCAGCAGACATGCTTCGCCACTGCTGCCGCCCCCCTGACCCCTGCTGCTGCTGCCACTGCGGCCCAAGTAAGCCATGCTGCTGCTGCCACTGCTGCTGCCAACCCTCCTGCATCGGCACCCCCCGTCTCCCTCGCCTGTGCTGCTGGTACGGGTGCAACTGGTACGGGTGGTACTGCTGAGGACTGGCACCCGCACAGGCAGAAACAGAGGGGCGAGTTGGCCCACACTTGGGAGCAGCAAAGGGGAAAGGGGAGGGGGAGGGGGAGAGGGAGGGAGAGAGCGGGGGCGAAGAATAGCGCGAGGAGAAGAGGGATGAGAGGGAGGCGACCTTGGCTGCCACAGCGGGATCCAAGACCCCCTCCCACGCCTCTTCACCACTAGCTGTGCCCGTGGCTGTAGCATCATCACAGCCGTTCACGTCCATCTCAGTCTTGATCTCTGTGCCTTGCCCTGCGCTGCTGCTCCCATTGGATGCTGTGACACCGACAGTAGGGATTGCACCAATGCTGCCATCACCATCCTTGGCGTCTGCTGCTGCTGCTGCGGCAGCAGTAACAGGAGAGGATGATGGGGCATCGGCAGAAGCAGCTGCAGCAGCAACAGTGCCGGCAGCAGCAGCAGCGGCAGCAGCAGCAGCGGCAGCAGCAGCGGCGGCAACGGCGGCAGTGCCAGCACCAGCAGCCTTGGGCGACCTGACCAGATTCGCTGTATCAACCCTGCCCTTCTGCCACGCCCTCAACCCAACACTTCCAGCCAAACCTGAACCACAGGTTCGGTAAACCCCGGACCAGAAGTAAGGCACGGCGCTCGCCTCGGTCTGAGCCACATTCCTGGCACTCCACTCCGCATAACCCCCCGCCTCCCCCTCCCTCACTCTCTTCCCCACTCCACCACCACCCAACCCCTCCCTCACACTCTCCCCCTCATCCATCCCCTCCTCTCCCACACCCCCCTCCCCTCCGCTCTTCCACCCCCCAGTCGACCCGCAACGAGAAGACAGCTCGCGGTAAACAGCACTGGCGCTGCCCCTCCCACCAACAGCGATCTTCGCCCCCATGCCAGCAGCCAGAGGGGTTCCCAGCCACACTGACGTGCCTGCACGGGCTGCTGTGCTCTTATGCCCTGATCCTAATGCATCCTTGGGTGCTGGTGTGGCTTTGGCCATGCGCCCACTGCTCGCCGCCGCTGCTGCTGCTGCGGAGGCAGATGCACTAGGAGAGGGAGAAGCAGCAGCAGCAGCAGCAGCGGCAGCGGCGGCAGTAACATGAGGGGGAGGAAGAGGAGGGGCAGGGCCGTCTGATCGTTTGCTGCTGGCGCCGCTACCAGACACGGCGTGCCGCCCGTACGGGGAGAAGAGCCCGCTGCAGAGCTCCCTGGCCTGCTGCTCCACCGCCCTCTGCCTCCTCCTCTGCGCCGACCCAAACGCCCGGTGCGAGTGCGCGTTCAGAGGGGGCGGCGCTGGATGGTGTGCCAGCGGGTTGTCTGCCGCAGGTGCAGGTGGAGCAGCAGGACCGGCAGCAGGAGCAGGAGCAGGTGCTGCTGGTGCTGCTGCTGGTGCTGGTGCAGACAGCGCGAGGTCCAGACCGTTATGATGTGACGACACAAAGGTAGACGGTGGGTCAACAGGAGCTGGTGCAGGAGCAGCAGGAGGAGAAACAGGAGCATCAGGAGCAGGAACAGGAGCAGCGGGAAGAGGGGTAGGAGCAGCAGAGGCATGAGCTACCCTCTGGTCCTCTGCACTTTGTGCCTTCTTAGCGGCCCACGACTTGAAGCTCATCAGACCCTTGCGGAACGATGCAGACGACTGCACACGCGGGCTCGCAGCCTCAACCCCTGCTGCTGCAGCTGGCACTGGCGGCGGTAGTGCTGTTGCTGCTTCTGGCGGTACTGCTGCTGCTGCAGGCACGGCTGCAGCCGCTGTTTCAGGCACTCCACCTGCCGCTACACAAGCACCCTGCGACGCTGCCTCGGGTGCCTCTTGCCCCGGAGACCAGTGATCCCCCTTGGCGCGCTTTGCACGCTCGCTCACTGCCGTGTCCACGCCTGCTGCAGTGATTGGCGCAGCAGTGACAGCAGCGCCAGTGGGAGAGGGAGCAGCATCAGCCGCCGCAGCAACATTACCACCACAAGAAGTGGCAGCAGCAGTAACTGGAGCAGAAGAGTCAAAGGGGAGATGGGTGCAGGTGTCACTCCGGCCCCTCTTGAGTCCCTGCTTGGGACTCTGCTGCACAGCCTCAGGAGCCATGGCGCCAGCAGCTTCTGGCGTTTCTGCTGCTGCTGCTGCTGCTGCTGCTGCTGCTGCTGCTGCTGCCACCGCAGGAGCTGTAGCGGCTGCAGGAGCAGTGGAAACATCACTAGCAGCAGCAGGTTTCACAGCTGTAGCAGGCTCCGCCGCCGCTGCCGCCGCCGTCGCAGCAGCAGCTGTGGTGGTGGGTGATGGCTTGGCATAAGCAGTAGCTCTGGAGACAGAAGCATGGAGACACCTGCAGCGATCCAACGGCTCCTGTAGAATCTCCCAGTGCAAGGGGGAGAAGCACACCTGACTCCTCCCCACCGCCCCCACCAGCGCACACACGCTCCGCAGCATCTGCCGCACCGCCTCCGACGCTGCCGAACCTCCCGCCAAGCCTTTCACCAAACCTGGCGCCGAGCCTGACGCTGGCGAGCAGGCGAGGCCCGGGAGGGAGGTGAGGGGGAGGAGGGAGTCGGCTACCCGAGGGAGAGTCATGAGAATGGAAGAGAAGAGGAGGAGGCGGATGGAGTGTGGGGGGGGCGTGGGGGCGGACTTGCGAATTAGCCTTAAGAGCCACACGGCCCATCGCACCGCAAGGTCTCTTGACCCCTCGTCCCATTTCTGCAGGGTGAGAAGCTGCGCGGACGCTACCTTGAGGTTCCGCTCCATCTGCTTCGCCTTCTCGCTCTGCTGCGCCGCGCCCTTCCCTGCCACGTCAGCGCGCATTTCTACTCCGCGCTTCTCCCTCCCCCCTCCGCTTTTAACGCCCTGCGCGGACGCTTTTTCCCTAATGCTCATATCGGTCGTGGCAGTAACATCAGCGCCAATAGCAGCATCGCCTGCAGCAGCGCCAGCGGCCTTCACCTTCCCCTTCCGCTCCCCTCCGCCTGACAAGCGCGAACCCTTCCGCCTCTTCCCCTCCCCGCGCGCCCTTCCCCCTCCGCGCGACCTTGAGCTTTCCCCCTGCGACGATCCGCCAGTGCACTCGCTACTCGCGCACCGGTCAAACCCGCAAGACTCGTCCGCAACCGCCGCTTTGCCCTTCCGCGCGCTGTCGTTCCGCGCGAGCCCACCCCCTGGCGCGCCATTGTCCTTCACCGCGGCGCTTCCACTGGCATAAGGGGAGAAGCAGGCGGCGGGGCTGCCCGCAGCAGGGAACCGCTGAATGGCGCCAGCCGCCGCCGCATAAGTGGTAGCGGGCGGGTTTGCGGAACCAGAGGTGGGATGCGCACCCCGTCCCGCCTGCTCCCGCCGCACGCGCTCCATCTCCGCAAGCCCCTCCGCCACCCGCCACGCGTCCGCAATATCGTCCGCCCGCCACGTCTGCGCGCCGCGCACCGAACCGCCTCCGTGGCGTCTTCTGCCGCCTTTGAGGAACGCTTTTAGAGTGAGGTCGTCGTCGCGCTTTAAGTGCCCCGCGGACGCCGCCGGCTTCCACGCGGGCGGGCGGCGCCCCTCCTCGCACGCCGTGACTCGATACTCCACAGGCCGATGCGCGTCGCCGCCAAATACGTTCTGCGAAGGCGGCGGCGGCTGCTGCTGCTGCTGCTGCTGCTGCTGCTGCTGTTTGTGGTTCTGAGACGCCTCAAAGTCCCCATGCGGCTGCTGCTGCTGATCGTGCGCGCAAATCCCTTCTCCTGCCCCCACCATCTTCTCCCACCCCTCCCATCCTCCCTCGCTTCCCCGCTGAATCCCGTCCCGTGCCGCCTTGTCTCCTTCCCTCTCACGCTCGCGCTCATCGCCTTCCGACGATTCCTTATCCCTTTCCTTCCCCACGGATCCCAAAGGTCTCGTTTCAGTCACAACTCTAGCATCCCCCCCTCCGAGTGAACTCCTCCCGTCGTACTGACCATCCCGTCGACTCTCCACGCCTACAGTCACATTGCGTGCAGTCACTCCCTCCGCGCATCCCCCAGGGTTCGTCTCCTGACGCTTCTGATGACCCTTGGGATTGCCGACAGGAGAAAACGAAAAGCCCTGACCGCCGCAACCTCCTCCCCCACCGCCCAACTGCAAGCCGTCAAGCGGACTCCGCTCCGCCTGCTCTCTCTTCCGCCCGCTTCCGCTAATGCTTTCCCCCAACCCTAGAGTTCGAGGGCCGTCGCGCGTTGGAGACTGCGCTTCTCGAGACGCCGCTTCAGTCGATTGACGGCGCGTCGCGCTCTCGCCGTTAGACTTGCCGCCGACCGACAAAGTAACCGGCTGGTTGGCAGAGGCTTGCTCGAGTTCCTGCAAGAGCATGTCGGCCCACATCTCATCCCGATGCGAAGCATCAACTCCGTTTCGCCACACGCCATTGTTACCACCAGATTCCCTTCGCTGACTCGCACTTCGACCCGCAAGGCCCCCAACGACCGCATGCTCAGTCCCGCATGGAAACAACTCCGCCTCCGCTTCCCCCTCTACTTCCCCCGCTGCCGCCACTGCCACGTCATCTCCGCCACCGACTAGAACTCTCACTCCCCCGGACCGCACCCTAACACCAGCGGACTTCCCACCTCCTCCGAGGAACGATGCGAAATCCCTAGTTTTGTCGAACAACGATTCATGATCTTCGCCAACAGCTAAACACTGCTTCCGTATTGCCGTCAAGTAAGCCTCGTCAAAGCCACATCCGAGAGCCTTCCCGCGTGCAGGAAAAATATCGTCAGCAGCCGGTTCAGCGGGGTGTCGCGATACGGCGACTCCCTCTTTACTACAACGGCTAGCATCTCCTAAGTTTCGCGCCGCCGACGCGTCAGCGGGTTTCGCGGAGCCGACGCAAGGGACGACCCCTTCTCGCTCACGCACGATTCCTATCGTCGCATCACGCTGCGTCTCTTTCTCAGGTTCGCAACCTTTAGCGACATTCGCGAAAGAACTCCAGAGAATCGTCCCAGAGCCTTGATAGGCACATACAGGTCTAGCGACGTCTGCGACGGCTTTTTCATCGTCGGCTGGCGATTGCGACCTAGCGCGAAACGCTTCAGCCGCGCACGGCTGGTAACCTAGAGGATGCCGAGAGTCACGCCAGAAATTTTCCCAGTCGAATCCGGCAGGGTTTGTTCTATGCAGTGGCGAGGCGGACTGAGACGAGGATTTGAACGAGTCGTGTCCAGAAATCCAAATTCCTGCGCGACTGCCGCCGCTGCCGCTACTGCAGTGCGCTTGAAACATGACTGCAGGTATCTAAGAAGCGTAGTCAGCAAAAAGAATACTTCATCATGAAACCAAGCGAGCTATGACAGACGCTCTGCTCTTAGGTGCCTCCCCAACGCTTCAACACGAACAAACTAGGATTCTTGGGTGGGAAAGCTGACGAGGGTGGTCTAACGCGGGGGAAGGGGGAACCGTCGTTACTGTGGTGGTCAGGTCAGTCCCAGAAGGGGGTTTGGTTGGAGAAGAGACGTTGGTTGGATAGGTCAGCCCATGAGAGTGGGCTTGCGCGGGAAGCAAGGGTAATGCGGGGAGAGCGGCGGCGGTTGGGGGGAGGGGGAGGTGAGAGAGATCGCGCAGAGCCTTGGTTGGGTTGAGTGAGATCGTGCAGAGCCTTGGGGAAGGAAACCTGTGCGCTGGTTGGGAAGGGGAAATGGAAATTATGGGGGAGGGAGGGAATTGGCGGAACATAGGGGGGAAACGCGCGGGGAGTGCCAGAGCTGCGGGAGCCCGCATGAAACCCCACCCACACCAGGGAGGGCAGAGGAACAGAGACCCAGCCAGCCAACGCACCCGCCCGCAACCGAGCCTAGCCTGTGGCCATGACAGCGTGGTCCCTGGGTGCGGCAAAATTTAGATGGTCAGCAGTTCAGTGCGGGATTTGTGGCATGGCCAAACCCATGGGTGAAACGCGCACGGCATTCGCCTCACCTTTTGTCAGAAGATACTTTCGGCTGGCACGGCTGCGCCGAGAAGGATATTCGTGATTGTTGCGAGGGAGGTGACGATGTCAGCTCAGCAACGGTATCCATTCATGCTCCAGCTTGGGGCAGAAAGAAGAAACTCCAGGCGAAACCATATCCACTTTTTATGTGGCCGAGGACTCGTTCGCCTTCCAACCATGCACCTTGCTGGCAAACGTAAAGCCAGATTACGGCTAACTCCATTGGACACAATTGTAAGGGCGAAATCGCGCGCATCGGCGGAAATGGTGTTTTTCTCAAAAGAATCGACCCAAATTGCTCCCCGCTCGCCACGTGGGCGTTTTTCTCAATTGATTCGACCCCCTTTCCCCCCGCCCCCCCACCCCGTTTTTCCCGCCCTTGCCCTCCGAAATTCGTGAAATCACAAAAAGTCACGAATACATGCTTTTTACATCAAGCCAAATCCACCATGTAGTTGTGGCATGCCACATCAGCTTTCGCAATCGATAATTTCGGCGGTTGCTTCTCAATCTCAGGAGGCTCATATGCACGTTGATTGTATCGTATTTTTTTGGATTAGCCCATGCCAGTAATGTAGATAAGGGCGCAAAAAAAAACACATGACAAATCAACCTATAGTTTCTTTATTTTTTCTATATATCTACATGAAGCTTATTTCAGAAAACTTAAAAAACTAAAAGTTAAATTTCATAAATTTATAATCATAATAGCTCCACGGCAAATAAAAATAAATCCCTTTTGAAATAGGTATATATTTTGTTTTACTGTACTTCTTGATATTATTTAGAAATAAAATATTTACTCGTATTACAAAGATTAAAAAAATATGTTACTGCAGTGGCACATAATTAATAAAATCCATATTACTGCTAAATTTATCATTAGAAGTCATAGGTGTTCTGTCCAATCAGATGTCGCTCGCATGTTGAAATCTTAGCGTTACGAAAAAACATGTATTCGTGACGTTTTGTGATTTCACGAGATTCTAGCGGGTGCCCGAATTTCGGAGGGCAAGGGCGGGAAAAACGGGGTGGGGGGGCGGGGGGAAAGGGGGTCGAATCAATTGAGAAAAACGCCCACGTGGCGAGCGGGGAGCAATTTGGGTCGATTCTTTTGAGACAAACACGATTTCCGCCGATGCGCGCGATTTCGTCCAATTGTAAGGCTCTCATCTCATTGCTGGACATCCTTACACTGTTCATTATGTGATCCCTGCATCTGCAAAAATCACCAATGAGAAAGCGAAGAATCGAATGTGATTTTACAGCCTGTAGCAACGCAGAATTTATCCCCTTCCAACAAGTGCCTTTCAGAGGCCAGCTGGAAGGATGGGCAAAACATTATGGTTGTGCGAGAGGTGATGGAGTTTCACAACACCAAAACACATGTGCGGACAGAAGGCGAAATACTTGGAACATGAGACGACAGAAAGAGCATAACCAGCAGCGCAAAGAAGGATACGTTAATGCGTCACGAAGATACGGTGCGCTGCAGCTTGCGATTCTCCCATATCTAAACGCTGTGCGCTGTATGGCAAGGCCTGCTTACATACTGAGGAGTTGGAACAATGCACAGAGAATCATTATTGTTAGAAATTCCAGGTTGGAGCTACTTAGAGAGAAGGGAGCACTATTTCTTTTCTGTTTATGTTTCTTTTTATTCCTGCTGTGTAGCAACTAGGGCAGGACAGTATGGAGCCAGCGTTGTGAGTTCCATGGCAGGACAGCATGGAAAAATGTTTGGGCCAAGGCACATTAGTGCCATACTGTTGGTTGCCCTAAATTTTTAACTACCGGTAAGAGTCTATTCCTACGGCCTCATATCAAGCCACCTCGTATCAAGATTGTACCTTTTGCCTGGTACAACTAGTGAGAGGTTTCGAGTTTAGGGAATTTTCAGTGTGAGCTTGATATGAGGTTTGCTTGAGGTGTAGGAATACGCTCTAATAACCACCAACAATTCATCGCCTCAATTTTCCAACATCCTATGCCATTCGTCTGCAATATGTGCAGCAGAACGAGTTGCCCATTCCCTATTCATCACAATACCATGCCCAGTTAGATGCAGTGGCCTCACATCTTCCACCATATACCGCAAACCTGAATGCTTGGCCACCCAGTGAAACAACAGCTCCCGATCCTTACCACCAGTGCCCAACGCAAACTCATCATGCCACTCCACTAAGAGCCGACCCGGTGACATGTATAAGGCGTTGGTGAGCCCTGCTCCATGCAGACCCACCATTATATGAGCCGCAGAGAAAAGAGCCAGGTGCTTCTCAATGGGCTCGTTTGCGAAGTCACAGCAGGGCACAACACAATGGAAGCCGTTGCGACCCATGGCTTCCACCCACGGATCAATGAATGTAACGTAACGATCGTCGCCGAAAGCTGAGCTCCGGGAAAAGTACACCACGATTGGGCCGCTGGAGTATATGCCTGGGACAGGCAGAGAGGCATGCTGCTGCTGCTTCCACTGCTGGTGCTGGTCTGACATGTGTGTTCCATCAAGGCTCCCTGCATCTGACACCGATAATTCTTCACTACCTGAACTCCCATCAAGTTGTCCCTTTCCTCCTGCTGATGCTGCCTTTGGCCCTTGAACTGCCAAGCTGCCATTATTGGCCAACAAGGGCCCAGCAATCGGAGATTCCAAGGTCCTTCTTGGGGTACCATCCCTAGCTTCCGATTGGCTGTGAGGCCCTGGAACCACATCTCGGGCAGCTGGAAAAATGTTGAAGAGGGAGAATGCGAGGGAGCGATAGGCTGCTATGACAGTGGGGAACTTCTCAAAGCCAGGGAGAAAGGAGGAGCTGTTGTAAAACGGAAACACTGCACGCTGGCCATACGCCAGGTGGCGGAAGCAGATTCGCCGGCTCAAACCCTGGGTGTCGCTCAGCCGAATCCTGCACTGGAATAATCTCCATAGGATCGCCAGGGCTGATGAGGGATACTGGTTGAGTCGCTCATCCCCAAGGTAGAACAGCATGCACACTCGCAGCCCTTCCTCCTCGTCCTGCCCCCATTCCGCCCCTTCCCTCCCCTCCAGTAAACCCAATCCGCTGACTGCCTTATCCTGCCCCACTGAGTGAAACCCACCTTTGCTGCCGCCTGCACGTGATCTTTCCTGGCCTGCTCCGCTACTTGTGTGTCTCTCCATGGTTTCCACCAACCTCTCTTGCACGCGCTGTAAGAAGCGATTAGTGGACGAGCCAAGAGAAGACGACCCATGGCAGCCGGTCAGACCCTTTCGGCTCCGCGCAGTGTCACTGCTTCTCGGACCACCATAGCTGGCACCAGCACTACTGCCACTGCCACTGCCACTGCCACTGCTGCTGCTGTTCCGACTATCACTCCCTCCGGTGCCACTGCCCTCACCAGCTGCTGTCCTCTGGTCCGAGGCAGCAGCGGCGCGTGGTGGCAGTGGCATGCGGGGGAGCGCGCCCATCTCCAGAAGGTGGAGCATGGCAGGGAGCAGGTTGTTGTTGAGCACGTGAAACGCGTTGTCCACGTGCCACAGACTCACCACCACTGCTCTGGGTCACATGGGGGGGCAAGGGGGCGGGCGGGAGGTGCGGGAGGGAGGTGAAGGTACACGAAAACATACATGAGGGGACAGCAGCAGGTAGCGGTCATGAGGGGAGAAAGGGGAATTGGGGTGTGTTACGGGCTAGTGAAAGGCACTTAGGGACAGCGAAGTGGGGAAAAGGGAGGAAGGGGAGCAGAAGGAAAGAATGATTACAAGCCGTTGTGGTGGGACCGCTTTGAACTCACCAGTGGGAGCATCAACCCGCTGCTGGCAGCTCCGTTTAACGTCCAGTGTGCTATTGTGGAACACTAACGTCCAAATAGGACTTTGCTTCTCTCCCCATTCCACCAAATGCCGGTACGGCACAAGCCTGCGCTCCAGGTTCGGACGCCACCGAGCCTCATCGATGCCATAAAAGTGAATCTCGGTGCCTTGAATTGCCACATTGTGCAGGTGAATGTTGGAGAAGGAAAGGTCGTCGGTTCGAATTCTGGAACAAGCACGTCTGCTGTCAGACCAGACTCCATAAGACTGCATATCTGGCGCTTCAATGTCGTCAGTATTCGAGCAAAAAGCGCTTGCGCTTGCAGCTTCGCTATGAGCAGCTTCGCTACCGGAACCACTCGAGAGAGGCCACCAGCTGGAAAAGCTCTTCCCCGAAAGCGCAAACTCGTGCGCGGAGAGGAATTCTCGCGCCAGAAAAAGAAAGCGCAGGGCAACGGCACAGAGAAATAGCGCGAAGAGGGGGAGATTGTCCCGCAGGTGCGCGTGCTTCTTTCCACTCAGCCTGCGCCGGCGCTGATGCAAGAGCTCGTTTGACCCTCGACGCTGCTTCATGGCGCCTGCGAAACTGCCGGCCATCACGCCATGGAAGTTCGCGGAAGACCTGAAACCGTCAGTTGGAGAGAGAGGATAGTGCCGACGAAACTACCGGCCATCACGCCATACCAGCATATTACAAGCTAGAACGTTTAACTACAATACGTGATTCCTGTTAAGCCTTGAAGAAAAGTCCATCAAACTATCCGATGCAGGAGAGCACGCGATACGACGTAGGTAGACGCGAACGAATGAGCCCTCAGTATTCAGTCTAAACCACGCGAATAAGTCCTCGCGCGACAATAATTGAGGGTATCGGCCGTCTTATCCTGTCCCGAGTTGAAAAGCTTGGCGACACGGAGCCGAGGAGACTAGCCTGATTACGCGGAAACAACTAATGAGGGATAGTGAGACCACTCTGATTTATGGATAATCCCAAGGGCCGCACTCGGTAAAGCGATTCGTTATTGTCACCACAATCACAGACCCAAACTTCCATTTGTATACCAAGCCTGACACTCCTTACACCTGTATTTTGTTGGGTAAACACTTCTGCATTACCCGTACGAGCAAAAAAAAACCAAATGATCAACTGGAGGAGTAGATGTGGCAGCTTACATGAAATAATCATAATATAAACAGAATCTTAAAATTACAGGATACTGCAAACGGGCGGTCTTTTACCGGGGCCTCAGCTGCTGCATGCTTGTGTGCAGAGCACCCGCAGGTCATAATTGGCCATCGATGTGATGTTTGGTACGGCAAGCATTGTCTGATTGGTGCACACCAGCGCACCAGTGCCATTTTGATACGACCGGACCTGCACAATTGAAGAAATGCCAGGTCTTATGTAAGAGAAAAGCAAAAACACACCGACATCATCGGGTATCGTCAGCAGGAAAAAAACGCAAGAGGAAAACGATGGCAGGTAAAGATGAGAGTGGAAGCTGACCTGGCAAACAGGCCCTTGGCCCTGTGTGCCTGGGGCATTGGGGTCGCAGGTCCACCAAGGGGTGGGCACACACGACATGTAGCGACACCACGTGCAGTCTGAAGCCACATTGCCCTTGGTAAATAGCACCGCCATGCAGAGTGAGAAGCTGGTGGGGTGGAGGGAGGGAGAAGAAGAGTATTGATGTTATGCAGGGGGAGCAGGAGGAGAAGAATCACGCATGGGAGAGTCAGCAGGCACGTTGCCCTTGGTGAATAGGGGGGGAGGGAAGACGAGAAAGAGGCCATGGGAAGGGGGAATAAATGCTGGCAGCCATGTTTCCCATGGGCCAGCAGCGTATGAGCATTGGACAGGGGAGCAGGAGAAGCATCAAACATGGGAGGGTCCGCAGCGACATTGCTCCTGGAAGGCAATTATTTATAGAGGGAGGGCTTTGAGTGGGGCGTGAGTGACGGGGCGGGGGGGGGGGGGAGAGTGACAGGGAGGGGGGGGGGGGGGGGGGGGGGGGGATTGGGTAGGCTGATGGCCAGGGAGAAGCGAGAGAAGTAGGGTGCAGGGTAAACAAGATGAGGGGTAATTGATGGGCCCTGGAAATGCACTCAGGTGAGACATCAAGCGGTGTGGAATTTCAGTGGTGAAGTGCACTTACAGAGCCATAAAGATTATTCCGGAAAGAATCCGCGTGTAGACCTGGCACGTAGAATGCTTCTTAGTCACGGGATCACCCCCCGACACCGCAATCGCCGTCGCCGTCGCCACCCCGGAGCTATCCCGGAGGTCAATGAAGCCATGCTGGGGTTTGAGCAGGAGAGCGAAGCCGAGGAAGAAGCCGGCGATGCAGCCGCCTATGTGGGCGAAGTTGTCGATGTAGGGCATGAGACCGATGGCGAGGTTGATTACTATGAGGATGATTAGCGTCATCAGCGCTGAACACTGGAGGGGAGACCAGGAGGGAGGGACCACCCGGGCAGGAGAGAGGGTTGAAGTGCAGAGAAAAAGGGGTGGAAATGAGGCGGAAAGGGGTTTGGGAAAGAGGGACTGGAGACAGGGAGCTGGAAAGAGAGAACTGGAAACACATCAACCCAAGCAAGCACCCACGGCCGTACCCTGTTGTCGTAGAGCTTCCAGTTGATCAGCAGTTCCGACAGGCACGCACCCACCAGCCCAAACAACGCTCCAGATGCACCCACGCTGATCTGACGGCGGGTAATCAACAGCGATTCCGGACAAAGTCAGGGCGTTGAGAAGGGGGTGAGGTTGGGTAGGTGGGTGGGAGGGGGTGTGAGAGGGGGAGAGGGAGGGACGAGGAAAACGTAACAAGGGTGAATGATCCACAATAACCATTCTCTAAATTTGACATGAAACGGACACCATTTCTAAGAAATAACTGCAATATGAGAGCATGAGTTTCCACAAACTCAAAGCACTAGCTGGGCGTGGGCATACCTGTGTGTCGAGGAAGAGGCAGGAGAAGACAGCAGCAAAGACGCCACTGAGAAGGTAGATAGCGGTCGGCCGCCCTGCCATGGAAAAACAGAGGAGAGAGCATGGAGCGAGGACAGCAAAGTGAGCGTGGCACACACGCTAAGGGGCACAGAAGGGCAGCATGGTGAACTAGTGGATCACATGTGCTGAGGTGGTGGTGGTGGTGGTGGTGGCGGCGGCGGCGGCGGCGGCGGCGGCGGCGGCGGCGGCGGCGGCGGTGGTGGTGGTGGTGGTGGTGGTGGTGGTGGTGGCCTATGTCTATCCTTCCTCTCAGACCCGCACCTACATGCGCACCAGATCCTCCCCCAGTTTTTTTTCTTTCTTTCTTTCCTTCCTCACCTGTTCACCTCACCTCTCCCCTCCCCCTCCCTAAACCACACAACATCATTCCATCCTCCTTCCCCCCATTCCCTCGGACCCCACCCATACCGCCTGAAGCCACCACACCACACAGCGTCACCACACCACAATAAGCCACACCACACGTACACAGCACGAACTCCTTCTCGAGGCCGTTGAGAAGGAAGGCGATGCCGAGGAAGTTACATCCCCGTGGCCCCCCCTCTCCTTACCGCGTCATGCCGCACCACACACCACACACATAAACACCACCCGCACCACACCGCACCACACTGCACCGCACACGTACACAGGCCGAACTCCTTTTCGAGGCGGTTGAGCAGGAAGGCGATGCCGAGGAGGTTACACACGAGATGCACCACGCCGCCATGTAACCACATGGCTGTCAGCAGCCGCCAGCCCTGGTGGTAGTTGGTAACCAGGTTACTGTTCAGTGCGCCCATCTCCTGAAGCCTGGAGGGTTGCGAAGAACGAGGAGGTTCGTACATACGTACGAATATGGATGATAAGACGAAATGTTTTAGGCGAAATTACTCTCGAGGTAACTCGAAAGTAGTCGGTAACCAGGTTACTGTTGAGCGCGCCCATGTCGTGAAGCCTGGAGGGCTTCGACGACGGCGGGCTATACTTCCAGACGGATACGCGACAGACGCGCAATAATCAGCTTCGAAACACCAACTAGAGACGTCTGAGTGAGACACTCGAAAGAGCAAAGACCGGGCTGGAGGGGATTAGGGTGGCGGGGAAAGGGGAGGAGGGAGATGAGGGTGCTGGGGTGGGGGGGTGCGGGGGAAAGGGAGGGAGGAGGAGGGGTAGGGTGGTAAGTCACGGGTCGCTTACGTTAAGGCGGTGGGTCCGAAGAGAGGATTGATATTGAGCGGCTCGAAGGAGAAGCGACCCAGCCAAGGCAGCACGCAGCTCTGGCCTTGCGGGTGCGGCTTCGACGGACAATCATTCACCGCCATGGTCACAATAAAGACTGCTATGCAGGCGATTAATACTGTCAGCGCCAGCCACGGCACCTTCCTGTACCACCGCGGTTTCCGTGCGGGATCCCGCGGGTTTGACGGTGGAACAACAGGGGGGTACGCCGCTGGGTTGACACCGGAGGGGTATTCAGGGGGAGGAGGAGGCGGGTACGCGTACGGTACGATCGTACTGCCGGAAGCGTACGAGTGAAACTGACCCCCTTGATGATACGCGGAGTGGCTGTCGTCAGCGTACTCGTTATGAGACGACACGATGGCGGGATGGGGAGGAGCGTAGGGGTATTCGCCGGAGCGGGAGTGGGCGAGGGGAGCGGAGGGAGTGGAGGAGAGAGAGGAGGAGGAGCGGAGGCTCGTAGACGACGGCATCTCGACGTCGCTCGAGTAGGGATCGGAGCCTCCGCGACCTACTATGCGACTCATTGCGAAATAATCTAGACGATGAGCTCTAAGAAGATGAAGCGGACGGTAAGTGGATGTTAAGTACAAGTGATTGGTTATTCAGGGCTGTCATGAAAGCAGGAGCGGCGTGTATATCGAGTGATTCCGCCAACAAGCGGTAAAGAGAGACGAAAGAACTGAAGTTAGGGACAGAACCACTCGCTGTAAGACCAAAAGCTCAAGCTACCCATTAGCTCACGTCAGAACCAGCATTATAGGTTGTCACCTTGAGCTTTTTTACAGGGCGCCATCTCCCTGGCAAAAGGACCGACAACTGGGAATGGGTGCTTTCTGTTGTTTGTCCTGGAGAATGCCGAGAAGATTCACCTACATTACAAGTTTCCGCCACACTCCCATACCTTCCGTTTAGCTGAACGACGGCGGACAAGAGCCGATTCTGCAGATGTTTCCGCGCGGGCTAAGCTTGAAATGTTTTTGGTTGTGTATTCCTCCGCCAAGCTTCACCGCTGTCGGCTGCTAGTTCTGGGGATTCCGCGCAGCATCGCCGCGCCAAAAGCTGTCCGCTCTTCCGCCAATGGCTGGTGTTTTGTTCCACCTTCAGAAGAACGGGAGGCGCACAGTGGTGCCGTGCAGAGTCACGGCAATCCCCGACCGAGCTGTCTGGTGGACCCTTCCCTCCCCGAATGCTTTCTGTGACACCTGTGCGCATCGCTTCAACCATTCACTGAATTCCGACACACGTGTGTGCACACCGACCGACCACCAGCGACGTGACACAAACGAGCCTGACATCTGCAATCATGTACGCTTTACCGACCTACGGAACGAGTATATTAGGAGGAATAACTAGAGAGACACGGCACATCCGGATATAGAAGATGGTCATGGATGCAACATCATCTTCGACGTGTATAAATAGCGAAGCAATTCATTCCGAGTACGTGAAGATAAATCTTTCATGTGCCCCACTGCGCCCCGCTGTTTGCTACGAGACGCGGAAAATGGCCGATCGATTACGTGGCACACGTCGGAAATATCTCATGGTTGGGACCAACGCAGATGCGCTTTTCATTGCACTTTTTCACTTTCTTGACACAAAAGCCGGCGTAGATCTCTCATCCGATACTTTCACGTGACCTGGATTACCTTTTTCTATCCGCCCGCATTGTCCGCGATTGGTGCACAGCTGTTGAGATTCCTTTATGAACCATAACCACCAATCCGCACATCCAGTTTCTTTACCTTCCTTCCCTCCTCATCAACTAGTTTCCTCTCCTCCCTCCCTCCTATCTCCCCTTCAGGAATCTCTCATTTCTTTCTGATCTTTCAAGACACCCCAAGAGCCCACCACACATCAAGCTGTCTGCTCCCAAGAGCAAGTTGCACGTCGGCGTTCCCGAGGTTCGGATGAGGGTTTTCTGTGTTGTCAGTGTAATCTAGCCCAGATGCAGGTGTCTTTCTCTTGACTCCCATTAGCGTGGCTCTCTTAGCAGTCCTTGCAAGTAGGCTAGTTGTCGATTGATCGATGCAAAAGGCGTCATAGTGTGGGTTGCCTGCCTTGACGAAGACTCTTCTTTATTTGGGCGGATTATAGTGTAGTTAATAATCTCTGCGCATCGTCTTTCTTCCGACACTGATCGCTCTCCAGTTTATCAAGGAAGTTCCAAAATGAAAGCCTTCGTTGGGTTACCAATATTTAGCTCGTCACACCTCATAATCTGTCTTTCCGTCCATTGGTTTCCTCGATGAAGCTCGCCATAACCAGCTTTTCAAATCTGTCCAGGATAAAGCCTTCCCGTCAATAGCTACGCAATCCGCCATGTTTCCCGAAAAGAGAGACCTCTCGTATTTCCTCCCCTTCGGCCCCGCACCGAGCCTGAGCACGCTACCGTCCGACGCGGGATTCGGCGGGAGCCGCGAAGCCGGCGTTACAACCGGCGTAGCTGCCGGCGGTGTCGCCGGCGCCGGCACGAGCTACGGCTTCAGTGGTGCCGGGCCGGCGGGGTTTAACACCGACGCGGCGAACACAGCAGCGTCGCGGCTGTACGCGACGGGGGTGATCGACAGCAGTAACCAACCGGCGAAAGATAACAACAATCAGACGAAGAACAACAATAACAACAACAGCGCGAGCGTGAGCAGCACGCGGAGGGAGTACGCGTGGCCGGGGACCGTGGCTCACGCATTCGCTGCCATTGCCCGTGGTCCCGCCGCTAGCCAGGTGCGCTTGTTGAAATCAGCATCAGCTTCACACTGATTTTTCACGATATTTTTTTTCGCGGAATTCAGTTTCCCGCGTTATTTCATTCATGCTCTCATGCTCGTGTTCCACATCTCCGGTGTTTTCCTGTCCACGTGGCAGGTGGCGAGTGGCGAGACGTTAGCGGACGCAATAATCGATATCCGCAGGGAGCTGAGTCTCAGCGATGGTAACCCTCGGCTCGCGAAAGGCCTCGCTGAATTCTTTGACGAGGTGGGTTCGCCAACCTTATCTGATACGCGGGTGATCCTATAAAGAATCAGGAGTAATGGAAATGCGAATTTGCTAGCTTTCCGCGAAGCATGAAATTTTCAGCCCCGCGCTGCCCGAACGCTCTTCTCATCACCCTCCTCCCTGTCGCTTTTCCCCCTCTCGCCCCAAACGTTCCTGCAGATTCTCTCCGAGGAGGAATCTCAGGAGTTTTTCTTCTTCACGCTGCCCGGAATGGCCTCGCTCGCCCTCCGACTCCCGAGCCTCGTCTCCCAGCAGGCTCGGAGCGTGGCTCGGGCAGCCCAGGCCGCAGCGCAGTCCGGCAGCAGCGGGGGGAGCGGAAGCGGGGGGAGCGGGAGCGGAAGCGGGAGCGGGGGGAGCGAGAAGTGGCGGCGGGGGACGCAGATGACGCTGCAGCTGCTGAGGCCGCAGCAGCCGGGGCTTGTGCTTATAACGCAGGAGCTTGCAGCTGCGCTACTGGTGGGCGCGTTCTTTTGCGTGTATCCGACGGCCGGGCGCGCGCAGGAGAGACTGCCAGAGATCAACTTCGACCGCCTCTATGGGTGCGTCTTGTTTCGACCCTCTCGCCGCTCTTACTCTCCACTCTCCCCGTGCGCAACCCCACCCTTCCCCGTGTATCCCACGGCCGGGCGCGCGAAGGAGAGACTGACCGAGATCAACTTCGACCGCCTCTATGGGTGAGTCTCGTCTCGTCTCGTCTCTCCCTCATCCACTGTCTAACATCAGTCCCTCGTTCTATCCACTGTCTCCGTGCCCAACCCCTCATCTGTTGCGCTCAGCCAGGGGGATATGCAAGGGGTCGCCGCCGCAGCAGGAGAAGCTGCGGTGTCTGCTGCGCTACTTCCGCCGTGTCGTCTCCTCCGTGCCCCAGGTCATTGCTTCGCTTCTCACTCCTATCTCTCCCCTCCCCCTTACCTCCTTCCAACCTACCAGGGGCATATACGAGGGCTCGCCGCAACAACAAGAGAAGCTGCGGTGCCTGCTGCACTACTTCCGCCGAGTCGTCTCCTCCATGCCTCAGGGCGCCGTCTCCTACGAGCGCAAGGTGCTGCCGCTCACTGCTGTCACACCCGCCACTGTCACACCCGCTGCTGCTGCCGTCCCCTCGGCCCTCCACCCGTTTAACGCCCCCGGCACTGACACACCAGGCCACCTAAAGCAGCAGCAGCAACAGGATGTATTTGGTTGGGGTGGGGAGGCAGGGGAGGGTGGAGGGCGGGGAAGTGGGAACATAAGACAAGGCACTGGCAGTTCGCCGCCCGGAAGTGGTGGGAGTGGTGGGCAGGGTGGGCGGCGCGGTAATGGTAGTGGCGGAAGTAAGGGCAGTGGTAACGGCGGTGGTAACGGGAACGGTTACGGAAGTGGTTACCACAGTGGTTCCCGAAGCTCGCCGATGCAGAAAAGCAGCTCCAACCGAAGCTCAGGTCCGACTACAGGGTCGGATCCGAGCCTGGCAGGGTCGTGGGGGAAAGGAGAGGAGGGAGAGGGGGGGCAGTTGCGGAGTGGGGGTAGCAGGAGCTTCGGGGGGAGCTGGGGGACGCTTCCGCCTCCCCCTGGCGCGGACTTCTGGGGGACAAGGCGGATTCCGCTCTGCGCCCTCGTGGTGAGTGATAAGGGTGTTGGGCGGAAGAGGGTGTTGGGGAAAAGGGAGATGTTGATGGGAAGAGGGGTGGAGAGGGGTTTGCGTGAGCTAGGATGCCTAGGTGGTAGGGAAAACAGGGGGCATCTGTAAAGTGCTTCCAATCATATCACACCTGTCGGTTGATGCACCACGCTTTCTTTTTCACCTGACACCTCCCTCCCAAACCTCCTCCACCTGTTCCTTCGTCCCTCTCCAAACCCCTCCCCCCCCCTCCCCTCACCCCCCCATTCCCCCGTGCACCACCACCAGGTGCATGAGCGCGGCACAATAGAGGATGATGGCACGGGCTGTCTGCAGGTCCCCTTTCCGCTCTCCTTCAACCATCCCCCCCTGCCTCTATCTTCTCCTCCCACCACCGCCAGGTGCATGAGCGCGGCACAATAGAGGACGACGGCACGGGCTGTCTGCAGGTCGACTTCGCGAATGCCTTTCTGGGCGGCGGCACGCTTGGCTCGGGGTGCGTGCAGGAGGAGATTCGTTTCGTCATCTGCCCGGAGCTCATCGTGGGAATGCTTTTTCTGCCCGCCATGGAGAACAACGAAACGATTGAGATTGTGGGACCCGAGCGGTTCAGCAAATACACTGGGTGAGTCAGCAGATACGGTGGGTCAGTCAGCAATAAGGTGGTTGAGCAGAGGAAATTAGCAGGTGATGCCAATCCATTGAGGTACCAGCCATACTATAATGCTAACCAACTTTACTCGGATTTCACTCATTCTTTTTTATCATATTTCTTTCTCCGTCCCCCTCTTCCCCCTCTCCCCTCTCTTCCCTCTCAGCTACGCAGCAACATTCAAGTTTGCCGGGGATTTCATCGACACAGCCCCGCGGGACTCCCTAGGCCGCCGCCAGACGCGGATAGTGGCTATGGACGCCCTCTCCCACGCAGCAGACCGCCAGTTCCGCAGCTCCTACCTCCTCAGGGAAACCAACAAGGCCTTCTGTGGCTTCCTAGACCATGCCTCTGCTAGGGGGTTCGCTGGCGGGTCGATTCTTGCGAGTAATGACAGTAATAGCCCGGTGTTTTTGGAGGGTACTGCGCAAATGTCCCTGTCGCGGGATGTGCTGAGTGGGGAGGGGGGGGTGGGGGGTGCTGTGTCGGGGTTTCGGAGGGGGGAGAGAGGGGGGAGTGGGAGTGATGGGGAGGGGAAGGGGAGTGGTGGGGAGGAGGGAGGGAGGAGTTTGGGGGAGGGCCGGGAGGGGGAGGAGAGGAGAGGAGGGGGAGGGAATGAGGGGATGATTGTTGATGGGGGAGGGGTGGTGCCGAGGAAGAGTGGAGGAGGGAGGTGGGGAGGGGGAGGGGGGGGAGGCGGGGGGGGGGAGAGGAGGAATAAGAAGGTACTTTGAACGGAAGGGGAGTGGAGGGTCGAGGAGAGGGCAGGGGGAGGGTGCATTTGGGGGGGTTATGGGGAATATGGGTACAGGTCGAGGGGAAGGGAAGCAAGGGAGTGGGGAGGGCAGTAAGGAGGGAAGTAAGGAGGGAAGTAAGGAGGGTAGTGGAGAAGGGGAGAACAGGAGTGGTGAGGGTAGTGGAACTGAGAAGCGAAACGAGGGAATGCAGACAGGAGGTGATGACAGAGGAAAGGGCAGTGGGAGTGACAATAGCGAAGGGAACCCCGCGGATGCAGCCGAAGCTCGCCGCCTGAGTGCAACAGCGCCTCGGCCCAACAGCAGTAGTGACAATAACGAGGGGGGAAACATCGAGCGGAGCAACAGTGGAAACACAAACAACAGCTGCGGAAACAACAGCAGTGGGAACAACAGCAGCGGGAATAACAGCACACAGATGCAGGGCAGTAGCAGGGCCACTGCAGGCACTAGCTCTGGTTCTGACTCACGCCTTGGGAGAGAAAGAGGCGTGGGCGGGCGAGACTCTAGTGAGAGTGAGAGGGTGGAGGAGGAGGAAGAGGAGGAAGAGGAGGAGGAGGAGGAGGAGGAGGAGGGGGAGGAGGAGGGGTTTGTCATGGTGGAGAGGGGTGCAGGGAGGTTGGAGGGAGTGCGGGAGGAGTGGGGGGAAGAGAGAGAGGCGGGGCAAGCAGGGGGGGTTGAGGAGGGGTCTGCAGGGGCAGGTGGGCGTGTGGTGGAGGGGCATGGGGAGGGGAGGGAGATGGAGGTAGAGGGGGAGGCAACCCCAATGGAGGAGGACTATAACGAGGACAAGCAAGCAGACGTTGAGAAGGCCAATGAGGATACGGAAATGGCAGAGCGAGGGGAGGAGGTGAAGGAGAGGGAAGTGAGGGAAGAAGAGAGGGAGGAAGCACATGAGAAGCAGGGTCAATCCGCAAGCCAGGCGTCAGGAGAGTCACCACAGCTGGGCAGCGCCAATAGGCCGTCTGAGCAGACTCCGTCGCCCTCCCTGCCCTTCGTGCGCGCTTTAGATGCGCCTCAAAAGGCGTCTGGAGAATCACCACAGCTGGGCAGCGCTAATAGGGCGTCTGAACAAACCCCCTCCCCCTCCCTGCCCTTCATGCGCACTGATGCTCTTATGACATCAGCAGGTGGGTTGATAACATCGGCAGGCGTTGCTGTGCCTGTGGGTGGTGGTTGCTTCCCCTCCATCTCCCCCAAGGGCACCGCCACTGGGACTGGGGGAACAGGCACGGGGACAGGGGGAACTGGCGCGGGGACAGGAGGGAGGACGTGGGGATCAGGGGGAGCAACTGGTGGGGGGAGTGGGGGAGGGACGGGGGGAACTGGGGGAACTGGGGGAACGGGGGAAATAGGGGGAAGGATAGGCGCAGCAAGGGGGGAAGCAGGAGGGGATGGTGGTGGGGAGGGGGGTGGGAAGAAGGGGCAAGGCAGTGGAAGTGATACCCAAAGCCGGGCGGCAACAGATTCGAGCGGGCGGCATTTGTCTCTTTCTGGGCTGAGGCGGGCGGTGGAGGAGGAGGTGGTTGGGGCGGGCGGCGGGGGAGGGACAGGGGGAGGGCTTGGGGAGCATGGGGGGCAGGAGGAGACGGGGAGTGGGGGAGGGAGCAGGGGGAGGAGTAGGGATGAGAATGGGAGTGATAGTGGGGGGAGTGATGACCTGGGAAGTGGGGACCACAGAAGAAGGGTCCGCGCATTTCATACTGCTGCCGCCACTGCTACTACTGCCGCTGTCGCTGCTACTGCTGCCACCGCCCCTGCCGCTGTCATTGCTGTAACTGGTGCTGTAAATACACCAGCAGGTGTAGCAGGTCAAAGAACGAGTCCTGGGCATTCAGCAGCAGCTAACGCTGAGGCTGCTGCAGCAGCGGGAGCAGATGCAAGGGCAGGACAGGAAGCTGTTGCAGGGGTGGGAGGGGTTGCACGGGGGACGGGTGCAGAGGTGGCAGGTGAGGCAGCAGGGGCAGCAGCACCAACCACGGCACCAACCGAAGTGGCGGCAGCAGCAGCAGCGGCGGCTGCTGGGGGAACAGCAGCGGCGGCAGCCGCAGGAGCAGCAGCAGCGGCGGCGGCAGCAGCAGCAGCAGCAGCAGCAGTAGCGAGGCCGGGTCGGCTGAGCCTGACATCCCAGCACAACCGCATGGGCATAGCGACGGGCAACTGGGGGTGTGGCGTGTTTGGGGGCGACCTGGAGGTGAAGAGCATGCTTCAGTGGATGGCTGCCTCTGAGGCTGGCCGCCCCTTTGTCCTCTACTTCACTTACGCCGACCACCGCGCTGCTAGGCTTAAAGAGGTGTGTGAGTGGCTGCTGAGGGAGGGGTGGAGTGTGGGCGAGCTGTGGACCACAGTGGCTGAGTACAGCCGGCAGCGACGCGACCACCAGCTGCACCTGCAGGTGCCGCAGCAGCACTCGGATCACCACCACCACTCCCAGCAGCAGCAAGACATGGATTACCAATACCAGCACCACGAGCAGCAGCAGGGGCAGGGGCAGCATGGGCAGGGGCATGGGGAGAGGCGGCGGCAGCGGTACGGCACGCCGGTGTCCTTCTTTGACTGGCTCATCCCCGTGCAACAACGTTCCGGTAGGTAGGTGAGCAGGTGGGCGGCCGGGCGGGCTGGGGGGTGGTCACAGATGCATGCTCCGTCCTGTATACTCCTCCCCATTCCTTTTGACCTAAAATTACAAGTTGTGAGACAATGTATGTAGGTTGCCTTGTGACATAAATGCGCTGCTCTGAAGCGAGGGAAACCTGGTGACTTTGAGAGGGCTTTTGTGGAAAGGAAGCAGGGTCTCACGTCCTTTGAATCAGATTGTAAAAGCAAGCTGGACTAACCCCAGTGCTTCAGTTACTTTCCCCCACCCCCGCCCATCCAAACCTGTCAGCAGGTTCTCCCGAGCCTGACGCCAAGCGTGCCCGCCTGTCCACCTCCGGAGGTTCGTCTCGAGCCGTGTCATCCCCTCCCCGCACCTCCCGCTCCCTGCACACGGAACTGCAGTACGCATTTGAAGACCCGTGCCTCGTTCCTGAAGTGGGGGGGACCACTGATGGGACCAGAACCAACCAGCAGAGTGGCCGTGCAGAGGGTGGTGAGGGTATGCGGTGTGGTGGTGTGGCGGATGGCAGGGAGGGAGGTGGAGGAGGGGGAGGAGGGGGAGGAGGGGGAGGAGGGGGAGGGGGAGGAGGAGGAAGAGGAGGAGGGGTGCATGGGGAAGTTCCAGGTGGCGTTGATGCATGTGTGCGAGATGAGTCACAGGGAGCAGGGCGCAGGGAGGAGGCAAAAGAAGCAGGGCACGGGGGTGAGCAGGCACAGGAAGCAGCGCGCAGGGAGCAGCAGGGGGGGGAAGGCGGGCACAAGGACAAGGTGCAAGGGTGGGAGGACAGGGGCGGTAGGGGACGGCAGGTAGGGCAGCAGGAGGCAGGGCAGGATGCCCACGTTCAGGCATGCCAGGAAGAGGGTGAGGGTGGGGCAGTGGAGGAAGGAGTGGGAGGTCCTGGCGAAGGCGAGCGGGAGGAGGGGCAAGCAGAAGGGCGAGGGGATGGGAGAGGGGATGGGCGATGGGAGTCGATGGCGCAACAGGGCGAGGTTCCGGTGCTGAATGGGGAAGCAAGGTGGCACGGGGATGGGGATGGTAGGGGCACTGGGGATGCCAATGCTGGGGAAGGGGAAAGAATGCAGGACGAGGGGAATGAGGAGCAGGAGCGAGAGGAGGAGGAGGAAGTGGAGGTGGAAAGAGGAGCGGCCATGCATGGGCAGTCGGTGCCTCGTTGGGGAGAGGCCAGTGCTCAGAGCAGCAGACAGCACAGACCGCAGCCACCGCAGCAACAGCAGCAGCAACATCAGGCACAGCAGAACCTTCAGCAGCTCCAGCAACAGAGGGATTCTGGCAGTGGAGAGGGAGTTGTACCTGGAAGCGGTGGGGGGCCATCTCAGCAGGAATCAGCCCAGCAGCAGCCTAGAGAGGGAGATGAGTCACCAGCTGCTGCACACGAAAGAGATGAGGCTCGGGCTGAAGCACGGGGTCAGGTACGGGGACTGACTGGGGAAGCTGGTGAATTGGAGGAAAGGGATGGGAGGGATGAGATTGAGGAAAGGGAGGGTAGGTCTTCTGACCAGCGTTACTCAAGGGAGGTACCTTCTGGGAGCGGTTGGCAAAACGTCTCGTTTGGAGACGGACGGTCAAGATCGGACGATATGAGTGACAGTACCAATAGGGAAGCAGCTAGTAGCGAGGACATGAGCAGGTCACAAGGGAGCGGGAGAGATGGTGGAAGAGCGGGGCGTGGGTTGAGAGGCAGGAATACAAGCTGGGGTGGAAGGAGTAGAGGCTCTAGTGATGGGCAAAGGGCGATGGGGGAGCAAATTGACTCTGATACACCGTCACTTGACAGTTTGGATGAAGTGTTTCGAGAACGGATGGGGCAAGGCAATGGGGAATCTTGAGAATGTGTATATTGACCAACTCAAGCGGCTAATCCCTTCCTATGTACCTTCGGAAACCTGAAACACAGTATTTTTTTGCGCCAGTTTCTGCCTTGAATTGTCAAGTGTGTTATGTCAAATGTCATTTGATTCACCTACCCCCACATGCCACCGCTTATGATACGTAGCACATGTTTTTAAAGCCTTGTCTCTTATTCTGAACTGAGTACATCTCATACTGGATAATTTTCTATGCGCCCACCGCCATGCACCAGTCAACCGTCAGTCGTCAACCCCCACCCGTCGTACGGCAGCCATGGAAGGACACATTCACTTTTCATTCTGGGGGATCTGAACCCCGAGGTACAGTACGCTCAAAACAAGGGACGAATTGCGGCCTCGCAAGGGACGAACGGCCAAAAAACACACGAGAACGAAGCCCCAAGTAACATCTCCTCGAACAACAACAGCTCCACGGCTGAGACCTAACCACACCTAACCACTTTAAGACGTACACCATCTCTTTGTCACGCTGCAAAACGGGTCCTGTGCCAAAGCGCAGTCAAGGGCGAACACCCCCCACCAACCGCACCAACCGCAGTCAAGTTTCACCACCTCGGCAATCCCGAGGAAGGAATCTCGAGATGCTTCCTGGGTCCCGCTTTATTTCGCTTTTTGCAGACCTCGACAAAAAGCTCACAAGAGCCAACCACCATCTCTCACCACCATTACCAAGAGCAGCAGCACCATCACACCATCGCTCGCATCATCTTCATTCATCACCATTACCATTCACAGCCTTCTTGTTGTCGCCATTCTTCTCGTCTTCAAGTTTAGTACTTGGCCTGTTTGTTCACTCAATTCTCCGTTGTGAACCACCAGGCAACGTCCTTACGGGGCGACGAATGTTGGAAGCATTTCAGGCAACTTACTTACCCATGTTCGTCGCATATCTCCACTAATTATGCCATGGAGTCCCGCGTTGCCGATCAGACTAGCCCAGCGCTACCGCCAAGGCCCGTTTCTCATACCTCCGCGTCCGCATTCGTCGCGTCCAGTAGCAGTTTGACGGCGGAGGTGCGTCAAAGTCAGAGTTTTGAGGCGCCTAAAGAATTGTCCAGTAGGAGGAGTTTATCGGCAGAATTTCGTCAAGAAGATAATGAGGTCTCCGTGTTAACCGCACCAGCGGGAGCATCCGCTTCCGGATTGGCCAGGCGAGGCTCGTCCGCAAAGAATCTTCGCGAACCTTTTCTTAGCGAACCTGTCGCTACCGGGGTTCCGTGTGCGACCCTCGCTGGAGATCAATTTGGTGTTCCTAAAACGAGGGAAAGATACAGCGGCGGAGGGAGTGATCAATGCGAGGGGGAGCGACAACGAACAGGTGGCGCGATTGACCGCGGTGGCAGTTCCATCCCCGCTCATTCGCTTAACGAATCAGCTAATGTCGATGTTCAGCGTTTGGAAGCCCGCCGTCACGATGCGGATTCAGGCGCCTCTATCCTTAACGAGGATGATTATAGCGGAGCAATTTCTTCAGCACGGGACAGTCTTCGCGATGCCATCGAGCTGATCGCGACAGGCGTCGAGGCGAGCTCCAGCGAAGGGGTGACAGAATCGAATCCTCTTTACAGCAGCTACAGTGAAATTGGAAGTGCGCGTGACAATAGCGAAATAATGATCCAGGAGGGACGGCGCTCCGTTATAGCGGAGGAGCGGGGGAGAGCGTACCACGGGAGCGATCTCCACGAAGCCGCCATGGTCGACGGAAGTGCTTTTAATGAAGCAGGGCCCGAGGGTGTCGAAATTACGAAGCCGAAGCAAGGCGATGCGATCGAGGAGCAATGGCCGACAGGGCCTATGGAATCTTGGGACCCTAAGAAAGTCGAATACCTGATCTCCCGCTCGCCTCCCCACCGACCATCCCCCTTCCCCGCCTACCTTTCCTCCTCCTTCCCCTCCTCCCTCTCCTCCTCTCTTTCCTCCCACCTCGCCCTCCTCCTCTCCTCGCTGTCCCGCTACGCGCGCGCGCTCGACGCGTGGTGGGGCACGGTGGCCGAGGAAACGTTTAATCTCTCCGAGGAGTTTAAGTACGTTGGCTGGCCGGGCAACTATGGCAAGGCGGCGGGCGGAGCAGCGGGGGGAAGCGCAGTGGGCGCAACGGGGGCGTCTGTGGGGGGAGGCGCGGGGGAGGGGGTGGGAGGGGGAGTGGGAGGGGGGGTGGAGGTGGGGGGAGCAGGGGTTGCGGGGGTGAATGTGTGGCGACGAGTGAAGAAGTACCGACACTTTGTGGCCTTCATGGCTGGTGCGTTTGGTGCATGGATGCTGCATTTGTGACTGCACGTACGCAGTGGCTCAACCATCTCTTCACCATTCCCTCTCGGGAAAAAAAGATACTCAATTCCTCTTCCCTCTCCCCTCGCCTCACCCGTCCTCTGCGTCCGTCCCTGTCTTCAAGTCCCTCATCTTGTTTCTCCTTCCATCCCTCATGCGTGCAGTGGTGGCAGCAGTCAACGGGCTATTCTCTCTGCTCCTCATCGATTCCCTCCTCTCCGGTGCCTGCATCCCCCTCTTCCACGACGGCCATGCACGCCCTCTTCCGTCCCTCCTCCATTCCCTCCTCACCCCTCCTTCCTTCCCTCCCTTCTCTTTTCGCCCATCCCTCCATGCATGCAGTGGTGGCAGCAGTCAACGGCCTCTTCTCTCTGCTTCTCATCGACTCACTCCTCTCTGGTGCCTGCATCCCCCTCTTCCACGACTGCCATGCCCACCCTCTTGGCCATGCTGCTGCTGCTCTTGTAACCTATGACCTGTGAGTATCACGTATGACTTGTAACTGCAGCGTATGTGTAATTGCAACCTTTTTTTTGTAATGTATTTGCAAGTACAAGCAAACTGTGTTCCTTAAGTCCCCCGCCCCCTCCCACATCTGTCATTGACCTCATCCCCTCCCACATCTGTCATTGACCTCATCCCCTCCCACATCTGTCATTGACCTCATCCCCTCCCACATCTGTCATTGACCTCATCCCCTCCCACATCTGTCATTGACCTCATCCCCTCCCACATCTGTCATTGACCTCATCCCCTCCCACATCTGTCATTGACCTCATCCCCTCCCACATCTGTCATTGACCTCATCCCCTCCCACATCTGTCATTGACCTCATCCCCTCCCACATCTGTCATTGACCTCATCCCCTCCCACATCTGTCATTGACCTCATCCCCTCCCACATCTGTCATTGACCTCATCCCCTCCCACATCTGTCATTGACCTCATCCCCTCCCACATCTGTCATTGACCTCATCCCCTCCCACATCTGTCATTGACCTCATCCCCTCCCACATCTGTCATTGACCTCATCCCCTCCCACATCTGTCATTGACCTCATCCCCTCCCACATCTGTCATTGACCTCATCCCCTCCCACATCTGTCATTGACCTCATCCCCTCCCACATCTGTCATTGACCTCATCCCCTCCCACATCTGTCATTGACCTCATCCCCTCCCACATCTGTCATTGACCTCATCCCCTCCCACATCTGTCATTGACCTCATCCCCTCCCACATCTGTCATTGACCTCATCCCCTCCCACATCTGTCATTGACCTCATCCCCTCCCACATCTGTCATTGACCTCATCCCCTCCCACATCTGTCATTGACCTCATCCCCTCCCACATCTGTCATTGACCTCATCCCCTCCCACATCTGTCATTGACCTCATCCCCTCCCACATCTGTCATTGACCTCATCCCCTCCCACATCTGTCATTGACCTCATCCCCTCCCACATCTGTCATTGACCTCATCCCCTCCCACATCTGTCATTGACCTCATCCCCTCCCACATCTGTCATTGACCTCATCCCCTCCCACATCTGTCATTGACCTCATCCCCTCCCACATCTGTCATTGACCTCATCCCCTCCCACATCTGTCATTGACCTCATCCCCTCCCACATCTGTCATTGACCTCATCCCCTCCCACATCTGTCATTGACCTCATCCCCTCCCACATCTGTCATTGACCTCATCCCCTCCCACATCTGTCATTGACCTCATCCCCTCCCACATCTGTCATTGACCCCATCCCCTCCCACATCTGTCATTGACCTCATCCCCTCCCACATCTGTCATTGACCTCATCCCCTCCCACATCTGTCATTGACCTCATCCCCTCCCACATCTGTCATTGACCTCATCCCCTCCCACATCTGTCATTGACCTCATCCCCTCCCACATCTGTCATTGACCTCATCCCCTCCCACATCTGTCATTGACCTCATCCCCTCCCACATCTGTCATTGACCTCATCCCCTCCCACATCTGTCATTGACCTCATCCCCTCCCACATCTGTCATTGACCTCATCCCCTCCCACATCTGTCATTGACCTCATCCCCTCCCTCCACTCTAACCGCTCCCATCCTCTCTGCACTTGTCTTTCATCCCAGATCCAATATTAACCACACTCGCCACGCAGCGTCTCTCCGGTCCCTCCGCCAACCCCACTCCACCGGTTTCCACCACTCTGCACACAGCAGCAGCAGACAAAGTCTCTTGCAGCAGCAGCAGCAAGAAGGGCGTCAGTCTGAGGAGGGGTATCAGGAGAGGCAGGGAGGAGAGGAAGAGGGACAGGAGGATGAACCAGACAATTCCATGCAGCACGATCAGAATAAGGATGGGAGTGATGATGAGAATAATAGTGGGAGTAAAGATGGAAAGGCCGGGGACGAGTCGTCTGCTATGGTTCTCACAGCCTCTGCTGTCTCTGCTGCGTTCTTCCTCCCACGACTAGCCCGATCGCCAGGCGTTCACGTCACTCCGTATCCCGACGTCCCAGGGGCCTACATCCTGCAAACACCACCCACTTCCACACCCTCAACCACCTCTTCTTCCTCTTCTTCCTCTTCTTCCTCCATTCATCTTCAAGATGCTTCCACCGACCCGTCACTCGATCCCACCTCCACCACCACCACCGTTCCTCATCCCCCGCCGCGCTGCTCGCTCCTCCTGAGGGACGTGTGCTACGTGCACATGCAGGGCGCCAGTCGCCTGCACCGCAGCAGCGCCGGCGTGTGGTTCGACCGCGAGGCTCTAGAGAGCGCGCTGGCTGGGGACCTGGGCGGGCAGGCCTTGCACGCTGCCTCTGACCTGTCTAAGCTCAACCTGGGTCTCGTGCAGCAATGTTCTGCTGGGGAAGGTGGGGGTGTAGGTGCGGGTGCAGGTGGGGGTGCACATGGGGGAGACTCGAGAACGAGTAGTACTGGTGGGAGTGGGACCGGTGGTGATGGGAGCAGCAGCAGCAGCAGCAACGGTGAGGTTGCAGATGTTGACTCTATCGCTGAAGCGCTTTATGAGAAGGTCGGGGGGTTTCTGAGTGCGGATGAAATGGCGTTCTATGCCGCCTCTAGTGCCTCGCAAGGAAAGCAAGTCTTTCGCTCATCTGCCCTCTCCCCGCCGCCCGCACTCCCCTTGGCCGTCGTCCTGCCTTCGGCCGGGCGGCAGAGTGAATTCGCTGACCTGGCAGATGTGCTGCATGACGTGGCACTCTACCTGCCGACCATTTCCAAGCCCAGCTCCCCTCACCAACGTCCTTACCACATGGCTGGTTCGATAAAAATAAAGGGCTTGCAAGACAGTGGGTCAAGCTCTGCTGATTCTGCTTCCACTGCCGCTGGTACTGCTGGCACTGATACCGCCGCTGCTGCTGGTGGTGGTGCCACCACTAGTGCTCCTGAGGATACTGAATCCTCAACAGGACCACATCTCTTCTTCCCCTCTGCCGCCCACCCTCCTAACCTCTGGGTGGGCGGCACAACCCGGCTGCTTCTCGGGCCTCAAGCCCTCGCCCTGCCGGGCAGGCGCGTCGGGCAGGTGAAATGTTTCCAGAACGCCGTTTTCATACCGGGCAGGGAGCAAAAAACGAGGAGCGCCTGGGCTGTGGAGGCAATAAGGGAGAGAGCATGGGAGATGGTGGATGATGTAGAATCACTAGTGTCTAAAAGGCTCTGGGGGGGTAGGAAGCTAGGAGTGGCTAGGACACTGCAGGCCCAGGCACAGATTGAACTGAACGGGGACGTGAAGAGATTAAAGTCGTTCTTTAAAGAGATGAGGAAGCGTACAGGAAGGTTCCACCATGTGACTGTGCTGGCAAGTGATGGGCAAGGAAGAGGGAGGATAGAGGAAAGAGAGAGGAAGACAGGGGGGGAGAGGGAGAGGGAAGAGGATGGAGAGGGGAATGGAAACGAGGTGGATGAAGGGGAGAGGGACGCGGGGATGGCGAATGCAGAGGGGGTGGCAGAACTAGTGCGAGCAATGATGCCTAAGCTGACTGTCGATGTTGTGACCCTCGCCAATCGCTCCTTCGTAGAGCAAGTCGCCATCATGAAGGTGAGATTTGAGGTGCCTCAAAACTCGGGTATGGCGAATGGGAAGGGGGAGTGGCAGAGCGGGTGCGAGCCATGATGCCGAAGCTGACTGTGGATGTTGTCACTCTCTCCAATCGTTCCTTCATCGAGCAAGTCGCCATCATCAAGGTGAGCCTTCTCTCCCGCTTCCATGCCCTCTCTCTCACTCTGACTTTCTCTCCTCCCTCTCCTCCCTCTCCTCCCTCTCCATGCAGCGTACGCCTCTACTAAACTTCATGCACGGCCCATCCCTTGCCAGCACCACGCAGTCCTCGGTTCACTCAAAGCAGCCTATCCTATTCATTCGTCCACTCAATCCCTCAAATTCGCTTACGCTTCCTCTCCTCCTCTCTCTTTCTCTCCTCCCTGCCTTGCCTCTCCTCCCTCCTCTGCAGCGCACGGCTCTCCTAATAGCCATGCACAGCCCATCCCTTGCTAACACCCTCTTCCTCCCGCTCAACGCCCCCACCTCCTTTATCTCACATTCCCTCTCCTCTCTTTCCCACCCTACTTACCTCCCTCTCATCCCTCTCCCCCCACCCTGCAGCGCACGGCTCTCCTAATCGCAATGCACGGCCCATCCCTCGCCAACACCCTCTTCCTCCCCCCTGACGCCTCCCCCTCCTTGATTTCACATTCCCTCTCCTCTCTTTCCCACCCTACTTCCCTCCCTTTCATCCCTCTCCTCCCTCATCTCCTCCCTCCCTGCAGCGCACGGCTCTCCTAATCGCCATGCACGGCCCATCCCTCGCCAACACCCTCTTCCTCCCGCCCAACGCCACGCTCCTCGAGCTCTTCCCCCCTCACCTCCACTCCCCCCACCACTCCTCCCTCGCCGCCGCCTCCCGAGTCCACTACTACAGCTGGCACAACGCACACCCTCTCAACACCACATACACCTCTGACTGCATGGCCCGCGGGCAGTACGCTCTCCTGCCTGAGGCCCTGTGTGCGGGGAAACCGGAGTGCCTGGCGTGTGTGAGGGACCGGTCGGTGACGGGGGTGCATCTGGGGGAGCTAAGGGGTGTGCTGAGGAAGATCCAGCAGCCTCTGCGGGCATTCTTCCTGGCTGCCCAGCACAGGCACAGACGGAGAGGCATCCTGTATGGATCTAGCAGTAGCTAGCCAATTTCCATTAAGGGGGCACATCTGGGGGAGCTGAGGAGGATCCAGCAGCCCCCTGGCTGACTCTATCAAGCACAGGCACGGGCGGAGGAGAGGCATCCTGTATGGATAATCATCTTCTGGTAGCCTGATAGCTAGCTAATCACAGGCGATCACTGCGGACAGGGCAGTATGCCTTGCTGCCTGCAGCCCTGTGTGTGGTGAGAGTGGAGTGCGTGATGTTTGTGGGGGGCCGGTCAATAAAGAAGTTCAGGGGCAAAGGGGCATGCTGAAAATTACCGTAAGAATCTTTGTGTACTCCAGTTTCAGTAGTAGGCTTTGTATGATACTATAATACACTATAATTGGAACAAAACATGGTACCATACAAGAGGTGCTGCATCTAAGGTACTTGAAACAGCCTTGTAGAATAAAACTGGTGGCCACACATTTGCACATTTTCATAATTGACACAAAACATCTACAACATGTGCATGGCTCTACATCAAGTACTGACGCTTATTATGTTATCAGGTGCATAGGTTCAGACCAGACACTGTAAAAGGGACGAGCGCAGGGGGCTTCAGGGGTGGAGGGATGAGGGATGAAGCAATGAGGAACTCACATATGCAACGGAGGGAGAGGGGGAGTGAGCAGAGGAAATGAGGAATGGGCACCGGAGGATGAGGGTAACAAAGGGGAAGGGGTGAGAGCTGGGGGGATGAAAGATGAGGGCAGGGGGAAGGGGTAAGGGAATGGGGAATGGATGAGCACAGGGGGGGGAGGAGGAGGATGGGAAAAGAAAGGGCTCAGCGGAAAGGGGTGAGCAAAGGGGTTTCCAGGAGCAGAGGGAATGAGGGATAAAAACAAGAGGAATAAGTGGTGAGCGCAGGGGGGCCGAGGGGAGTGCAAAGCGGGGAATGATGGGCACAGTTGAAGTGAGGGATAAGTGCACGGAGGGTTGGGAAATGAACGGTGGCAAAATGAGAGTTGCGTGCAGGGGGGGAAAAGGGATCAGCACAGGGGGGAAGGGGGGAGGGGGGGAATGACAGCAAAGGGAATGGGGAACGGATGAGCGCAAAGGGAAAAAGTGGGGGATGGGAAAGGGATGGGCGCAGGGGAAAAGGGTGAGCACAGGGGTTATGAGGGAGCACAGAGAAAATGATGGATGAACACAAGGGGAATAAGGGGTGAGCGCAGGGGGGAGGAGGGGGAGCACAGGGGGAAATGATGGGAACAAAAGGGGGATGAGAGGTAATCGCAGGGGGGTTGAGGGGGATAACTGTGGTGGAATGAAAGGTGAGCGCAAGGGGGGAGGGGAAGGTATAAGCGCTGAGTGAAAACGGCGCAGGGGGAGGAGGGGTGAGCGCAGGGGGGAGGAGGGGTGAGCGCGGGGGGGGGGGGAGGTATCAGCGCTGAGTGAAAACGGATGAGCGCAGGGGGGCGCGGGGTGAGCGCGTGGGGGGGAAGGTATCAGCGCTGAGTGAATACGGATGAGCGCAGGGGGACGAGGGGAAAGCGAAATGGGGAATGGGGGGAGGGCGAGTGACGGGGATGAGGGGTGAGCGGAGGCAAGAGGGAGTGAGGAGACTTACACGATACTTCTGATTATGGAGTTCGCCAAGAGCGCGTCAGCGGCGTCTAAATAAAAGACATTAAAGCGCGTCAACGGCGTCTGATTAGAAGACATTTAAGCACGTCAGCGGCGTCTGATTACAAGACATTAAAGCGCGTCAGCAGCTGACGCGTATTAAAAGGACATGGCGTTTTTAGGGTTAGCTGTAAATCGGGCGAGATCGTCAGATCTACTTACGACGCGAACATCAATCTTAAAGCGGTCGTACATGTATGCGTGACTGCTCTACCGAAAGTCCCTTCGCGAAGTAATTTATATACGAAATAGACTTGTCATTCCTAGTATTGAAAATAGTACGCATCTGAAAATTGCTGCTACCATTCAGCACGGAACGACCAAGGATGGAAGGATCTGAAGTGGAATCAATTGATAACATTAGGAGGTCAGAGGAGAGGCGAGATTACTTACTAGTCTAGGCTCTAAGATTTGGGACTCCCAAAGACTAGATCTGAGGCAGGAAGCGAGGACAACAGCAGCAACAATGTCGATAATAGCGAGCGGGTGGTTGGTGCACCAACTCACACCCCCTTACAATCACCTGCTATCGAGCTGTTTTGATACCCTGTGTTACCACAAATTTGTTCGGATTTGCTTCCCCAGCTTTCCTTCCTCTCTCAGTTCTTTCTTTGCTCTCGGTCTATCATCCTGATTGGTCCTAAGGGCGCGTGTGATCGGTGGAATTTGTGAAAGTTTACATTTTAAGGGCGAGTTGTGCTACATGAACATATGTCGAACCAAACTCGACTTTCATTGTATCGGGGTTCGCACATCTGGACCACAACACTGCAGAAAAGCACACACATATACAAGGTCGAGTGCGCGTATTCGAACTTGTAAAAACGCACCGAACCGCATTTCTACAAAGTAGGTTACCCGGTTCTAAAAAGTAGGTTACCCGATTATCGCCACGTGGTCTCTATTCAGTACACGAAGGCTGTGGTGAGTTCGTTGTGAAACTGTTGCTACTCGTGAGTCGCTCGCACATTTCGCCAGATGCTCGAACGTGCGGGAAATCACACACGTGAATGTGAACATGCCGAAGCACGTTCACAACTAAAACTCGAGTCTTGTTCAAGTTTGCAGTTCGCATGTTGCCAAACCCAAAGTTGACGAAGTTTCGCTCGTAGCTTTATGCGACATTGGCGAAACTGGTAACCACACAAAGTTCGCACTTTTTTTTGAATTTCAAATCCGACCTCACACGCCCTAACAGATCTTTCCATCCAACCAGTTCCATTTCAGCTGCCCAAAGTCTTATTTAGCAAGAGCCTAAACTCGTTTTTCCAGCTTCATCTTGTTGCCGTCCCGCAACTCACGCAAATTATTATGCCCAGACTAATACCTAACCTGCCCGTAACTCGGAACCTTCTGGAAGGGCTGGTCAACCCTGTACCACACTCTGGATATGAGCAGATATGCACGAATGTGTTCAACAACTTACAGAAATGTAAACACGAGAACAGCTACAAACGGGTATACGCGCCAATTGTTCTGACTAAACTCCCAAGTCGAACCAAACATCGCTGACGATCGAAGAAGTGCCAATCCATGTCCACTTTTTAGCGGTCTGGCCGCTTGTCGGCGGAGGGCTCACTCTTCAATCCAAGTCGTTCACTTTTTGCGGCGCCATCTACCGCCGGCTTTCAGAATCGACCGCGATTCGCACAGGCAGCACCACACCTCTCGACTTGAGGGACATTCACTAACCATCACACCGTACATCACCCCATTCATTCTCACTCCCCCAAACTTTCAAAAGATCCTGAGCTGGTGAATTTGGCGACTCGCACGGCCATCTTCGGACAGCACGAGAATAGATCGAGGCCGTTTAAATTTAGCGGCGGCGTTTTACTACCCTCGATTCAAAATCCCCAGAAATTTCAGAATCATCGACCGCGATTCGCACAGGCCGCACAACCACACCTTCAGTTGCTTCCATCATGTCACCAAATCATTCTGGGTCGCCCAGACGCCAAAAGCTGCTGAACTGATGATCTTGGCGATCCTGCAAGGCCGTCGGCGGATGGCACGAAAATACATCGAGCCGTTCGAATTTAGCGGCGGCAATTTGCCACCCTTGATTCCAGAACCCATCCTTACCAGAAACTCCATCCAACTGAGATTTGCGCACACGGCACCACCTCCCACAATCTACTCCCGTCAGTTAGCTCAAGTAACCACTAATTGTCCATTCCAACTTCATTCATTCGAAAAAACCATTATCGTCGACGATATTCTCTTTTAAGGAGCACCGGAAAGCCCGAGTCAGCCAAAGGCATGCAGCAGAGCGTGTGTGCGCTCGCAGCGTCGCGCGTAGGTTCGCAGCACTAGGCGCGCAGCAACGCAGCATAAGCTCGCAGCGCAGCGTCGCAGCGCAGAGTCGCAGCGCGGAGTCGCAGCTTAGGCTAGCAGCGCACGCTTTGCTACATGCTTCTGGCTGATTCATGTGCCTCGATGGTGCTCCTCGCCTCCCTTCTCCGAACGAGTCTACTAGCCTCAAATTGAGTAGATCAGAACGGTAGCTTGAAGACAGTCCAAGACTGCTGTTATTTTGAAGACATTGGAAGACATTTTTCACTTGAAGAAATCACGGCGCCGCGAGCTTCCAGGATAAGGTTTCGTGCTTTACTGTTATTTTTTTCTATTGGCGGGCCTTATGATGATTGTTTTTATGATATACAGATCATAGTCTCGTCTTCAACTCAAGCTCAAGCGCCGCGAGGACTTCACAAGACTTAAAGACTTCACAAGATCAGCGTCACGTCAACGTCATCGCGTTACGATCTGCACGTCGTCGCGGCAAGGGTGAGTTTCTCCACCTGTTTGTCGCGCTTTGTCGTGCTTTTCTTGTCTTTGTTTTTCCTGTTCTTGCTGTTCTTGTTTTCATCAGTTTTACTAACGTTTTTTCGTGTTTTAGTGCGCAGGTTTCGTGGAGGGGAGGCCGCGGGTGTTATCACTTTTCCCCTTCTGTCTGTCTCTCTCTCTCTTGTCTCCTCAGATCAATGAAGGAGGACTACAACGTACGGGAGGTCGTGGCTGGAGGAACGAAACCGAGGGTGAGCTTTCTACCTATGTCGTGTTTGTCAATCTTTGTCGTGCATTTCTTGTCTTTTTTTTCCATGTTCTTTCTATTCTTGTTTTCATCTTGTTTTTTGTCAGTTTTACTAACGTTTTTTCGTGTTTTAGTGCGCAGGTTTCGTGGAGGGGAGGCCGCGGGTGTTATCACTTTTTCCCTTCTGTCTCTCTCTCTGTCTTGTCTCCTCAGATCAATGAAGGAGGACTACAACGTACGGGAGGTCGTGGCTGGAGGAACGAAACCGAGGGTGAGCTTTCTACCTATGTCGTGTTTGTCAAGCTTTGTCGTGCATTTCCTGTCTTTTTTTTTCCCTGTTCTTTCTATTCTTGTTTTCATCTTGTTTTCATCAGCTTTACTAACGTTTTTTCGTGTTTTAGTGCGCAGGTTTCGTGGAGGGAAGGCCGCGGGTGTTATCACTTCCCTTGTGTCTCTCTCTCTCTGTCTTGCCTCCTCAGATCAATGAAGGAGGACCACAACGGACGGGAGGTCGTGGCTGAAGGACTGCAACCAGGGGTGCGTTTCCCTACCTTTGTCGAGATTGTCGCGCTTTGTCGTGCTTTTCTTGTCTTTGTTTTTTGTTGTTCTTTCTCAATCTTGTTTCCATCTCGGTTTCATCAGTTTTACTAACGTCATTTCGTGTTTGAGTGCGCAGGTTTCGTGGAGGGGAGGCCGCTGGAGCTTTCACCGTTTTCTCCATCTCCTTATGTACTTTCCAGGTCATGGCGGAGGAGCAGAAGAACGGCACGGCACGGCACTGCTCGGCACGGCACGGCTGAAGGGTGAGAGTTGGTAAGGTACGCGGGTGGCGATTAGGAGCGACGGGGTGGCGAGTAGGAGGAGCGACCACGTGGTACAGGTATCTAGATCAGACGCGTGCTCGTGGTACCCGTGGTACAGATTCGAGGGAGGGTGGGGGTGGCGAGTAGGAGCGACCACGTGGTACAGGTATTAGATACGACGCGCGCTCGTGGTTGGTACAGGTTCGAGGGAGGTGGGGGTGGTTGGGTAGGATGCATGTTGATGGGTTTCCCATCTCAGCTTCCGTGGAGCATCACCGACTCGAGGCGCCTTCACCCTGACATCTGACATCCGGATATTCGAGGTGGTTCCCTGCCCGGTGGCGGGACAATCTAATTTTTGCCTCTTTTTCCAACAGGTGACCCGTACGAATAACCCCCACCTCAACGCGGTGTACGGGTGAAACGCTAGGAGCTTGCTCCTAGCGGCCAAGAGGGGTCAAGACCGAAGTGGCGAATCCTGTTGAAGAGCATCGTCGAAGGACCTTAGCGTTGTAGTTTTAAGATTTCTCTTGGTGTTGTAGTTACCACTGCCTTGTTTGTACTTTATTATATAAGTTACTTTTGTGACATTGATTCTGTATGAAACCGGTGCCCCTGTTCTTCGCACTTCGTAGTCACCAAACAGGAGAACAATATCCGCGCAGCAGCAGTGAAGAAATCCACTACACCGAAGAAACCCTGCCGCGGGGCAACGCTCTCTGTCAAAAATACAGTTCCCGCGCTCTCTGGAGCTTTTCGGGTCGCACTAGAACAGTGTCAGTCGAACCAAATCTCCCAGTTCAGTTCTCTGCCAGTTTGGAATCAAACTGTACAGTGATGTGCGGTCTGATGCTCCCTCCACCTTCGCTGTTCACTGAAAGCACATGTATGCGCAGAAATACAGATTTGCCACCCAGAACAGAAACGCTATTCAAACTCCAAGCCCTCTCTTTCTCAGTATAGCATACGTTCTTGCTACAGAGAAGTTGAAAGGACACCAATCTAGTCCTACCATCATGGCAATTATGAAATTAGGCTGACGAACCGCTACAGGGAGGACCGCTCAAAAGTCAACTCCTTGCCAGTGATGCAGAGTTAGTCCGGGTGCGCGGGAGGAGGAAGGCGGATGGAGAGGGCCGTGGTTGCGGGATGAAAGCTGCAGATGCTACAGCCACAAGTCAACGCTCCTAGACCGACAGGGGAACTTCATCTCAGTGCAGAGCATGCGGACATTGCCAATGATGCACAGGCGGTCAGCCAGCATACACACTGGCGAGAGGAAGGGGGGCAGGTGCTACAGGTCCGCGCTCCTAGACCGACAGGGGAACTTCATCTCGGTGCAGAGTATGCGGTCCTGCCAATGATGCACAGAGGAAGCTGCTACAGAGCGTAGTGGCTGGCTCGCGAGGGGAACTTCATCTCAGTGCAGAGCATGCGGTCCGTGCCAATGATGCACAGGCGGTCACGATACACGTCCACACGCCCGAACGCCACCGTGCCGGGGGGACACTCCACAGCGCCCTCCAGGATGCGGTGGTGGATGCCTCTGGCGTCGAGAGCGTATGCTCCGAAGTGCGCGTGTCCGGCTATCACTGCTGCCACACACTCGTGCCTGTGGATGGTCGCAAGGACCTGAGGGGGAGAGGGGGACGCCAGGAAAGCGAGGGGATGCAGGTGAGAGGGGAGAGCATGCAGGCTCCACATGCTTAAAGGGGACCATGACGGGGGGAGGAAGAGGGTGTCAGGGGAAGGGGGACACTCCACGGCTCCCTCCAGAATGCGGTCGTGAATGCCTCTGGCGTCGAGAGCGTATGCTCCGAAGTGCGCGTGCCCGGCTATCACTGCTGCCACACACTCGTGCCTGTGAATGGTGGCTAGGACCTGAGGGGTGGGAGGAGGGAGGAAAGGTGGGGACCGAGGAGGATGGATGCAGGTGAGGAGGGGGAAGGGATGTGGGCTGCACATGCGCGAAGGCGACTGTGCCGGAGGGAGGAGGGGGGAGTGGGGAGGGGGAGAAGGGGGGCACTCCACAGCGCCCTCCAAGATTTGGTGGTGAATGCTTCTGGCGACCAGCGCGTACGCTCCGAAGTGCGCGCGCCCAGCTATCACCGCTCACACGTGCCTGTGAATGGTTGCAAGGACCTGATTGGGAGTGGGTGGCGGAGGGGACGGCTGAGAAAGAGAGAGAGAGAGGAGGGTGAAGAGGGACAGGAGACGGCTAGAGAAGATGTGTACACAGAGGAGACGGGAGCAGATCTGACAGACCTTGTCATAGTCACACTCGAGAAACTCACCTTGTCACAGTCCTAGGAGTCACACTCACCTCGTCATAGTTCCAGACTAGGCAGGTGGCAGTGGGCAGCGCAGTGGGCTCGATGGGCTGGTGGCAGCACAGCACCACCGTCTCACCCAGGGCGTCGCACTCCTGGTGATGGGAGCAGACGATGAGGAAAGAAAACAGAGGGAGGAGCAGTGTGACATGAGAAAGAAGCGAATCAAACTCAATGGGCTGGTGGCAGCACAGCACCACCGTCTCACCCAGCTCATCGCACTCCTGGTGATGGGGCATTGATGGGAACGAGAGAACGAGTGGAAAGCGTGAGCGAGTGGGACGGACAGTTAGGCAGCTTTCAATGTCCACTAAGGGAGAGTTGCGCAAAAGTGACAACAAAGGGGCATGGGATGGGAGGACCTACTGATAGCACGCCTTCCAACCACCGGAGCTGCTCCTCCCCCACACCTCCGTTGAACTTCACAAACCTCCTGTAGGCACGAGGGCAGGCAGAGAAGGAGCAGTGGCGTGGGATGGGAGCAAGTGAGGCTGACGAAATGGGTGCATCATCTGCACATCTCTTACTGCGCGTGTATGGTGCGTTGAATCAAACCAAACACCTCACTTCCTCAAGCTCACCTGTTCAATCCCTCGAGCCCCTCAGGGCTGTTCTTCTCCTCGTTGGGGTTCTCCCGCTCCAGCACCCACACCTCACTGCGTGTGGTGGTGCACTGATCCCTCCCTAAATGCACGCACCCACAACTTGCCTCAGCACCTCCCCACCCTCATTACACCTACAGGCTCTCACCTGTTGAGCCCTTCGAGCCCCTCAGGGCTGTTCTTCTCCTCGTTGGGGTTCTCCCGCTCCATCACCTCCCTCGCCTTCACTGCGTGCGGATGGTCCTCAGGCCACCCCAGCAGACTCACGTCGTACGAATCAAGAACTACAAACCTGGACGCAGGGAGGAAAGGGAGGGGGTGTGAACAAAGGGGGAATGGTCGTGTGCCGACTGCACATGGATGGTCCTCAGGCCACCCCAGCAGAATCATGTCGTACGTATCCAATACAACGAACCTGGACGCAGGGAGGGTAGAAAAGGGGTGTGAGCGTGAAATGACTTACATTGTACAAAATTGAGACTGCAAACCTCCACGCACGTGGGGAAGGGAGGGAGAGGGGTGGGGAAGGGCGCGCAGACTGAGAAATGAAACCCAGTTTCGCACACACTACCAAGGAGGGGCGGGCATGGGGGGACGCACAGAGGGCGCACAGAGGGAGGGCGGAGAGGAATGCAGCTAGCGGGAGAAAAGATGGGATGCTAAGAAATCACGGAAGGATGTGCGGGAGAAAAGGGGAAAAAACAAAGAAATGGACAGACACCTGAAATTAGGGCAGGGCGAGAGTACCTGAAGTTAGGGAAGGGCGAGAAGTCATAGTAGGAGCGGTTGTCAGCGGCAGTGGGGATGGCGAGCATCTTATTGAGAGTGACGCGAGGCAGATTGTACAAGCAGTGGTTGCCTGCGGGGCAGTGCGGTGGGGCAGCATGCACAAAAATCCGGCACAATTGCAAACGCGACAACAAAAACGCACAGAAGGATAGGCAGGATGAATAGATGGGGGAAGGATACCAGACAGGAGCGTTAGGACGCTGATTACGTGCGCCAAGCTGCTTACCCGGCCAATGCATTGAAACAATGAGGTGAATGCAGAAAAAGCATGGCTGACGGACAGGAGGGTTGACCAACTATTCCGAGCTGGGTGGTGGCGTACCGATCATGTGGTATGTGGGTCCGGCTGTGAACCCAGCCAACGCATCCAGAACCTGAAAATCGCAAATGGGGGTTGGGCAGTGAGATGGGGTGAGGGTAGGTTAATGAGATGGGGTGGGGGAAGGGCGTTGAGATGAGGTGGGGATAGAATAGTGAGATGACATGGGGATAGGGTAGTGATATGGGGTGGCGGTATAGTGAGATGAGATAGTGCAATTGCCATCGTGCCAGCGATTCAATGCTGATAGACATGCCCAGCCTCACTGTGTTAACAGCTTCCTCGGATCTCTCCCTGAGGCAGAAGCCGTCCACAATATCGCCATGCTCGTGTGACTTCTGAGAATTCTCTAAAGCGACACAAGAATTGCTGACACACATGCCCAGGCTCACCGTGTTGACAGCTTCCTCGGATCTGTCTCTGGGGCAGAAGCCGTCCACAATATCGCATGCGTGCGTCAAGCTGAGAATTCACGGGCATGCCCAGCCTCACCGTGTTAACAGCTTCCTCGGATCTGTCTCTGGGGCAGAAGCCGTCCACAATATCGCCGAAATGAACCGCAAAAGACATCGGAGGCGTTGATTGGTTCCAATCCTCCACCGCCTTCTTTACCACTGGTGGGGGGAGAGGGCGGAAGGGGGAGGGGAGTAGGGCGATGGGGGTAGGGGGAGTGGGGTAGGGGGAAACGGGGTAGAGGTGCGGGATGGGGGAAAGCGGAGTGTGGAAGATGGGGATAGGGGAAAGCGGGGTGGGGGAGAGGACGGCCGGGAAGAGGGGGGTGAGGAAACACACGGAAAAGGCTCAAAAAAGAAGAGCGGGCGACGAGGGAGAGTGGCCACCGCAACGGGACATGGTCGGATGACGACTTTAAAAGCGCCGTGATGAACCGTGAGGGAGGAGAACTAGACGGAAACGCATAATTGAGCCTGCTTGCGGGAAATTGTGTCCACAGGGACAGCGGACAAGACGGAACAAGGGCTGCAGACAGAAGAATTAATGCAATGTAACACGATGAGAAGCAACATTCGAAGACGGGCTGAAGCATTGTCTGAAGCGGCAGCTAGGGTGCAGCGGGTTGAAGCGTCGCGTCGGCTACCTTCGAGGCTGTGGCGGTAAAACCTCGGGATGCCGAGGAAGGATTGGCCGTCGTTGATATCGGCGTATCTGCACGACAAGAAAGCGCTCATTGTATGCGCATATGAGTGAGAGCTCGTCCGTGCCGTGAGGAACGACGTAAATTGTCACAACTAGCGTCTCTGAATTACGAAAGGATAATTTCGTGCCCTAAATCTGAGCGGAAACACGTGTACGCGAGCTTTTTAGGCATCCGTGACAATGGGAAGGGAGAGGAGAAGCCGGGAAGAACTAGTGTATGGGCGACGTACTGAACATCGGTGATGACTCCGAAGGAAAACAACGGCTTTCTGCCCTTGTCATCTTCGCGCTTCGACAGATACGAGCCCTGCACTGGCGGGCCTAACGGTCTCCGCTTCGGTAACGACGATTGCTGCTGTAGAAAACTCTGCAAACTAACTGAATTAGAGGAACTAGAGGACGTCTTAACTACCGTTAAGCCTCCGCCACTGTTTCTGACATCGTCCACTTGACCGTCCTCGTCTAACCGAGGGTCCTCAATTGCCTTCGGACCCTCGGGATTGTCGCGCAGCTCGGAACACGCGGAGGCCTCTGATTGGTCGGAGAAACTCTGGCGAGTCGTTTCTTCCAGCTTGTCCTGTCGCTGCTGAAAAAAAGCCCAAAAGTCGTTGCCTCCGCGGAGGGAGGACGGACGGGCGTCGTACGCGAGCGGGAGCGGGCTGGGCTGTGATGCGAGTTGAAGCAGAGGAGAGGAAGTCATAGTGAAACGACAACGCATTCGACTTAAATCTCTCTCGCCATCGTGGGAGTTTATTTCCAAATGCAGTGGATAGAATTAACAGGGCGTGCGGTTCTCAGTCAGCCTGGATTGTCGCCGAAAAAACAGCAAACCGTTCTGTGGCGAAGACAGTAGTTGGGGAATAATAGAAGGAAGAGTGGATGGATCGAGGTGGAGTAGTGAGAAGCAGGGCTGAAAGTGAAGTGGATGTTCGGCACTACCAAGGGAACAGAGAACAGACAGAGTTTGACGGAAAACGCGACGGCAAGTACATACTCGAGCCCGCAAGGGGTGGGGACCATTTCAGCGACAGGTTCGTGTCAGATTCGTGCTGCTGTGCTATTGGCGCTCGTGCGGCGGTTTTCGGCATCTGGTTGGTGGAAGCCTGACGTAAGTACGTTTGGTTCTGTCAGCCTCGTCAACATCGCGCTGGCCCGACACGGGGCAGTCGTTCCCATCGCTGGCTTGCAGCTTCGAATGCAATTGCCTGCGCTTTGCCAAGGGTGTGGGTTGCTCTCATCCGTCAAAGAGTCCTCGATACAGATCCTCGCTCGTATTGCGCAAGTTGAGGTTCAGCATTCGCATGCTTTACATAAGTATGCACACTGAACGTGAAGGTGAAGTTTATGTAGTCAACCAGTAATGCGAGCAATCTGAACTGTTAGCGGGTACAAAGCATCGGTGCTCATTCTCACGAGGAGTTTGTCCGATAAGCTTCACCGTCAGCCGCCACTCCACCGCACTTGCCTCTTGCTAGAACGCGCAATTGCAAGCAATAAGCGCGATTGCGTAGCTGACGACGGTCCAGCGATCCGCAGAAGGCACCGTAACAAGCTGAAGAAGTCGTCCTCAATCTGCGCGCCTGAACCGTGCTTCAGAGCTTTCTGGTAGCAGGGTTCTTCACTGCAGTTGCGTGCGCTTCACGCTACTTCGAGAATAGATTTTTCTCTGCCTTTCGCGAGAGCCACGCGGCGTTCTCGAAGCAATCCTGAGGCGCTGAAAAGGGCACATTTGACGCTTAGACGGCCTTAGAGTCGATTGGTAACGCGATTAAGGAACGAGAAAAGCGAAAGAGGGGAAGTGAAGGACAGTAAGTGTAGGAGGAAGTGTCTCGATCGAGGCGAGGCTGAAAAAGGGAGAAACAGGAGGAGCGCGAGGGGGGAGGAGAAGGGGGCTGGAGAGGAGAGGAAGGGGAAGAGGGGCAACGAGAAAGGGAAGCGGGAATGGCGCAGCAGGGAGGGGCCGGGCGGGGTGGAGGGCGCGGGCCACCGCTGCAAGCGGGGGGAGGGCGCGGGGGAGGGGGAGGCGGAAGGGGAGGTGGAGCGCAGCAGGCAGGCGGAACGGATCCCGCGCCTGCTGCGATCACGTTCACTAAGGAGCCGGTGATGGAAGACAAACGGCCGCGCAAGATGTGAGTCCGGGAGGGGGGGAAGGGAGGGCGAAGAGTTCGTGAATTGTGGGCGAACAGAGGGAAGGCACACAAATGCGCCTGCTGCGATCACGTTTACCAAGGAGCCGGTGATGGAAGACAAGCGGCTGTGCAAGATGTGAGTGGGGGAGGGGTTGGATGGGTGCATGAAGAGGGTAGTTGAGACCCCTTGAAGAGCGCGCTGCATAACAAGCGCGCACCGAACCCAAGATAACAAGGAAAGCGCATGATTTCTCCACGCAACCTCCTTCCCTAAATCTACCCTCCCTCACGCTCCACTCTACCCCCGGCAGCAAGAGCGTGCGGTTCAGCACAATAAGTGCGCACGAGCTTACGAGGAGTGTGGATATGTGCTCCATGCATACTCCGCCCGTGCTCCCCAATTCACCCTCCCTCCCTTTCCACCCCAACCCCTGGCCCCGCAAGAGCGTGCGGTGCTGTTCAGCTCAACGAGTGCGCACGAGATAATGAGGAGTGCGGATGTTGGTTCTGTGCGAACTCCCCCCCTTCCCAAGTCATTCTCCCTCACCCCTCACCCTCCACCTTACCTAACCCTGGCAGCAAGACTGTGCGGTTCAGTACGATGAGTGCGCATGAGATAACAAGGAGTGTGCTTGCTGGTTCCGTGCAAACACCTCATGCACCTCCGCCCTCCCTCCCCTTCTCCCTCCCTAATTGTGGCAGCAAGAGCGTGCGATTCAGCACAATGAGTGCGCACGAGATAATGAAGAGTGCGGAGGTGCAGGTATCAGAGAGGAGTCTGTACCAGCTGCCAGAGCGCAAGCCCACGCCCTTTGGTGTGCTGGACCCTCGCCTGGTGAGTGCGCTTGAGTGTTGGACTGCCATGCCATGAATAGTTTGAATAAGGACATACAGCATTGCTTTGCTCCTTTCTCCTTTGCTTCGAGTCAAATCTAAGCATGAAAGGTTCGTTCTTCGTTCGCTCTGCCCACGCACAGGGAACGACGAGCAAGAAGGGCGAGTGCACGACATGCAATGGCACTCTACAGGACTGTGCGGGGCACTTTGGGTACATCCGGCTGGAGCTGCCTGTGTACCACATGGGGTACTTCAAAGTCATTCTGCTCATCATGCAATGCATCTGCAAGGTACTTACTTGGGCGACTGGTTATGATGAAATGACATGTCGTTGCATCATCAGCATTTCCTCCTTTGCTACACCTCCTTCGCGTCCACTCCTTCGTTTCCCGTCTCTGAGGTCATTCCAAACCATAATGGCATGGCACCACACTGCGTCTCATCCCACCAAACTGCCGAATCTAGGAGCAGCGGCAGTGGCTGAAGAAGTTTCGAGAAGTCTCAAAATTCACAGCATCTCATCTTAACCCGTTGCACCCCATGCAGAACTGTGCGCGCGTTTTGCTGAGCGATGAGGAGCGGCGGCAGTGGCTGAAGAAGTTCCGGCACCCGCGGGTGGAGGTGCTGCAGAAGAAGGCCATGGTGAAGCGCGTTGCAGAGCGGTGCAAGCGCACCAGGATGTGCTACTACTGCGGGGACCACAACGGTAAGAAAGATCATGTGTGTGTGCACAACTATTGAGACGTCTCAAATGGCGCCTCAAAACACAACTTTTGCGTTTCAGCAGCCACAACAAGCTGTTTTTCAGATGCCACTGTCTCAGGAGCCAGCTGGTGGTGCACAGTGCACTACACAGTGGCATCTCAGGAGGCAACCCAACCCAACCCATACACCCTGAACCTTGAACCCTGTCATGCATTGCAGGCACTGTGAATAAGCTGACTGGCATGCTGAAGCTGTCCCACGACAATTATGGGCAAGACATGGACGGCCAGGATGACATGGTGCAACGCATGGAGGCTGCACAGCAGAGGAGGGGATTTCACATTTACGCTTAACCCCTGAATCACAAGCCCCATGTGAACGCCACATGTTGCAGGCACGGTGAAGAAGCTGACAGGCACGTTAAAGCTCTCCCACGACAAGTACGGGAAAGACATGGACGCCAAGGACGACGTGGTGAGGCGCATGGAGGCTGCAGTGGAGGCGAACAAGGAGATAGCACAGCACTCGAGCAAGGTGGCGGACGACCTCAACCCCGTGAGGGTGCTTTGGCTGCTGGAACGCATGCTGGATGAGGTACGTATGGCCTTTGAGACGCCCCAGATCGTTTGAGACACTTTGTTAGGCGAACAAGGAGATAACACAGCACTCGAGCAAGGTGGCGGACGACCTCAACCCTGTCAGAGTGCTGTGGCTGCTCGAGAGAATGCTGGATGAGGTACGTGCGGCCTTTGAGACGCCCCAAATTGTTTGACTACTTTGAGGCACTTTGTTAGGCGAACAAGGAGATAGCGCAGCATTTGAACAAGGTGGCGGACGATCTCAGTCCCCGTCAGAGTGCTGTGGCTGCTCGAGAAGATGCTGGATGAGGTGAGAACTGTATCGTGCACTGTGTCAAGGGGTCTTCTTGAGCACCTTGCAGTGCAGCACATAGGCGGACGGTCTCAAACCCGTGAAGGTACTGTGGCTGGCTGCTGGAGACCGTCCGCTGGATGGTACTGTATGGAGCATGGAGACCAGTCCCCGTGGCTGCTGTAGGGCATGCTGGATGGAGGTGAGGACTGGCCGTCGATTCAAGTTTTGATTGGGTCTAGCCACTCACTATCGCAACCTCTGTCTCTCTGCTCTTTACACCACTTCCCTCACCGCCCCTCCTTCTCCGCCTTCCCCAACATCCCTCTCTGCATCCAGGACTGCGAGCTTCTAGACCTTTACTATCGCCCAGAGCGTCTCATAGTAACGCACCTCTCCGTACCCCCAGTGGCCATCCGGCCGTCCGTGGTGATGGAGTCAGCAGCGGGGAGCAACGAAGACGATGCGACGATGAAGCTGGCGGTGATCATCGAGGTCAACAGCGCGCTCAGGCTCGGCATTCAGAAGGGCCTTCCCATGCCCAACCTCGTCGTGAGTGCGCAGGGTTCTGGGGTTGCAGAGGGTTTGAGGTTTAAGGGTTTTGCGTCCGGGGTTCGGATGTTGGGGTTCAGGAGGGGTGGAAGCAGGAGTGGGGAGTGACGAGGGTGACGGAATGATGAAGCTGGCTGAAGGCTGCCCCCATGCATTCCTCACTTCTCCCCATCCTCCTTCTGAAACACGCTTGATGAACAGGAGAATTGGGACTTTCTTTTGAGGCGCCTCAAAAGTCATTCCTCACTTCTCCCCATCCCTCTTTCTGAAACGTCATGATGAACAGGAGAATTGAGACTTTCTGCAGTTACAAGTGGGGCTCTACATCAACTCTGAGCTGCCCGGCCTGCCACTGGCAGCGCAGCCCACGAAGCCGTGAGGCACGTCTCGTCTCACCTCTCGCCATCTTCACTTCGATTCTGTTCTCTCAACGCTTCTGTGTGCAAACAGGAGAACTGGGACTTTCTGCAGCTGCAAGTGGGGCTCTACATCAACTCGGAGCTGCCAGGCCTGCCGCTAGCAGCGCAGCCCACAAAGCCCACTCGGGGGTTTGTGCAGCGGCTGAAGGGCAAGCAGGGGCGCTTCCGGCAGAACCTGTCGGGGAAGCGCGTGGACTTCAGTGGCCGCACTGTCATTTCCCCCGACCCGAACCTTAAAATTTCTGAGGTGCGTTTGGGGTGTGGAGGTGGTCAGCACTCTTGTAGCGGTGATGAGTATGCCAACATCCTCTCCTCAATTCCTGCCTGCTACCTCTGCTCCTCCCAGGTGGCAGTACCCATGCACATGGCGCAGCTGCTGATATTCCCTGAGGCGGTGAGTCGGCACAGGTCTCACCAGCACTCACTCCTCTCCCCCACTCCCTTATTCCCTTCCATGCCCATTATGCCTGCCACCTCTCACCCTCCATCAGGTGGCGGTACCCATGCACATGGCGCAGCTGTTGACGTTCCCCGAGGCAGTGAGTCGGCACAACATACACAAGCTGAGGCAGCTGGTGATCAACGGCACTGCCAAGTACCCTGGCGCCAATTTTGTGCTCTACCCCAACGGCCACAAGTGGTGCGTGCGTGCGTCTTGGAACCCAAGGGAAAAGGGAATGAAGTGAAAAAACGAAGCAAAGCAAAACGTATGGTGACATGGTGCTCTACCGCGCTACTTGCAACCATGTTCCACCCACATGCCTCCCTCCACGCATGATTGTTGCCCCAGGTTTCTCAAGTATGGAGACAGGAGGAGGGTAGCAGCAGAGCTCAAGTACGGGGACATAGTGGAGAGGCACTTGGAGGACGGCGATATGGTGCTGTTCAACCGCCAGCCCAGCCTGCACCGCATGTCCATCATGTGCCACCGGGTAGGGTGAAGTGTGGGTGAATTGCATGAATGATATGCATTGGTGATATGCATGGTTGATGTCACATGTCAACGGGTGCTGTGCTGTGATAGAATGTCATGTGATTCGGTTTGAGTTGATGAAATAAACTTCTGCCATCTATTCATTCTGAAATATCCTTAGTGTCCTTTTCCTCCGTCTATTCCCGCTCCTTTATTCCTCCTGTTCCTTCTCTTCGTCCCCCCAGGCAAGGGTGATGCCGTGGAAGACACTGCGTTTCAACGAGAGTGTGTGCAATCCATACAACGCGGATTTCGATGGGGATGAGATGAACATGCACGTGCCGCAGACCGAGGAGGCCAGGACGGAGGCGCTGCTGCTAATGGGGGTATGTGCAGCGGTTCGGTGCGGTTCATTGCATTACCGATGCTATTTGTGGGGTGTAGCGTAGCTCTTTTGTGAAATGTTGGCCTTTCCGATGGCATGACTGACAGTGATTGGCCTATATCACTCTTCTCTCCCCGTGCATGCATCAATTGGGCAGGTGGAGAACAACCTATGCACGCCCAAGAATGGAGACATCCTAGTGGCCTCTGGGTTGATCCACACCTCATCTCTCCACCGCTCTGCCTTGCACCACTCTCTGTGGATGTGCCTTTCCTCGTGTATCAATCGGTCAGGTGGAGAACAACCTATGCACGCCCAAGAACGGGGACATCCTAGTGGCCTCTGAGTCAATCCAGACCTCATCTCATCTCCGTCCATCTCTCTTCCTTGCACTAATCCCTATGGATGCGCCTCTCAGGTGGAGAACAATCTATGCACGCCCAAGAACGGGGACATCCTAGTGGCCTCCACTCAGGACTTCCTCACCTCCGCCTTCCTCATCACCAGACGGTACGGTACACCGCCTGCCCTTACCCTTCTCCAGCTGTGCTCATCACTGGATGGTGAGATTCCATTCAAGCATCTTCTTATTTTCATTCCTCCTTTCAACCATCGATCCCGTCCATCGCCCCCCAATGTGCTCCATCACCCTACCAGAGACACCTTTTACGACCGCGCATCCTTCTGCCTGCTGTGTTCGTACATGACGGACGGCGCCATGCAAGTGGACATCCCCACGCCCGCACTGCTCAAGCCAGTGGAGCTGTGGACGGGCAAGCAGCTCATGAGCGTGCTCGTGCGCCCCTCCGCCCATGACCGTGTGTTTGTCACGCTCGGTGTGCCCGAGAAGACCTACAGCAAGAAGGGCGGGCCGTTTTGCGTGAACGACGGTTTTGTCTTTTTCCGGAACAGCGAGCTGCTGTCGGGGCAGCTGGGGAAGGCCACTCTAGGTGAGCTGAGGCAGGCATGCAGGCACTCAGACAGGCAGTCAGACAGGCGGTCACGCTCGTGCGCCCCTCCGGGCACGACCGCGTGTTTGTCACGCTCGGTGTGCCCGAGAAGACCTACAGCAAGAAGGGCGGGCCCTTCTGTGTGAACGACATTTTTGTGTTCTTCCGCAACAGCAAGCTGCTGTCGGGACAGCTGGGGAAGGCCACTCTAGGTGAGCGTGCTGACATGCATTCAGCTTCAACTGTTTAGAACAAACCTTGTTCTTGCTCGCTTGCTTGCATCCAGCAGGCAGTCGTTTGCAGCCAATTAGCATCCACACAGCCTCTCGTTCTCGCGGTCTGGGTTTTGAGTACAACAAGTAGATGGGGTGGAGACAACCAAAGCACATGCGTAGCCAAGCTTTGTGCTACCTTGTACTCGTTGCTTGCTTGTGTGCATGTGTGCAGGCAACGGCAGCAAGCAGGGCCTTTTTGCGCTGCTCATGCGCGAGTACTCGCCGCAAGTGGCCGCTGTGTGCATGAACCGACTCGCCAAGCTCAGGTGAGGGACGGGGAAGGGAACCGGGGGGTTGAGGGGGAAGGAGGAGTGGGGAAGTGGGTGTTTGAGTTGACTAGTGAGGTGCTTGGCTCAAGTGGCCGCCGTGTGCATGAACCGACTCGCCAAGCTCAGGTGAATGGGGGAGGGTGGAGGGGGCGGGATGTAAGAGGGGAGTGAGGGGACAGGGCGAGGGAAAGGGGTGAGGGGAGAGGGCGACGTGGGGTAAGTCACAAGCCAACTCCATTTTCCCTTTCCTCCCCCCTCCCCATCGACCTCTTTACACTATCAGTGCGCGGTGGATTGGCAATCACGGGTTCTCCATCGGGATAGACGACGTGCAGCCGTCCAAGCATCTGTACAACGAGAAGCAGCGGGCGGTGGAGGAGGGGTACGACGCGAGTCTGCGGCACATCCAGGCGTTCAACGAGGGCCGGCTGACTCTGCAGCCCGGGTGCAACGCGGCTCAGACGCTGGAGGCGAATATTACTGGGGAGCTGAACAAGATTCGAGAGGAGGCGGGGAAGGTGAGACAGCCGATGGAGAGCAGTCGGGATTGAACCGTGTATGGGCAATGTGGGGATGGGGAGCAAGCGGGGTGGGGGGAGTGAGTGAGTGTGTGGAGCGAGGGCGGTGGAGGAGGGGTACGACGCGAGTCTGCGGCACATCCAGGCGTTCAACGAGGGCCGGCTGACTCTGCAGCCCGGGTGTAATGCGGCTCAGACGCTGGAGGCTAATATCACCGGCGAGCTCAACGAGATTCGAGAAGAGGCGGGCAAGGTGAGGCAGGAAAGGTGTGTACATGCGAGTTGCTGATTTGCCAAATGGGTTACTGGGTTCAAACCTCCAAACTCCTGAAACCAACCCCTCCTCCCCTCCCCCCACTTGTTTTCCTCTTCCCCTCCTCCCTGCCCTCACCCAGGTGTGTCTGCGGGAGCTGCATTGGCGCAACAGTCCGCTCATCATGTCACAGTGTGGGTTCAAGGGCTTCAAACGAGCACCAAGGGCTGACTGAGGGACGGCCTGAACCCCCCAACCCCGCACCCCCCACCCCCCACACCACGCAGGTGTGTCTGCGGGAGCTGCATTGGCGCAACAGCCCACTCATCATGTCGCAGTGTGGGTCCAAGGGGTCACCCATCAACATATCGCAGATGGTGGCCTGTGTGGGCCAGCAGTCCGTAGGGGGGAAACGAGCGCCCAACGGCTTTCTGCACCGCTCCCTGCCGCACTTCCCCCGCCACGACCGCTCACCACAGGTATGCCGTGCGGTGCTGGTGGTGTTTTTCGTGGTGCTTTTGGATCTGGTATGGTGGCACGTGGCCCTTTGCGGTAGGACTGGTTTTGTCAACGATCTGTAGGTGCGTAGTGCGATCTAGTGCTTGCTGTGAACTGCAGTACAATATAGCACAGCACATAGCTCACCCAGGGTTCTGGAGATCTTACTACCGTCTCTTTCTCCTCACCACCACCACCACTACAGCGGGCTCACACCCACCAAGTTCCCTGTGCTCTCCCCTTTCTCCCGCTTTGCTTGACATTTACCATCATTGCTGCCACCACCACACCACCACAGGCGAAGGGCTTTGTGGCAAACTCGTTCTACAGTGGGCTGACGCCCACGGAGTTTGTGTTCCACACCATGGGCGGTCGAGAGGGGCTCGTTGACACTGCGGTGAGTTCTTGCTCCGCCCTCCCACATCCTTCCTTTGTTGTCTCACCTTTGTGGCGTCTTTGCTTCTCTTCCCCTCACCTTCCCCTCACCTTCTCCTCACCTTCATATGATTTTTCAAGCACAACTTGCGCTGCAGCTCCCCCTCACTTGACCTCTCCACCCGCGCCTCCTCTCATGTGATTCCCCAGGTGAAAACAGCAGAGACGGGGTACATGTCGCGGCGGCTGATGAAGGCCCTGGAGGATCTATCAGTGGCGTATGACGGCACGGTGCGCAACGCCAGTGGCGGCATCGTGCAGATGCGGTATGGCGATGATGGCATGGACCCCGCGCACATGGAGGGCAGCGATGGGGGGGCGCTCAATTTGGACCGAACCTTCACCACGTGCCAGGTGGGTGGGGGGGTGGATGGGAGGATGATGGGGAAAGGGGTGGTATGGAGATGGGTGGTGGAGGGATGGGAGGGTGGACGGCATGGGACGATGATGGCATGGGCCCCGCCCACTGCTCACATTGAGGGCACCGGTACGGGGAAGGGGGAAAACTCTCAACCTCGGCCGCACTTTCACCACGTGGCAGGTGGGTGGTAGCGGGATGGTGCGACCACCTCAACCTCAACCCTGGACTTTTGCCCCCTTATTCCCGCCCCCAACCCTTCCCCGTCCACCCACCAGGCCCTCCGCCCCATGCGCAGCGACCCCCCGCTCTTCCCCGACGAGATTCCAAGCTCACGCATTCCTCAGTGCCTCCTATCCCCCCTCCCTTCTTTCCCGTTGCCTCCCCTCCCCCCACTCCCCACCCAACCCTTCCCCTTCCACCCACCAGGCCCTGCGCCCCATGCGCAGTGACCCCCCGCTCTTCCCCCACGAGATGCGCGCGCACATGCAAACAAGATTCGCCGCCCCGGAGTTTGCCGACCCGGAGTCGGAGGGCGGGTGCTCCACTCGGTTCCGCGACTCGGTGGTGGGCTTTCTGGAGAAGCAGCTGGGGGCGATGGAGATCACTCGGAGGAGACTGGGGTTACCGGTTACCAGGGAGGACGCAGAGAGGGGAGAGAGAGAGCAGGAAGGGCAGGGAGTGGGGGAGAGGGAAGGGGATGGGGATGCTATGGAAGTGGAGGGGGAGAATGGGAAGGAGGGGGAGGCGAGTGCGGGTGCTGGGAAAGCGGAGGGGGAGGGGGAGGGGGAGGGGGAGGGGGAGGGGGAGGGGGAGGGGGAGGGGAAAGGGGGCGGGGAGGGAGAATTTGAGGGGAAGAAGGAAAAGGTGTTGGATAGAGGGGTGGCTGAGAAGGTGGCTCGAAACTTGTGTGGGGTGACGGCAAAGCAACTGCAGGTGAGGAGATGTGTGGCAAGGCATGGCATGGCATGGCATGGCATGGCATGGCATGGCATGGCATGGCATGGTGTGCTGGTGTGCTGTGTGAATTATCATTGCCATGTGACTTGTTCCAGCTAAGTGAGCGGGGTACAGCAACGGGGGCCATCTGGGCTCAGTCCAACTGGGCTCAGACCAACTGGGCTCAGACCAACTGGGCTCAGACCAACTGGGCTCAGACCAACAGGGCTCAGACCAACCGGGCTCAGACCAACCGGGCTCAGACCAACCGGGCTCAGACCAACCGGGCTCAGACCAACCGGGCTCAGACCAACCGGGCTCAGACCAACCGGGCTCAGACCAACCGGGCTCAGACCAACCGGGCTCAGACCAACCGGGCTCAGACCAACCGGGCTCAGACCAACCGGGCTCAGACCAACCGGGCTCAGACCAACCGGGCTCAGACCAACCGGGCTCAGACCAACCGGGCTCAGACCAACTGGGCTCAGTCCATCTGGCGAGTGTCTTCCACTTCTGCCATCCCTTCCCCCTCTCTCCCCTCCCCACTTCTCCCCCCGGTCCTTCTCCCCTTCACCTTCCCCCTTCCGCAACAACACCTACAGCTATTTCTGGACACGTGCATTCGCCGCTACCGGCGTATGGAACCGGGCACAGCAGTGGGGCCAGTGTCGATCTTCTGTCTTCTCTTTCCCCTCCTCTTCCCCCAACAACACACCTTTCACCAGCTATTCCTGGACACGTGCATTTGCCGCTACCAGTCCAAGCGCATGGAGCCGGGCACAGCAGTGGGGGCCATCGGGGCCCAGTCCATTGTCGAGCCTCTCTTACTTCTGTTCTGTCATCCCTTCCCCCTCTTCCCCCTCCTCCCTTCTCCCCCGCCTCTTCCTCCCCCTCTTCTCCCCTTCCCCAACAACCTTCACCAGTTGTTCCTGGACACGTGCATTCACCGCTACCAGTCCAAGCGCATGGAGCCGGGCACAGCAGTGGGGGCCATTGGGGCACAGTCGATAGGCGAGCCAGGCACGCAGATGACTCTCAAGACCTTCCACTTCGCTGGGGTTGCGTCCATGAGTGAGTGAATGTGAATGTGTGCACGTGCCACTGCAGATGTGGATGTGTGTTGAGTTGGGACAGCGCAAAACAGAGCAGTGGGGGCCACTGGGGCACAGTCGATTGGCGAGCCAGGCACACAAATGACTCTCAAGACCTTCCGTTTTGCAGGAGTCGCTTCTATGAGTGAGTGCATGCCATTTCGCAGGCGTCGCCATAAAGGACTCGCTCATGCGAATGTGGCAATGAGAGGCAATGTGGCAATGAGAGGCAATGTGGTTCTCACGCATGACTGTCAAAGCTGCTGACTGCCAATCTGGCTTGTGATTCCACTCCAGCGTTCATCTCAAAACATGCTCTCCTCTCCTCCAATCCTCTCTCTCCACACAGATGTGACCTTGGGAGTGCCGCGCATCAAGGAGATCATCAACGCAGCCAAGAACATCAGCCCGCCCTTGGTGACTGTCAAGCTGCTGACTGCCAAGCTAGCTCTGAGTCGACTCACAAATCACCACCTCTCTGTACCCTTTCTTGCCTGCTCCCATCCTCTCTATCCCAGACGTGACCCTGGGAGTGCCGCGAATCAAGGAGATTATCAACGCAGCAAAGAACATCAGCACGCCCATCGTCACTGTCAAGCTGGTGTTGAGTCAACTCACCACCTCTGATCCATTCTCTCCTTCCCCCCATGCTCTGCCCAGACGTGACCTTGGGAGTGCCGCGAATCAAGGAGATCATCAACGCAGCCAAGAACATCAGCACACCTATTGTCACTGTCAAGCTGGAGACGGACAACGATGTCAAGGCAGCACGCATTGTGAAGGGGCGCGTTGAGAAGACCACCCTGGGGGAGGTAAACGCAATGGGCATTGCCAGCACCACACTATAGTCACTACAGTCACTATTGTCACCATAATTACAAGAAACAATTCGCTTGCACCTCACAACCCCACATACCTTCACGGCCTCTGGTCCATGCCCTTCCTGTTTCCCTCCCTATAACCCCACCTCAGGTGGTGAAGAGCATGAAAACAGTGCTGACCCCCAGCCAAGCCATGCTATCCATACGGCTCGACATGCATCGAATCAGTGCGCTTCAGCTGGAAATCACAGCCTACACAGTCGCCGACGCCATCACATCAGCCTCGCGGCTCCGCATGAAGCTGAAGGCGCAGCACATACGCGTGGTGAGCGCAGACAAGCTGCTGGTCTACTCGCCCGAGCAGGACAGAAGGCAGCTGCTCTTCTCGCTCCACAGCCTGAGGAAGAAGCTACCGCAAGTCATGGTGAAAGGGATTGCGAGTGTTGAAAGGGCCGTGATCAACGACCTGGGCGGGGGCAAGTACAACCTGCTGGTGGAAGGGTGAGTGGGGGGTTGTGGTGGGTGAGTGGGGAAGGAAGATAAGGGTGAGTGGGCGGGTGAAACTCAGCTGAAGGCGCAGCAAGTGCGCGTGGTGACAAATACAACCTGCTGGTTGAAGGGTGAGTGCTTGCTTGCTGCTGCGCACATGCGCTTCTCTTCTCCCTGCACAGCCTGAGGAAGAAGCTGCCTCAAGTCATGGTCAAGGGCATCGCCAGCGGTGCTGGGAGTGACTGGAGTGGATGGGTGCAGGAAAAAGACCACCCACATGATGAAGGTGGAGAGTGCGCTGGGGATAGAGGCGGCGAGGCACAGTTAAATGCCCTTGTGCACCTTCTCCCCACATCATTTGGTCGGTTCCTTGCAGGACAAACTTTGGTGCAGTGTTGGAAGTCACCGGTGTTGATGGGTGCAGGACGAAGAGCAGCCATGTGATGGAGGTGGAGAGCTTGCTGGGGATAGAGGCGGCGAGTCACATTTTCATGCCCTTGTGCACCTCCTCCCACATCATCTTGTTGCTTCCCTTTCAGGACGACCTTTGGCGCGGTACTGGGAATAACAGGTGTGGATGGGTGCAGGACGAAGAGCAACCACGTGATGGAGGTGGAGAGCTTGCTGGGGATAGAGGCGGCGAGCAATCATGTGATGGGAGGTGGAATCGGTGTTGGGGATAGAGGCAGCACGACATGCCATCATGCAAGCAGCGAGGCACACTTTCATGCTCTTTTGCACCTCTTCCCCACACACACCATTCGGTTGCTTGCAGGACCAATTTTGGCGCAGTTCTTGGAGTGACTGGTGTGGATGGTTGCAGAACCAAGAGCAATCACGTGATGGAGGTGGAATCGGTGTTGGGGATAGAGGCAGCACGGCATGCCATCATGCATGAGATCAACTACACCATGGGTTCGCATGGCATGACCATTGACCCCCGCCACATGATGCTGCTCGCTGACGTCATGACCTACAAGGTGAGATGATGCTGACGTCATTACCTACAATGTGAGACGATGCTGACGTCATGACCTACAAGGTGAGAGTGCTGCTGGTCTGTCGTGTTGAAATCGCTTTTGAGAATTCCCAAAAAACAAACTGGGAGTTCTCAAAAGCGATTTCTACAAGGTGAGGGTGGTGCTGGTATGACGTCGCTACTGTTCATCCCCGATTTCCCTTGGTTACCTCTCCCATCCGCTGCTGAATCTCCCTTCTGGTTTCTTCTCTCCCTCCCCACCCCCTCTCCATTCTCTCCTCCAATCCCCCACACTCTCCTGCCTCCTTCTGCCTGCCTCCGCGCCTGTGTGTCCCCTCCTGCAGGGCGAGGTGTTGGGAATCACGCGGTTTGGAATAGCGAAGATGAAGGACAGTGTGCTCATGCTGGCGTCCTTCGAAAAGACCACAGACCACCTCTTTGACGCCGCTGTGCATGGGCGCAAGGACGAGATTGAAGGGGTGTCCGAGTGCATCATCATGGGCATTCCCATGCCCGTTGGCACGGGGCTGTTCAAACTCAAGCAGAAGTGAGTTTCTGTCGGGGATTGAGGTGATAGGTATGGGAATGCAAGTATTCTGTGCCCGTTGGCCCGTTGGGGAGTGCATCATCATGGGCATTCCCATGCCCGTTGGCACGGGGCTGTTCAAACTCAAGCAGAAGTGAGTTTCTGTCGGGGATTGAGGTGATAGGTATGGGAATGCAAGTTTTCTGTGCCCATTGGCCCGTTGGGGAGTGCATCATCATGGGCATTCCCATGCCCGTTGGCACGGGGCTGTTCAAACTCAAGCAGAAGTGAGTTTCTGTCGGGGATTGAGGTGATAGGTATGGGAATGCAAGTTTTCTGTGCCCGTTGGCCCGTTGGGGAGTGCATCATCATGGGCATTCCCATGCCCGTTGGCACGGGGCTGTTCAAACTCAAGCAGAAGTGAGTTTCTGTCGGGGATTGAGGTGATAGGTATGGGAATGCAAGTTTTCTGTGCCCGTTGGCCCGTTGGGGAGTGCATCATCATGGGCATTCCCATGCCCGTTGGCACGGGGCTGTTCAAACTCAAGCAGAAGTGAGTGGTGGCATGCTTTGTGAGGGGTGCACGGACGAGATAGAAGGGGTATCGAAGTGCATTATCATGGGCATTCCCGTGCCTGTTGGAACAGGGTTGTTCAAATTCAAGCAGAAGTGAGTATTTGATTGGGGTCGTGAGGGGTTGAGGTTGTAGGTATGGCATTGTGACATTCCTGAGGTTGTGAGGGATGCATGGGCGCAAGGACGAGATTGAAGGGGTTTTGGAGTGCATCATTTTGGGCATCCCCATGCCTGTTGGGACCGAATTGTTCAATCTCAAGCAATAGTTACCTCTGGCGTGAGGTTGTGGGCGATTATGAGGTGTAGAAATTTGCCTCGTATTGATTGTCCCTCCTCTCACCTTCCTATCCTCTTCTTTACCTATCCTCTTTTTACCCTTACTCTGTCTTCCCCCACTCCACCCTACCCCACCCCTCTCCATCTTGGCAGAGTTGACCACATCCCAGTCCTTCCCAAGCGGCCGCCACTACTTCTGGGCTAGTATGCAACCCTAGCCCTAGCTCGTTCGAGTCGAGTTGCAGGAACATACAGTAGTACTCCGTCCTTGTGTAAGAGACCTAGTGTTAGAGCTGCAGCATGAGGTACCATTTCCAGCCTACTTAGCGTACAATTAATGCATGATTTGAGTGAGGAAGGTCCAAAATGCAGTTCAATCCTGTTGTGAAGGAATCATATACATGGATCAGCTAGAAATGTGGCAAAAGTTGACTCCTTCAGGCCGAGTCATCAAGCGTAGCAGCATGGCCTGCAGAGCTCATCCAAATAAAGCAGGTGGACTGAGCAACGTTGGATGCATACTGTTGGATGGACACTGCACAGCTGTTAGATGCCTAACCTCCAACTGCGCAGTGCGATGATGTCTATACTATGAACAGTAGGAGAGCTATGTGAGCAGCCTCAATGCTTTAACCAGGCAGTGCACTCGGGACTGACTAAACACGAAAGAATTGGATTCAACACCGGACAGATACACAAAGGCATGTTCCTCAAAACAGTTTCCGTGAACTATTGTAGTGTAATGATGGTAGTATACTGAGGAAGAACCCCGCGTGTGATGAGTCGATTTTTAAGTCGACTTAAAAATCGACTATTGTAGTGTAATGATGGTAATATACTGAGGAAGAACCCCGCTTGTGGCGACTTCTGGTAGCAGTGCGAGCCTCATCTCCTCCTGCCATTTGAGAGCACAGCATTTAATTGGGTGAGTTGGTAGGAGGGTGGGTGGGTGGGTGCATAGGTGATTGAACAAGTGGGTGGTTGCACGGAGACATTAGGTGGAAAGCAATGGCGAAGACCTTCAGAGAGAAGAAGTTAGAGATTTGCGGAACTAGGAAGAGGAGAAAGAGGAGGAAAATAAACAGGACAAGTAAACGGGCTGCAAGGAATTTGATTGGGGAAAATCGAAAAAAGTGAGTGAGAAAGAAGGGGATACAGCGATAGAGGTGGAAAGAGAGAGAACAAAGGAGCGAGCGAGACAGAGAGAGGGAAGCACCTTGCTGACCTCTTAGGTCGGGACCGATCCATCTCCTCTCCATAGTCCATGCCCATGCCCATGCCCAGCCCCGATCCTCCTGCTGATGGCCCCTCCACAAACATGGCCTCTGCCCCCCGCATCTCCATCTCCGCCTGTTTTAAAAAAGAGACAGAGAGAGGAAAAGGGTGTGCCGAGGTTTAAGGATGGATAAGGAAATAGTGTGCTGCAATGCGATGGCCCCTCCACCAACATAGCCTCTGGCCCTCGCATCTCCATCTCAGCCTGGTTGAAGGAAAACAGAGAGACAGAGAGAAAGGAAAGATGGGCAGTGTTGAAGACATATAGGAACATTGGGTGCTGCTCTGCAATGGGCCCTCCACGAACATGACCTCTGGCTCCCGCATCTCCATCTCCGCCTGGTCAAAGACAAGGAGTGGAGAAGGATAGAGAGTGGTGGAAGAGTGGATCAGGAAATCAAGCCAAGTGGTGCTATGCTATGTGATGGCCCCTCCACGAACACGGCGTCTGGCCTGCGCACCAGGCCCAACCAGGCATCTCCATCTCAGCCTGGTTGAGACTCAAAGAGAGGGGGGGAAGAGCCAGAAGGATGGAGAGGGGTGAGAGGAGAGGATAAGGGAATCAAGCCAAGTGGAGCTGTGTGATCTGATGTCCCTTCATGACCATGATTCTAAGTACAGCTGAAGCTTCAAAGGATTCTCATGCATCACAAATGCTCGCAAGTGGTGCCCACACACACACATTTAGATTAGAAAACTCAATCACACGCTGCACCCACTCACCCCCGGATGTTCTTCTTTGCCTCCTCCACCTGCTCCTCCATATCCCGCTTGTGCTCAGGTACAGCTCAAATTACTATGAGTGCCCACGCACCACTGGTATAGCCCAAGCACACAATAACGCACACTCCACCCGCACCCACCCACCCACTCACCCGGATGTTCTTCTTTGCCTCCTCCACCTGCTCCTCCACCTCGCGCTTGTGCTTGGCCCACTCCTCGCCCTTCTCATCCGCCCACTGGATCCGCTTCTCTATCGTCCCCAGCATCGCCTCTGACGTCGCTACCCTGCACAGTGCAGGAGGACAGGGCAGCACAGGGGAGCACAGGAGATTTTTTAGTCGACTCAAAAGTCACCTCCCCTTTTTCATCCGCCCACTGAATGCGCTTCTCTATCGTCCCCAGCATCGCCTCTGACGTCGCTACCCTGCACAGTAAAGGAGGACAGGGAAACACAAGGGAGCACAGGAGAGGGCGGCGACGATGGGAGCGAGCTGATGCTTTGACTCAACACACGACTCAAGCTAGTAGCGGGTGTTCCCTCGCTCAAGCTGACGGACTGACCATTGGGAGAGGGTAGCGAGGATGGAGGAGAGTTGGCCCGGGCGGAGGTCCCTGCCGGCAGCAAATTGCACCTCCACACACCGGCTCCGCTGGTCCAACTTGCCCCGCAGAATGCCCTGCCAAGCAGTTACCACCATGCCGTGCAGTTACCACCATGTCATGCGCGTATTGCACGTGTGTTACAAGAAATCTTGCATGATCGCATGTCAACGTGAGCATTGCTTACAATAACGTATGCAATCACATACCACGTACCAGCAGCTCTGTACAATCACATACCGCGTACCAGCAGCTCTGTACAATCACATACCGCGTACCAGCAGCTCTGTACAATCACATACCGCGTACCAGCAGCTCTGTACAATCACATACCGCGTACCAGCGGCTCTATACAATCACATACCGCGTACCAGCAGCTCTATACAATCACATACCGCGTACCAGCAGCTCTATACAATCACATACCACGTACCAGCGGCTCTATACAATCACATACCGCGTACCAGCAGCTCTGTACAATCACATACCGCGTACCAGCAGCTCTATACAATCACATACCGCGTACCAGCAGCTCTATACAATCACATACCGCGTACCAGCAGCTCTATACAATCACATACCGCGTACCAGCAGCTCTATACAATCACATACTACGTACCAGCGGCTCTATACAATCACATACCGCGTACCAGCAGCTCTGTACAATCACATACCGCGTACCAGCAGCTCTATACAATCACATACCGCGTACCAGCAGCTCTATACAATCACATACCGTGTATCAGCATCTCTGTACGATCACATACCGCGTACCAGCAGCTCTGTACAAGCACATACCGCATACATGCAGTCGTTGATAAGCAAATCCTCCAGCTGTCGCACGTTGCTGACGTCAAGCTGCTCCATGAGTGCGCTGTAGGGGAGAACCTGCTTATAGCGAGGATGGAGAATGCAGAACAGAATGGAGGATCGAACATGGAAAAATGAAGCTGGTTGGAGCAGCAAAGGTCTGCAAAGAGTGCAGGCCTTTGTTTCAAGTGGACTCGAAAATCATACTACAGCGTAGCTGCTTGACAGAGTAGAACGCGATAAGATGGAACGGTGGGGGCAAGGGGTTAGGGAGAAAGGTTGGTGAGGTGGGGGGGTGGGGGGTGGTTGATGGGGGGGGGAAGGGAGAGCTGCACTGCGACAATGGGAGCTTGACAAGGGGCGATCCCCAAACTCCAGTTCTCCACCCTGAAACCTCAACGTTCGATCCCACCTTGGAGCCCTCGGCAAGCGTCATGACTGTGAGCTGCTTCAACTTTAACTGCTGTTGCGGTTGCAGCTCCGGCAACTGCGCCGCTTTCTCTGCACAACGCGGCAAGAACAGAATAGAAACCGGCACACATGAGTATTCCGGCACTGGGTAATGGCACTGCGGAAAATTCCTTAGGTCGCAGTGCATAAAATTCACGCGAAACGAGCGGCGTGTAGAGCACGTTGTTGCTCATCAGGGAGACAGAAGACACGCACCTTTGTACTCAGGCCACGTCCCGTACGCGAATAACCGAAGAACGGCTAGTGCTGACGCGTGCTCTGTGCCCTCCAACTGCATATGGAGAAGAACAATAAAATCTAGGTCTATTTAGCATTCGAACCTAGCGAGATCACAAAGAATATATGACGCGTCGGTTGGAAAATTCGCGTAAATCGGTTGGGGAAACGAGGCGAGGTGGTTCACCTCTTTAATTTGTGGAACGTTTAGGAGCTCCCCAAACGCGAATAGATTTGGATCTGATGTGGCTTTCGTCACAAGCTCCACTAGAGCTCTCCCTCGAGCGCTCTTAGCTAAGAGCAAGTACTGCTCTAAGCATTCCATCTGCCTCGCCTCCAGCTCCATGGCTCCGCGCCGACCGCGAAGCTCCCCTCCAATTTCAGCCGCTGTTTAGGACCGTTCTTAACCTTGAATTCGGAATATTTCGCTACGACAGAAATGACGGGTGGTAAGAACTGCGCCTATCGCTAGCAGCCGTTATTGGGTAAAACAAGACACTGGCCAGCAGGCCAGGAAGAAATCGACGAGAAAGACTGGAAAGACTGATCTGAAATTTCGTGCCACCAAAAGGATAATCATGCCAAACCAAAACATGAGGGGAAATTATTTGAGCAGTGACAATTAAGCCCGATTTATCAGGTTTGGTCACGGGGATATCACGAACAGTCACAGTACACTAGATTTCTATCGCGGGTGATCACAGTGCTATCACGGATGGTCACACCTCGCCCTGAAAGGCTATCACGTTTGGTCACTCGATGAAACGATCATAATTAATTTGAAACCACGAAAGAAACGGTAGAAATTTGCTTGTTACCTCGCGCATTATTTCTAGCCCTGACATTTAGGGAACTGACGAAAAAATACAAACCCCTACTGGATGGGATGTCCTTAGGGAGGCATCAACCCTAAAAACTATGTGACAAGGTTTTTAGGGTTGATGCTCCCGAATTAAATCCCATCCGAATTGGTTTTAGTTTTTGTATTAGGAACAATAAAAATATACTTAGAGTTTCACCCGTCGAAAAGTGATATTCTTAGGGTCATTATGCATCGATCGAACAGTGGACAGTCGAGTTACTGAGAGTTGTCGCGAAACTATTTCGTAATATTACGGACAAAACGGCGCGCGCGATAAAATTTCCCCCGAATCCCTACTCGAGTAGTTACAATTTTCAATTAGGCGTTTCATCTGTGACCAAACGTGATAGACTTGCGGGGCAAGGTGTGACTATCCGTGATAGCACTGTGATCACACGCGATAGAAATCTACTGTACTGTGACTGTTCGTGATACCCCCGTGACCAAACGTGATAAAACGGACATTATTGTGACTTCCCATATAATTTCCCAAACATGAGTGTCACAAATGAGGCCTTCAAGAACGAGTATTTTGTTCTGCTGCTGGGCAATGATGGTGTCCTTGTTATTTCTGCTTCTACTTGTTCAATTCCATCTTCTCTTGTATCGCATCTGAAAAACACCGAGCTCCTACAAAAAAATAAAACAACTCCGAGGTTTCTATACCGAGATTTCTTCTCAGTTCAGTTTCATCACTCCAGTTTCCCTGACGCAGTAGATCAATTCCCTGCAAGTACACGACATACTTGCACTTGCCGCAGTCTTGTTGGATCTAGTACCATTGCTGCTCAGGTAGCCGGCAGATCATCGCTGCTTTTACATCTCGGACCAGAGCATAGTGATTTTCGTTTACGTGCTGCAGCCATGTCGGCCTTCGCGAAGCTCAAGGCGATAGATTTCTACAGGTGCGATCATGAGTGGATTGCGTCAACAGTATTAGTTAGCATTCGAGTGCTAATGTCGAATCGGCTGTAATGGATTCTCTAGTTTTCGCACCTCTTTAGAATATAAATCTGTGCCTTTTTTTCTTTTTGGCTGGTGCTCATTTTCGCAGGAAGATCCCTCGGGATCTCACCGAGGCTTCGTTCTCCGGTGCGAGTCTGTCGATCGTAGCCGCGACCACCATGATCTTCCTCTTCATCGCGGTATGCCTACCAAGCTACTTCATTTCGTGCTTCTATTTCTCTTCTAATGTAGCTGAAGCAGCTAGATCAAAAGAGACTGGACAGCAGCTCAAGCTGGTTCTTCTTTGCCCTTTTTGCAAATCTTTCCTTTGATTTCTGTCACTGTCGCTTCCGGGCATTTCATGCATTGCCGCTCACCTTCTCCGCCTTTCAGGAACTGAACAGCTTCCTCAAGGTCTCCACTACGACGCAAGTCATCGTGGATCAGAGCCAGAACGGCGAGCTGCTTCGGATAAACTTCAACTTCAGGTGAGGCTGGTCAGCGACCCCTGCTTGACGCCACTGACAATATCTCTCATTGTCACATGCGGACTTCGCACCCACCAGTATCAGATTATTCACCGCAATTTTCTGTTATGTCTAAGTGGATTATCCATTCTGAAACTGATTTTTGTTCTGTCTCCGTGCAGTTTCCCGGCGCTGTCGTGTGAGTTCGCGTCAGTCGACGTCACCGACGTGCTCGGAACTGTACGTCCTGAATCCTCCCTGAATCCGCCCTGATTCCGTTTTGAACTTCCGCTGAATGTACTGTCATTCCACCCTTTTTGCATGAATTTGGCAACTTGCCCGAACGCCAAGTTGCATTGTGTATCCAGCGACGCTCCATTTCTGGCACACGCATTCAACGCCACACACTGCTGCACTTCAAGACAGAAATACCGCCCCGGAGAGCATTGCACCCATCCTCAGCAGTGTGCCTCTTCACGTCTCGTCGGACCGCATCCCCGCATCCCCGCAGACGCGCTACAACCTGAGCGGACGCGACTCTCAATCTCCCTCCTACTTCCCCTCCGCCCCACCCCCTCCCCCCCCCAACATCTCCCCCAACTTATCATCCCCCACATCCCCGGATGCGCTGTACAACCTGAGCAAGACGGAGTGCGCACTGCCAATCAACGCATTCCATTCCCCCCTCCCCTCTCACCCCCCTTTTCCCCCCTCCCCCCGCCTCCCCCCCCACCCCCCCATCTCATTAGGCGCGGTACAACCTGAGCAAGACAGTCCGCAAGTATCCCATTGACGCGGCGGGCAACTGGGTGGGGCCGGAGCACCACCCCAACCCGCTGTCGGTGCCGGAGAGGCGTCTTTCATTCCCACTTCCACCCCTCCCCCCCGTCTCCCCCTCATCTCCCACATCCCCCACCCGCAGGCGCGGTACAATCTGAGCAAGACTGTCCGCAAGTATCCCATTGACGCGGCGGGCAACTGGGTGGGGCCAGAGCACCACCCCGACCCGCTGCCGGTGCCGGAGAAGCATGGAGAGGACAGCAACGAGACGACGGAGGAGGTGCACCAGAAGATGGCGGAGGACGGGCATGAGTACGTGGGCTCGCTCGTGCTCAACAAAGACAACTTCGACCACTTTGCCCACGAGTGAGTGGTGCCGTGTGGTTGGGAGTGGTGCTGTGCGGTTGGGCTGGCACCTTGCACATGATTGAGTGGTGCTGTGCGGTTGGGCTGGTCTGGGTCGTCTTCAAACCAGAAGTTGCGGAGGATGGGCATGAGTACGTGGGCTCACTCGTGCTCAACAAGGACAACTTCGAACACTTCGCTCATGAGTAAGTGGTACTGTGCGGTTGGGCTGGCACCTTGCACACGAGTGAGTGGTGCTGTGCGGTTGGGCTGGTCTGGGTCGTCTTCAAACCAGAAGATGGCGGAGGACGGGCATGAGTACGTGGGCTCGCTCGTGCTCAACAAGGACAACTTTGACCACTTCGCTCATGAGTAAGTGGTGATGTGTGGTTGGGCTGGCACCTTGCACACAAGTGAGTGGTGCTGTGCGGTTGGGCTGGTCTGGGTCGTCTTCAAACTCCAAGATGGCGGAGGACGGGCATGAGTACGTGGGGTCGCTCGTGCTCAACAAGGACAACTTTGACCACTTCGCTCATGAGTAAGTGGTGATGTGTGGTTGGGCTGGCACCTTGCACACAAGTGAGTGGTGCTGTGCGGTTGGGCTGGTCTGGGTCGTCTTCAAACTCCAAGATGGCGGAGGACGGGCATGAGTACGTGGGGTCGCTCGTGCTCAATATGGACAACTTTGACCACTTCGCGCACGAGTGAGTGGTGCTGTGTGGTTGGGCTGGGTCTTAGCACGCAAGTGAGTGGTGCTGTGCGGTTGAGCTGTGTTGATTGAGAAGCCTCAAGGCCAGAAGATGGCGGAGGACGGGCATGAGTACGTGGGCTCGCTCGTGCTCAACAAGGACAACTTCGAACATTTCGCGCACGAGTGAGTGGTGCTGTGTGGTTTGAAGTGGTGCTGTGCGGTTGGGCAGGCACCTCGGCCACGAGTGAGTGGTGCTGTGCGGTTGGGCGGTTGTTTTCCACCCACCGGTACATCCTTGTTTGACGCTCTGTGTGCTCGTGCGTCATCACATTCTTGACGGTCATGTGTTGCTGCTGAGTGCTGGGCTCTTTGCACTTCAAACACAGATGGCAAATGCTGCTGTGCTGCTGCCGTGTTCCATCCATTGTGGTCTCCCTCCCTCCCATGCGTCCACTGCGCTCCCCCTTAGCAGATACCAGATTCTTGTGGTCAACTTCTTTGCCCCCTGGTGCCCCTGGTGCCAGAGACTGGTCAGTGCACTGCAACACATGCATGCTTTTCTGACGCCGCATGCATGGATCGTCGTATTTACCCTGGAAGCGTTGCAGCCTTCCTTCCTCCTGTTCCACGTTCTTCCCGTTTCCATCACCCCCATCCACCTTCCCTCCCACGACCCACCCTCCACATGAATCTAACCATCCACTCGTCGCCCCCCCTCCTTCGCCTGCAGGAGCCTGCATGGGAGAAGGCTGCGACGGTCCTCAATCGCAAGTAAGTCACTTTTAATAGCTGCGTAGTTGCCCTTTGAGATGTCTCAAACGGCAATTAATAAACTTCTGCGACAGTACGCGCGTCTCCTCTTGCGCCACATACAACCTGCAGGGACTCACCGTTCTGCCTACTCAACTCGTGCATATGTCAATGCATATTGCTCCACTCTTTGTCCATGCATCTGCCTTGCCTCTCTCTCCCTTCTCTCTGTCTCACTACCCTCTTTCTCCCCCGCTTCTCACTTCTGCTTCCTCTCTCTCTCCACCAGGTACCATCCTGACTACGATGGTCGCATCCGCTTTGCCAAAATCGACTGTACCATCTACCAGGACGTGTGCCGAGAGTGAGTCCATTTGACTTCTCTTAAGGATTCTCAAGGATTTCGGCACTGTCCCTCCTTTTTGTTTCACTGCAGCAATCACATCCTTCCTGGGATTCCCTTATTAAGACAACTCACGAAATACCCTCATGTTTTCTGATCATCCCGCCCCCACATTTCACTGCAGTAACCACATTCAGGGCTTCCCATCCATCCGCATCTTCCGCAAGGGCATGGACCTCCGGTGAGTGCATTCGACAAACGGGGATTTCGAAGTAAGCATAGCTTTCGAGACCCTTACATCCGCCATCATGGTTGTTGAGGCACTTAATAACTTTCGTGCATGATTTGTTGTTTTTCCCTGTGGCATGGTGCATGTGGTGCTCGTTGAACAGCATGCATGGAGAGCACGGGGAGCATGACCACGAGTCATACTATGGCGAGCGAGACGCCGAGTCACTCGTGGCGGTATGCTTTGCTTTGCAAGTCCATTCTCTTGCTTGTATGCCTCCCCCAACTTCACTGTCCTGTGCTGTTGCCTGTGACCACCCGCCCCCCTGTATGTTTTTCTTTCTTCCATTTGGTTTTTAGTTCCAATGCGCTGCACTTTGCTGGTTATACCCACGCACTTGTATCGCGCACTTCTCTTTGACTTATCAGGCATCCCCCTTGCGTGCTGTGGAATTATGACTGTTTGCAGAGCCTCTAATCCCATTGGCCACGGTGGGGCGTCTCACAGCAGCGGGGGACAGCCACCAGCACGTCAAGCGATAGGTGCTGAGGAAGATACCCTAACAACCACCTTCCCTCCCCCCTGCCCACTCCTCAGTTTGCGGAGTCCCTGGTGCCATCAGCCACGGTGGGGCGCCCCACAGCAGCGGAGGACAGCCATCAGCATGTCAAGCGCCGCGCCCCGAAATCTGGCGGGTGCAACATTGAGGGCTTCGTGCTCGTCAAGAAGGTGAGCTTATTTCTAAATTGATGCACAAGTCACTGGCTGGCCCAATGGAGTTCCATTCTATCCACCGCCTCTTTTTCGGCTGCCAGCTCATGCCTCCTCCCCCCTCCCCACTCTCTCCCTGCCCTCTCCCCATCTCCCCTCCCCTCCCCTCTCCGCCTTCCTCCCCACCCCCACCCCATGCACAGGTGCCGGGTAATCTGATGATAACGGCTCACTCCACGGCGCACTCGTTCGATGCGGCCATGATGAACATGACGCACTCCATTCATAGCTTCTCCTCACCCCCTCCCCCCTCCCCACACCCCAATCCCCACGCACAGGTGCCGGGCAATTTGATGATAACAGCGCACTCCACGGCGCACTCGTTTGACGCCGCCACCATGAACATGACGCACTCCATCCACCGCTTCTCCTTCGGCCGCCAGCTCACCCGCCGCAAGCAGGAGCTGGTGGCGCGGCTCCGCCCCTATGTGCCTGCCCCTGTGGGACGGCTGGAGGGGCACTCGTTCCACTCCAACCACGACAACGTCACTGTAAGTGATGTTTTGAAGGGACTGGAAGTGTGTTATTGGGGGGGAGCTTAACCCGACCCGCCGCAAGCACGAGCTCGTGGCCCGCCTCCGGCCCTATGTGCCTGCCCCTGTGGGGCGACTGGAAGGGCACTCGCTTCACTCCAACCACGATAATGTCACTGTAAGTGGGCTTGAGCAATGGTTGTGGTGTTAGTGTAGCACTGAGGGGGGTTCGGCAGCTCACAGGCCGCAAGCAGGGGCTCGTGGCTCAGCTGCGCCCCTGTGTGCTTGCACCCGTGGGGCGGCTGGAAGGGCACTCCTTCCACTCCAACCACGACAATGTGACTGTAAGTGGGGGTGTATGATGTTTGAGAGTGACTGTGAGGTTGTACGATGGTGTCAGTGTGGCACTGAGAGAAGGGGGCCGCCAGCTCCATGCACAGCAGCACTGCTCTAGCACTTCATACAATCAAAGGTGAGTCCTGACATAGACACATCGTGTTTTGAGACGTCTCAAAACAGGCCGCCAGCTCTATCCATGCACAGCACTAGCACTTCATGTAGTCAGAGCTGAGTCCTGACATAGACGCATCATCCCACACTCACATTCCCCCACTCCTTCCCCGCTTGCCCACCCCCCAACATTACCTCTTGCTCCAGCACGAGCACTTTATGCAGATAGTGTTGACAGAGGTGCATCCCTTGGGAGTATCCCGCAACGACAGCTTGTTTCCCTCTCGCCCCCTCTTCCCCACTCCTCTTTCCCCTCCCTATTCTCTTTACCCAGCACGAGCACTTTATGCAGATAGTGTTGACGGAGGTGCATCCCTTGGGAGTATCCCGCAAGGACAGCTCGCTGCACTCATACGACTACACTGCCCACAGCCACACGCTGCAGGCACCCACCGTGCCCGTCTCCCGCTTCCACTACGAGCTTTCGCCCATGCAGGTCGGTACCTTTGAGGCATTTTTTAGACGACTCGATAGTCAAAAGTAGTCAACAGTTGAGGCGCCTGAAAAGAGGCGCCCTCTGTCCCCGTCTCACGCTTTCACTACGAGCTCTCGCCCATGCAGGTCGGTAATGTGCTGTTCCTATTTGTGCTCTACATCTGGCGACAAGTTTTTTTTCTTCTCCAGACATGCATTTTCACATCACAGGCAGGTCAGTGTTGAAGTAACCTAAACGAGCTGTGCTTCCTGACCATTGCTAGCCATGCCTCCCCCCCCTCCGCTCCCCCCCTCCCCTCCCAGGTTCTCATTGTGGAAACAAGGCGTCCGTTCTTCCACTTCATCACAAACCTCTGTGCTATCATTGGCGGTGTCTTCACGGTGCGTATCCTCTTTTTTATGTGCACTCCCACCTATCCTGGTCACTTGTATGTTTGGTGTTGCATTCGTTTGGCTTACTGACCTGCTCTTTTCTGGGATTGCAGGTTGCCGGGATAATCGATGGGATGTTCCACAATGCACTTAGTATGCTAAAGAAGGTGGAGCTTGGGAAGCAGTTCTAGATAACCATGGGCAACTAATTTAGGTAACTGATTTTTGCTATCCTCTAGCAATACGTATTTGCATACGCTAATGACTTTGGGTAGACAAGTGTAGCGGGAAGTGTCAAAGGAGAAATGGCGATGTGGTAGTTATCTCGTGCTTCTCGAGGATGTGAAGCGTAATCTCGGCCATCGAACTTTCCCCTCCCCTCCCATCTTGCTTTGCAAGCATCGTTTCGCCCCCCATCCCAGTTTCCCCCGATACCCTTTCCGCGAGTTTCCGTTCCGCCGTCCCAGCTTTGCCCCAGCCATTCCCCCTTTCCGCTGTCCTTTCCGCGTCCCACCAAACCAGACTGAGGGATTACCTTTGCCGTGGAACACCTTACCGTTGTATGCCATTCTAAAACACAGGGAACCGTGGACGATCTCTCCAGAAGTACAGACTTCGGTGCTGACCTTGGACGTAACCATCCCCCCAGAACCGCAACCCTAATATTCAGAATCCTTTGGCCTTTTACCTTTCGCGGCCTTATATTTCCTTTTTGATGTCGAGTTTCTCTGCCTCCTGGTGACCGTTCAGTCCCCGTCGTCCCCTTCCAGGCTTGATCGTCGGAATCGTTCCTGATTTTATCGCAGACGCAACCTTAACACTCCTTGTTGAGTAGTTAGTCGCCACGATATGGCCGCAGTAGGGGTGTCAGATGCCGTCAGGTCGCCTGTCGCGTCGCCTCTCACGTCGCTCCGTTCCGACTCGCGTGCATCGGCTAGCCGCGTGGGGTTCTCCCAGGGGTCGCTGCTCCAGGGTCAGAGACTTGCGATTTCGCAACGGAGCTGCGAAGGTCGCGAGCGTGTCGCGAGAGGTGTCGCACGCGCTGCGATGAGGGACATTCCGAAGCAGTTTCAGGAGAGGCACTTGAAGGAAGGATGTAGGTGTTTTAGCGCTAGGTCAACACACAACCGGACGTCCTTGTAACGGGGACGATTGCAACTTCACCTGGGAAAGATAACTCCGTATCTCCAAGAAGAATCCGGCTAGATGCGAAAGAGGAAGTGAGCTACGGAAGGGTTGAGGAACCTATGGTACTAGGTCACCTTCACGAGCTACTAGTATTTCGTGTTCGCCTCTCCTCTTTGAGAATCTGCGAAAAGGGGGTGTTATACGGCTGATGCCACGTCGCGACAGAACAGCCCGTGGCTTCAGGATAGCTCGTCGCTGCGATCGTTAGGTCATGTTAGGTCATGTAAACTTGTGCGGCAGCTTACGAACGGATTCCCCTCACTTCGTTCCCCATCTCAAACCCTAAACTCACATCGGCGCAGTCTGGTGTGTCTAGTCTTTCTCCGAAGCTCTGCTTCGACGGCGGTGCTCTCGAACCGCCTCAGAAGTTGACCCATGAGTTGCATCAGTCCATCGTCCCATTCTATTCGTTTGTTCTATTCTTGCTTCGCTTTTCACTCCTCTCTTTGCTCCGTTTCTTTCGCCTCTCTTCTCTCCGCTCCTTGCTCCGTGCGCGGACGGCAGTGATGGAGAATTTCCGCAACGTGCCGGCGTCGCTGTACGGGTTGAACTCCACGCAGATGAGCATGCTCATGACAGAGGACAGCCCTGTATCGCGGATATCCCAATCCGTTACCGAGGTATGTGTGAGTGTGTGTGCGAGTGTCTATGCCTGGAAGGTCTTAGGTTAGTATCCTATCCTATCTGCCACTCATCTGCTCCAGTCACCGCTGGTCACATCGGCCCCCGTTCTTTTCCCTTTCCCTTCCCACCGCTCTCCTCCTCTCTCCCCTCCTCCCTGCTTCCTCTCTCTTTCCCTTCCCTTTCCCTTTCCCCTCTCCCCCCTCCCCTCTCTTTCCCCTTCCCCTCCCGCCCATCCCCCGCCAGGCGAGCATCTCCTCAGCGGCGCACTACCGCAACGGCACGGGCATGTGGTCGCTGCCGGGCCTGGAGAACTCCGCGGCGCGGCTGAGCATGAGCGTGAGCATGTACCGCGGGCTGGGGGGCGCCGGCCGCCCCAAGACCGCGCCGCCCGACCTGCCGTCGCTGCTGCTGGACGCGCGCATCTGCTACCTGGGCATGCCCGTGAGTGCATGGATGGACGGGTGTAGAACATGGTTGGTAGGACATGGCTGGTTGGGCGGGTGGGTGGGTGGGTGGGTGGGTGGGTGGGTGGGTGGGTGGGGTGATGGCTGGGTGGGTGGGTGGACTGATAGTTACAGAGCTGATAGTGGCGTTGCTGCTGTGGCTGGACTACGCCAACCCCTTCAAGTTCATACACACTCTTTTGTTCTCCTCCACACCCCTCCCTACCCATCTCCACCCCTCCCTACCTATCTCCACCCCTCTTTTCAGATCGTCCCAGCTGTCACGGAGCTGATAGTGGCGGAGCTGCTGTGGCTGGACTACGACAACCCATCCAAACCCATCTACTTCTACATCAACTCCTCTGGCACTCAAAACGACAAGCGCGAGAGCGTGGGGTTTGAGACTGAGGCCTATGCCATCGCTGATACCATGAACGTGAGTGTGGGTGGGGGGCATTCCTTGTGTGGGTGTGGGGCATTCATTGTGTGGGTGTGCATTGATTTGGTGTGTGTGTGTAAAGGTGTGCCTTGGAGTTGGCTCAAACGTCCCAACGACAAGCGCGAGAGCGTGGGGTTTGAGACCGAGGCCTATGCCATCGCTGACACCATGAACGTGAGAAATGGTGGAAGGGTGGGGTTTGAGGGGGAAAGCTAGGGGAAGAAGGGTGTGGAGAGGGAGGGTGGGGGAGGAAGGGGGGAGGAGGAAGGAGTGGGGGGGAGGGGGGGAGGAACGGTGAGGGGGAAGGGGGGGGGGGGCTAGTTGTCAATCACAAGTGCCAATGACAAGTGTGAGAGGCTCGAGGTTAACAATACATCACACTGATGCTGCGCGTGGTTTTGTCCGCATCTGCTTCATTCCCCCCAACCCCTCCCTGTCCCCGTCCTCTCAAACCCCCCTCCGCACGCCGCTCCCCCTGAATGTTCCAGCAAAAGAATGCCTTTGAGTTGTCGGCTCAAACCTCTCCTCTTTCTCCTCCCCCAACCCCCACTTTCCCTCCCCACCTGTGCCAAAACCTCTCCTCTTTCTCCTCCCCCAACCCCCACTTTCCCTCCCCACCTGTGCCAAAACCTCTCCTCTTTCTCCTCCCCCAACCTCCACTTTCCCTCCCCACCTGTGCCAAAAACCTCTCCTCTTTTCCTCCCCCAACCCCCACTTTCCCTCCCCACCTGTGTCAACGCCAGTACGTGAAGTCCAAGGTGTATATGGTGAACTGCGGGCAGGCGTTTGGGCAGGCAGGAACCGCATAGAGCTGCCTCAAATTTTCCCTGTTTTCGTCCCCTTCCCCCATATGTGTCAACAACAGTACGTCAAGTCCAAGGTCTACACGGTGAACTGCGGGCAGGCATTTGGGCAGGCGGCCATGCTGCTGGCCATCGGAGACAAGGGCCACAGGGCCGTGCAACCCCACGCTGTCAGTGAGTGCCTTTTTCCTTTCAGCCTTGTGCTACTGTATGTGTATTTACCTTACTGTGTGCCTTAGCGGCTATGCTGCGCCCATAGGGGACAAGGGCCACAGGGCCGTGCAACCCCACGCTGTCAGTGAGTGCAGCCCAATAGTGAGAGAATGCTGCTGCCCAAGGTCAGACAGAGTGCTGCTGCCCAAGGTCAGACAGAGTGCTGCTGCCCAAGGTCAGACAGAGTTCTGCTGCCCAATGTCATCAGTGCGTGCGCTGATGCTTCGTTTTTCCTATCTCCCTCTTCATCTCGGGTAGGGGGGAAATCGCCCTCGTCTTTGTCACTGTTGTGAGCGTGCAGTGCACTGTGTAACTCTACACTAACGTGTTTGTGCCTATGGTGCGTGCGTGCGTGCATGCGTGCGTGCGCGGGTTTTGTGTGTGGGTCCTGTGGTTGTGTGTGCATGTTTGTACACGTGTGTATCTATGTGTGTGTGTGCAACCCCCACCCATTGACTCCCAACAGCCAAGCTCTATGCACCCAGAGCGAGCCAATCAAGCGGGGCTGCCATTGACATGTGGATCAAGGTAAAGTGTTGAGAATGATAAGTCGTAAGGTGTTGGCTAGGAAGACCATGGATGGCGTGTCTGTGCAATCAAGCAGGGCTGCCATTGACATGTGGATCAAGGTGAGGTGTTTTTTTAGTCGACACAAAAGAGCTGACTTTTGAGTCGACTCTTGAGTTTTGAGTCGACTCAAAAGTCACTGCACCCAGAGAAAGCCAATCAAGCGGGGCCGCCATTGACATGTGGATCAAGGTGAGTTGTTGAGTGTCATAAGCTGTAAAGTTGCCTCATTCTGTCAAATCAAGGTAGGGGATTTCTGAGTTTAATACGTCGTAAGCCTCCTTCACTCAGCCTTCTCTCGTAAGCCTCCCCCTCTCACTTCCCCGGCACGTTTTCTCACTCCTTCCTCCCCACCCAGGCCAAGCAGCTTGATTCCAACACGGATTACTACATCGAGCTGCTGGCGCGCGGCACAGGCAACTAAGCTTTCACTGCTGCCTCCGCCTCCCTCATCCTCTCAACCCTCCCTCCCTACTCCCATGCAGGCCAAGGAGCTTGACGCGAACACAGACTATTACATCGAGCTCTTGGCGCGCGGCACGGGCAAGTCACAGGATGAGCTGCCGCGATATAATGGTCCCCAAGTACCTGCGCGGGCAGAACACTTACTGTTGCTTCCCCCCCCTTTTGCCTTCCATGCAGGCCAAGGAGCTTGATGCCAACACGGACTATTACATCAAGCTGCTGGCTCGCGGCACGGGCAAGTCACGGGACAAGCTGTACCGCGATGTTATGCGCCCCAAGTACCTGCGCGGGCAGAGGACTCACTGTTGCTTCCCCCGGCCCCCCTTGCCTTCTTCCCATACAGGTGAAAGAACTTGACGCCAACACGGACTCTTACATTGAGCTGTTGGCGCGCGGCACGGGCAAGTCACGGAAGGGGATGTACCGCGATATCATGCGCCCCAAGTACCTGCACGGGCATTAGGCCCCTCAGTGCAGCCAGAGGATTCACTGTTCCTTGTCCCCCCCTCCTCTCTCTCCTCCCATGCAGGCCAAGGAGCTTGACGCCAACACGGATTGCTACATCGAGCTGCTGGCTCGTGGCACGGGCAAGTTGAGGGACGAGCTGTACCGCGATGTCATGCGCCCCAAGTACCTGCGCGGGCAGGAGAGGCCCCTCAGTGCAGCCAGAGGATTCATTGTTCCTTGTCCCCTCCCCTCTCTCTCCTCCCATGCAGGCCAAGGAGCTTGACGCCAACACGGATTACTACATCGAGCTGTTGGCGCGCGGCACGGGCAAGTCGCGGGACGATCTGTACTGCGATGTCATGCGCCCCAAGTACCTGCGTGGGCATAGGAAGGACTCACTGTTGCTTCATCCCTTGTTTCCTTGACGCTCCCTCCAGGCCAAGGAGCTTGACGCCAACACCGACTACTATATCGAGCTGCTGGCTCGGGGCACGGGCAAGTCACGGGACGAGCTGTACCGCGATGTGATGCGCCCCAAGTACCTGCGCGGGCAGGAGGCCATTGACTATGGCGTGTGCGACAAGATCATTGAGCCACGCGGCGTTCAGATGGAGAAGAAGGTGAGTGCAGTGCGGTGGAGTGCAGTCCAGTGCGGTGCAGTGTGGGTGCTTAGGGCCAAGGTGTGGTTGAGGTGTGCATGTCACAGCAGGAGGCCATTGACTACGGCGTGTGCGATAAGATTATCGAGCCTCGTGGCGTTCAGATGGAGAAGAAGGTGAGTGCAGTGCAGTTCAGTGCGGTGCAGTGTGGTGCAGCGCGGTGCAGTGTGGTATGGTGCACATCACAGCAGGAGCTGAGGCGTGTTTGAGAAGCCGCCTGGCATGCAGATTCAGAAGAAATTGAGTACAGTACAGTGCGGTGCGGTTCAGTGCAGCGAGGTGCAGTGTATCAGAACTACGGCGAGCTGATGATGCAGGCTAAGGCAATGCGGGCAAAGGGAGGGCTGTGAGGCTGTGAGGCACACTGGCCTTCCCTCTATCGCATACCAACCTCTTCCTCCCCCCCCTTCTCCTGCCACCCATCAGAACTATGACGAGCTGATGATGCAGGTTAAGGCCATGCGGGCGAGGGGTGGCTGTGAGTCGTTGACCTACGCTAACATGCATGCATCAACCCCTCTCTCCCTACTCCCTCCCCGCCACCCGTCAGAACTACGATGGGCTGATGATGCAGGCCAAGGCCATGCTTTCGAGGGGTGGCCGTCTGTCTTCTTTTTCCATCAACCCCTCTCCGACCACTTTCCCCCATCCCCCTCCCCCCTCCACCCATCAGAACTATGACGAGCTGATGATGCAGGCTAAGGCCATGCGTGCAAGGGGTGGCCGTCCAGGGGCTCCCCAGACTGCTGCTCCTGCTGGTGGTGGGGGCGCTCCTCGCTAGAGAGGATAAGAGGTGACTGGAAGGGAGGGGGGTTGGCTGGGAGGGAGCGAGGGCTTTGTGGGGACTGCTCAGACTGCTGCTCCTGCTGGCAGAGGGGGGGCTCTGCGTAGGGAGGAGAAGAGGAGAGCAGAAGGGGACTGAAGGGGGGGTCCTCACGACACGAGAGAAGACGATGCTGGGAGCAAGGCGGTGACTGGTAGATTTATAGGATTGGAGGGCTTTGATGAGTGGTGAAAAGTGGTGCTGATTGGTGCTTCTATGTGCATCTGCAGTACTGCTGGTACAGTTGACTGCTTGGTCGTAGTGTATGTAAGCTACCGTATATCATTCGTGTGACTGCACTGCAGGAAGGTACTGTAGAATGCTTAATTTTGCGGGACATTTTGGCACTGGTCTCCGTGGGCTGTCACCTCGACCTCTGAGAAAAAGGAGAAACTAAATCTTGGGGATTATTGTTCCCTGAGGGGCTAAAAGTTGGAAGGGTTTGGTTGTGGTGGTTTACGTTTGCATTTGTGGATCGCGTTCACAGCAAGTTAGCTCAAGCGAAGTAGGCTCAAGAGGCCCAAAAGTGCAGATATTTGGGTCCAGCGTGGCAGTTTTGCCACTGACCACACCCACTCCCCGTGTCATGCGAACGTGGATACACACATAGACGAGTTTGAGCGAATTTTCAAACCCAATGAGGTGCATGTAACCCCGTCGACTTCAAGATCGTTCATGAGAGGCTTTCGTGAAGCAACCCCAAACACGTGTTACACAAATATCTGTGCACTGTTGTTGAGCGCGGTTCGCTTTGAGCTAACTTGCTGTGAACGCCATCGAGGTTCACGATGAGCTGTTTTTGCTCGGAGAAAAGTTCAGACAGAATGTAAGTAACGGTTTTGTGCGGTAAAATGTGTTACCTCCTTCCAACGTTAACGAAGCTTCGCTTCGTTTTTCAAGCAGTACGTGACGTCAACCAAGTTTTTCGGACTTGTGTTAGTTGCTTTGAGAGCCGTTGATCTTGGGATCGTCCGTCGTCTTAGTCAACGCAATGCTTGGTTGCTTCCGGGGTGGGGGGGTGGATGTTACAACTGATCAACAATCCGCGAACAAAGATTACGGCTTCTCGCCTCGCCACTGGCTTTGGAATCGCTCGCGTCGCGATGGACATGGCCGTCGGGGGAGGTCCGCCACCGCACCTCGCCCGCACGGACCTCGACTAGCGCCCCCACGGAGCCCCCGAGAAGTGGAGCTACGAAGGAAACGAGCAGCGCCCAGTTTCCGCTCGCGCCCTGAACTGGACTGAAAGCCCTTCACTGTCGCAGACGACAGAGTCGCCGAGATCGTGATTCGTGAGGAGAAGAATGTGCGACACTAGGGAAAGATGCGGCGCTATCCACTCGTCCCCATCTCTCACGTCCCTCGCCATGCTTCGGTGCATGGATGGATGGATAGGCGTGCCCGCTTATGCCATGTTCATGTCACCCATCCCAGTCTTGTTGTTGCCGCCCGCCACCCATTCAGGTGCAGTACTGCGTAAGAAACCACTTTTCACACATCCAAACAAAAAGAACCTCGGGATTGCAGGAAATCCAGGAGGCCTACACTTTTGTGAAAAATGGTTAAAGAAAATCCGGTTTTGTGCGGTAAAACCTGGTAGACCCTACAAACGTTCCACCTAGCATCCACGACGCCACGTCAGAAACCGTGCTGATTGGGCATCAAGCACGTGACCACCTCCATATGTTTCGGGTCGGGCCATTCATGATTGGTTGAGCGAGCCTTTGGCGCCTGAAAGGGTGGTCGTAGTAGTCCTAGCTTTTATTGGTTGGAAAGGAATCAACAAAGCACTTTGCCACGTCATTTCGCAGTCATAATGTCAGCGCTACCTATGCGCCTCGCCGCCAACACGCCCCCGCCCCTCCCCCTCCCCCACTCTCCCCCCCTCCTCCCCCCCATCTCCCAAACCATGTTCTGCAAATGCGAAGGACCCGCATACCCATATATAAGTTTCTGATCTGTAGGCATTCGCACATAGGAGAACCATTTCCCGCAAATTCAACATGAGTTTCTGCAGGGATAAGAGTGCCTCCTAGTCCGCCTCTGATCTCGCAGCCCTGCCGAATTTGTTCGCGTCTATCTGAATAGCGATGCCTTTCGCATTCCAAAGGCGAAGCCAATCGACCCCGCATGTCTGACTCTCCTGGCCATATTTTCTCGTCCCATCCAAACCTCAGAAACGGATACGTCGCAAGTTAATCGCTGGCATATGTCGGATCAACACATCCCACACATGAACAGCTCGCCGTGGGAAGCGGGCACCGAAACCATCAACGCGAGGGAGGCGGCCACCATTGGAGCCGCCATTGAAAAACACATCCCACTCATGAGCAATGCACATCGCTCGATCAAATTTCCGGATTTCCTCCTGCTCTTGGGAACCAGCAGCAACGAAGACGAAGAGGCGGCCGTCATTGAAAAGGTATTCGGATCTTCGTCCCGGGAGCAGCTTGTAGCACTATTTTGCGAACTTCACCTCGAGATACACGGCGAATCCGCGGAGGAGAAAGTTCGATTGGATCTTCAGCCTGATAAACTTCATGCTGCGCTTGGCGGCCGCGCCGCGGCAGGCGAATTTCGGAGAAACGATGCGACGGACCACTCCCAAGCATTGTCTGCTAGCCGATTGATAATGGCCTCACCCGCCACGTCGAGCTTTCATCTCGCCGGCGCTTCTCTGCGCGCGACACACGCCGCGAATCCCGCCGCGTTAGGCGGCGATTCTTCTCAGCAGACGGGGAATCCGCGTCTGGGATTCGAATCGGCATTTTTGGATAACGCCACGGCAGCGCAGCAGCAATGCGGGAGCCAGACCGCTGGCGTTGGCATTGCCGTCGGTGGAATTTATGGTGTTGATGCTGCCGGTGCAGACGCTGATGGTATCTATAATGTCGATGCTGATGCAAAAGGCGGCGCCACAGCAGATCAGCAGCACGGGATTCAGGTTGCTGTTGCTGGCTTTGCCGTTGGAGGTATTAATGGTTCTGGCGATGGCGGTATGGGGCCGAACATCACAGAATTGCTGCAGCAGAGAAAGCGGCACAAAACACAGGCGGGTGCGAGTGATAGCAACGACGGCGTCGGGGCTGCGTCGACCACCAACATGCAGCGAGATCCGGCGCCGTGTGACATCGGGTCTGGAAGCATCAGTGGCTCACCTAGGCAGTATCGGTGTAACCCCCTGAGCATGAGTCGATGGTCCCGCCCCCCTCTTTTCAATCTGGATTCTGCTCAGAACATACGCAACAATGACCTGGCAGAAATGCCATGCGCTTCATCTTTTAGACCGCGAGCATTGATATTGCCCGGAGGCGCTTCACCCGCTGCAGAACAGCAGGGGTTAGAGACGGCGCTGGAGGAAGCTTCGAAGACGAAACGGCTGGAAGCTTCCAAAGCGAGGAAACGAAAGCTTTCGGATCAGCAAAAACGGACGATAAGGGAGAGGGGAAATCAGAGGGCGAAGTTCATGAGGAACGCTGGCTCCTTTCCCGCTTCGACCACCCCAACCACCCCATACAGTCACTTTACCGCTCCCACCACCCCATACAGTCACTTTCCCGAACCTACCACCCCAACCACCCCTAGAACGACTGTGACTCCATCCACATCAGCACCTGCCACTCCTACCGCTGCTGAGTCTGCTGCTTCCGGTCCAGATGCCTCTGCAGCTGATACTTCTGCAGCTGCAATCACGACTCGCAGCCCGAGTGGTGCAAACTACAATTGGCAGAACGATGGAAACAAGATCATCGATCCAAGAGGGGACGCTTATTTGAGGAAGTACTACCGCTGCAAAGTCTCAGGCTGTCCGGCGAAGATGACCGTTGATGATAATCCCGGGCAGTCAATTAAGTTTCGTGGAGAACATAACCATTGATGGTAACCGTTGATGGTGTTGCCGCAAGTAGAAAAACACGGTTGTATATTCTGTGCCAGTAGAAGCTTGCATGTTTCGCAACTCATGTTTTGCTCCTTTTGTGCAATAGTGTGATGGGTTGTCTTCCTAGTGTAATGCTTTTGCGTGTAACAAACTGATGACACCAGGGTTCATGTTTGTACTTACACACAGCACGGAAGTGAAGTCTAGAGGCGAAAGCAAACCCATGGGAGAAAGCGAGCCTGCTGTGGAAGATACGGTGGAGCGAGGAGGAAAACAAGAAAATGTCGCGGCTGCGGAACAGCTGTCGTCGTAATCATTCCCGTTATAGTCACACTCGCTTGTGTGGTCCTCAGCTGCTTGCAGTCCGAGGTGCGGCACCTATTTTCCCCGGGGCTTGCTAGCTTGCTGACACTCCAAATGCGTTCCGTCAAGTCGTACGGAGAGAGGAAAAGAGCGAGAGCGGGATTCTGCGGCTGGCTGATGGATCGCACAAATTGTAGTGCACCTGTTGGTTTTAACGGTGGTCGTTGCATCACTATCGAGAAAATTATGCTGACTAATTCAGGATGTGGAAAAACTCATGTGAAAGGAATGGAAGCAGAAGGAGGTGAGACGTTCGTATGGTTAGCTAACGTGTCTCAGTAGTAATTATTTCTGGACGAAGCAGAACTAATTGTGTCAACTTACTCTCAACCTACTTGTATTAGAGCTTGAAAAATGGCGGGCTTTTTGAAAAGTGCGCTTCGGTGGGGTGGTGCTCGATGCGCGGCTCGGGTTTGCAAGAGGCATATTTGTAGTGGCGTCGACTCGGCACGAATTTGAATTTCCAGTGTGTTGAGTCCCGAAGATTTGTTTCGTGCCAAGCAGGTGACAAGCGAAATTTGAGGGAGGCATACGTGGCAGGTTAGTTCCAGGTTTGGTGGTGCATCGAAGCTGTTCCACCGTTGGATCCACCCTGAGCAAATCTGTGTACCACCGAGCCAAAATCAGTTTTACGTGCTGGCCGTGATTTTGACGAAGCTCGTCTCCACCTTCCATCACAACCTTTTCTTCGCCACTGCCACTGCCTCTCGCCACT